ATTGTGTATTGACATCAAGCCTTAACAGTTTGGCAAAATGTATATAGAAACCGGTTTCTGTAGTACTCAAGAGTTGGCGACAACCCAGGTTTTTTTTAAGAAATCTGACTCATTCGAGCTTCTTTATGTATACTCAATAAAATCCATATTTTCGGGTTGATATCAAATATTCGCTGGATTGAAACAAAAAAAAACCCCGATGTGTTGTTTTGCCAACTTAATTCTACAGTACTGAAACCGGCAATGTTCTCGAACTTACTGAACGCCCATACAATATATATATATCCCCGTTTTATCTTAAACTTCTTAAGCTCAATAAGATGACAGATGACATCTTCCATACCTCAAGGGTCTATTAAAGGACCAACATCATAGTTTGCATTAAACTTTTCACAACCATTAGTGCTCATGGTTTTGAATGCACTTACTTTGCCCGGGGATTAGTATCATAAGCGCCATTGAAGGGGTTGGGGGGGGGTACCAGGAACATTTAAATTCTTCAACTCGTCTAGGCTTGCAAAAAAATGTCAGCAACCATAAACGTTGACCAAAAACCAGGATTTTTTTTTTTTGTTAAATAAACCTGAAAGTTGAATGTCTTAATGTACATAACCCATTATATAAAACCGATATTTTTGTAATTAAACCAACCATTTTCTGAGCTTAAACAAAAAAAAACCAGAAGGGGTTTTTGAATTTTGCCAATTCTCAAATGTACGTTAAGGGAAATTTTTTTAGACACTCGTTATAGTATAAAATGTAAATGTAGGTAAATAATAAATTCATAAAGCAATTTTTTGACAAAACATTTATGATGCGCCCTCTCAGACCCTAATAATATATTATTATGATGTATAGTAGTGATAATAGTATGACTAAAAACCCGGTTTTTGGCGTAGTGATAAAGGAGTTGTGCCGAACGCCGAATGTTGGTGATAAGTTATCACTGATAACGATCCTGGTGATAACCGTTTTATAGTGTAATGCTGCAGTGCCAGCGGCCGAGTGTCTTAGGCTGACGTAACGTGTGTGCATGTGCCGCCGTTACAGCCACAGATTGTGTGGAGGAGAAAATATAGTAGATATGCCGTTACCGGTACCAATCGATAGCGGCGTGCACACGACCGTGCGGCGTTGCCGGATCGCGCGTAAACACGCGAGTCCGCCACTGTTCGAAATTTCCAAGTGTGTACCCGCGCGGGCACTGCCCAAACACTATATCCGCCACCGCTCGCGCCGGGCGGTTTTTGGGTCGGCCCCCGGGGACGGAGACGGCGGCGGCGGCAACGGTAGTGGCGGGCAAATCGGCGAGCGGGACGTGCATGCACAAGGCGAGGGGAGATGACACTCGCTCGAACTCGGGGGCCACTTAATATCGTGCCATTTTCAATTCCGTCGACTTGAGATTCCTCCGCGGCCACCCTCCACTCTTTTCTCCTTTTTACACCCTTATTTTCGACCCTTCCGTGTACACCCCAGTGATCGTCGTCACACACACGTCACCGTTGGCGACGCTTACCCCGGTTTAATAAACCTTTTCGGTCTACCGCGACTTAAGGTGTGCTTACCAAAAACAAACAAATTAAAAACCCGTAAAAATCCAAACTGTTTGGGCTTGAGACAGAGTTGGCCCCCAAAAATGGGTTTATGCAGCTCAACGAAAATTTAATGGGTTGGGGCTTTTTTTTTCTAACCCAATTTATATTGCCAATTTTAGCTTAAGGTCTGGTTTGGCTTCGCTTAACTCGGACCGCGACCTCTGTTACTTGTTGATTATCGCTACTCAATTAAACTAACTCAGCGTTTTTATTTACTCTCTCTGAAATCTTTACATTATTATTATATCATAATATTCGAGTGCAACGTTTGAGAGATTGAACGACACGACCTAACCTCAAACGCGTTTCAAATCTGGATAAAAAAAAATCGCTTTAACCGAACAGCAATGTTTAACGTATAATAATAGGAATTGTACGGAGTAATAATATTCATATTTTGGTTCGTTTGATAGAAACAACGAGTGCCAGCCGTCGAGGGGTTCGAAGTCCTTTTTTGATAAGCCCAACGCTTTACGGTATATTTTATTGGCTAGCGCCAACCACAATAACACTAATATATTATAATATCATTATTATTATTATATAATAATCATCACTTCGTTGTTATCGTCGACTCTGGACTGTTTGTTCTTCGTGGCCGTTTGTCGTTTTGCAACATTGCATTAAACGCAGGAGAGACCTATTTTTTTTTTTTTGCGCCCGCGCACACCTATAAAAATATCAATAATTTGATAAAACAAAATATTAATAACGGCATATTTTTCAATAATAATGATTTTAATTATTTTTTAATAAACGATTGCGACACGAGTTTTTTTTTTATCGACGTGGTTCATTGCACTTTTCGAGCGGCGGCCGCCCTGTCGTGGTGGCACGACGGCCACTAGATTATAATACAAACATGCATTCGGCGGCGGTTGTGTGTTTTGTGATGTACGGTGCACCACCTAATCGCAGCAGTTGTGCCCGTGCCACCGCCGCACCGTGGCTCGATGTGTGTGTGTGTGTGTGACACTTAGTATTCGTTTTGCATGATGAACTCTCTTTGTCTCTGTCTCTCATTCTCTTGCTCTTGTCCGATTATGGTCATGGCATACGTGACGTTTTTGGTTGATAATAGTCATGGCCGCCGCTTCGGTCCTCTCTACTGCCCCGAGGTCACGTTTAAAAATCAGTGGCGATACATATTGGCGGCTCTACATTGGCGGATAATTTTTCTCTTCAAATGAAAATAAAAGTATTCTGAACTATTTGCTACTTATTGTCGGATTAATGTTATTGAAAATGTGAAGGGTGTTAAAATGTCCGCATATGGCATAAAAGCTCAACAAATTATAAGCATTTACCTAAAAATATGAATTTTATAGGGTGTACGTATATCCAAAAAACCCGGTTTAAGTTTTATTGAAAAAATGGGATTTTGCCAACTATGTTAATATAATAACGAAAGGCTAATGACGAAAATTGTCCTGCTTTAACTCTGTGAAGCCTTGGTAATTTGATCACCTAGAGCAACCGGTCAACTCGAACCCTCCGATTTTTTTGACTCGAACTATCCAAAACACTTGCAAACGATCATCACAAAAAAATCTAAACTGTTGTGGGATTTTGGTGCCATAATATTATATTTCCCTGACAAAATATCAGGACAATGTTTAAGTTGTGACTTAAACCCGGTTTTCCTTTTTAAATGTCCCAACATAGATTTTTGGGTAGTTTACCCAAAACGACTGGTTTTTTTAAACTTTGTAGCCATTATAAATGAGGTCGGCCGGCCTAGTCTTCTTCCTATATTTCTATTCTTCGCAAATTTAAGAGAAACAGAAAGAGCTACTATTAAGCAAAAGGTTAACAATATTTATCATAAATTGATCGTTTCAAGTATGACAGCTAATTAAATGACTGTTAATTTGTATGTGCTACGTTATTTAAAACAAAACTTTCCACTAGTTTGACAAAAGATTTATAAGACAATTTTCTTTGTACTAGTCTTTTTTTCTGGTGTATCAATTGAATGAATTTCAAAAATTTTTATTTAGGTAAGCTTGCTGTCATTAATTTATCATTGTTAACAACTAATCATATCATATTATTATACTATATCGCCACCGGTTACAAACTGACTATTCTCTGTAAACACTGCGATTAAGCACGTAGCTTTCTTATCACAATCATATCTCTTATCGGATCATTTCACAGATCGCTTTCGGTGGGGTTATGATCGCCGAAACATATGTTTCATGTAAAAAAATAAGGTCCTCTACGGGACGAGCATTGAAAACAAAATTGTATTACTCCTTTGTATGATTATTTTTAATTTAATGGTATTTACTATGAAAAATCCTATTGAATTGATCCAATTTGATTTAGACTTGTGATTGTGACGGAACCATCACTACGGTGGACCTGTGACGATTTTCTATCAGCGAAAAAACGTTATTGATAAGACTAATTATCACCGTTAACCATATACGAGTAGTTTAGACAGGAAAAGGGTAGTTTAGATACCAATCAGAGCGGAGTAATCCATTTTTATGGCATATATTTAAAAAAAGACGTTTAGAATTTTTAGCAGTCGGGCAACACTATGTAATTGTGACGTTCTATTGACCAAATTCATAAGTTACAAATTTTTTTCTTTTTCGGTTACTGCTCAAAATATTACTAAATACGCCTTTGAAATTATATAGCACGCTGTATATTATAATTGATAAATACATAGTCCAAGTTTAACAAAATATTTAAATATTCCAGCTACTACGTGTATCCCCTTAACACGTCATAAGTCTTTGATAAAAATCATCTTTATTACACAATGTCTTATCACTATAATACCAAGTCTAAACTTGTTGAATATTTCTTTACTATATATTTAACCATAAGTATGCTTAACAGTTTTTTCTTTTTGTTTTTATTTTTATTTTTTAAATCCATACTTTCCACCATAATCTCATTATTACTTCTTCCATATTGGAGATGACCAGCTACCACCATACACATTATAAACTATGTTTATGGTTTTTTCTACTAGAGTGAGCGTATTACGCCATTATTATTATTATTATTATAAATATAAGATAGTAATTTTTTAAGCATTTGTAGGATCAGTGGAGTATACTTAATTTGAAAATTGCCTACTGTTCCTCGTGCAAATTTAAGACCAAAATTGCAAAGATCACGGAGGGTTTCGTCAAAAAATACGAATTGTGGGATGACCTTATTTAGACTAAGTTGTTTAAGTTGTGTTATAACGTACCCGCTTGTATCGACCGGGCTAAGAAACGGACACAATGTTATTATAATCAACGAATTAATTCGACCGTGATATTGTCGAGTGTACTTATTACATTTTCTTTAGTGTAATTTTCGCATAAATTATTTGCTCTTTACTTACTGTGCCTCCGTGTTTAACCTTGAGCGTTGTTTGGTGTTTTTCCACAGGTACTGGTGAATCAGGGAAATCTACGTTTATCAAACAAATGCGGATCATCCACGGTTCTGGTTATTCCGACGAAGACAAACGAGGGTTTATCAAACTAGTATACCAAAATATATTCATGGCCATGCAGAGTATGATCAGGGCCATGGACATGCTCAAAATACATTACGCTGATCCAACTTGTTCTGTGAGTACACGCAAAAACCTAATTTAAAAAGTTTATAAAACTATAAAAAAAAAAAATCGTTGATATTTATAAAGTCATATTTTTTAAATATTTATATACGTTTAAAATAACACCGAATAACTTTTTGTTTGGTATTTGAACAATTTAGTTTACACTGCTCACATCTATTGTTATTTAGGAGGAATAATTTGAATTAGGTATATCACATTTTTCGTTGCTGCATTAAGACTTTATACTATTTTGTAACCGACATAAACATAATACCCTATTTCTTAAAAACGACACCAGTCGAGTTGTTTCAATTGGCGGCTCCAAGTTTAGAGATATTTACCGGATTTATAATTTATATTAACAATTAAACTACTGAATTTTGCATTTGTACTGTGCTACTCTTAGGTCTCTCGCGTTCTAATGTCCGTTGGGCGTATAGTGCATTTTTCAATACAACATTTTTGACTTCTACAACTAAAAGCGTTATGTTGTATTGGTGTTTTTTTCACTGGCATTTGACGATAATTCAACATACATACGGTGATTCGTGTATATTTTTTAATTTAAAATAAAACTTTGAACTTTCTCACCGATTAAAACACTACGTATTAAGTGATCGCGCTGTGACAATATGTACTTCTAAAACTAAAGCAGTAAATCTAAAAAGTAGCCGATGTTTGACTTTTGAGACGAGCGCGCCGAATATTATGTAGCTACTACGATAGGTCAAAACAACAATGAAAAAGTGAATAAAAAAATAAATCGTCGGCACGCGCTCGTCATAAAACCGTATTAAAAAACATTAAGACAATTATTTATTTAGCATTGTGTCGTCGCATTACAGGAACGTGCAGAGCTCATAAAAAGTGTAGATTTTGAAACGGTCACGACTTTCGAAAGTCCATACGTCGAAGCGATCAAAGCACTATGGGCGGACGCCGGCATTCAAGAATGTTACGACCGTAGACGTGAATACCAGCTCACCGATTCTGCAAAATAGTAAGCGTTCCTACACTTTAGCGCTCGACCCGTTATTATTATTATTATTATTATATTTTATACCATTGATTTTAAAATGTACAGATGAGCCGTGCTACACACAAGAACGGCGACCGACTTTATGCGGCACTCCCGCCGTCAATAGGGGTACCACCCTAGCCATAGTTTTTTGGACGGACGGATGGTAACTATGGCGAAGGTACCTACCTACCTCTGTTGACGGCGGGAACCCGCATAAAATCGGTCACCGTTTTTGTGTAGGTAAAGCACCCTGCTACATCTGCATGTATGTTTTAAAAAATCGTTATTTCGATATCTTAATCAAAGCACACAAGTGCCGTGTCGATTTTTTTTTAAATCGTGATTTTGGGTACCCTTGAATTCGTGATAAAAAAAACTGAATCGAATGAACACCAGTGATATGTCCAAAGAGCATAAATAATTGTTCAACTACAAAATATTACCGTAAAATTCTATGTCCATTGTGGATTTTTTTTTAAGGGTTCAAGAGTTAAACCTGTACTTCAAAACTATATAAAGTGGACATAGCACTTGTGTGCTTTAAGGTATCGATTTACAGTTTCGTTTAAAACCACCATGATTATTGACTATCGACAGACAATATTCTTCTATATTTTAAAACAAAATCCGGGTGTTACTTGAATAAAATATACTCTGACGCTTATTATATACACGTTACTAACAATATTAGTTGAAACAAAAAATGATATTCATTTTTATAAAATTACATTTTCTATAGTATTTTATTTTTCTAATTAAAAACTTATTTTTTTTTTTAAATTAACTTATCAAAACGAACTGTTCCTTTTTTTTTGTTATAAACTATAGTCAGTAATCATCAAAAAAAAAAACTTTGATTCGCATATTTACAATGTTAATAAAATGTCTTGTGTAGAATTTAATATATAATTTGTACAATTTTCATTATCAAGAATTATCAGCGTACGAAATGTGTATAATTTATATATGGTTTTTTTATAACTCCTCTAATGTATTACAACAAAATACTATCGTTTACAGTTATTTAATGGAAATAGACAGAGTGGCCAGTCCAAATTATCTGCCCACAGAACAAGATATACTTAGAGTAAGGGTCCCCACAACGGGCATAATCGAGTACCCGTTTGATCTAGAAGAAATTCGGTTTAGGTAAAAAATAAATGTTAAGATTGTTACGTTTAAAGCGTAAATATTTTGGCGCTCAATTGTGCATGGGCATATTTTTATTTTTAATATATAAATGCATGAATGTTAATATTTTGATTAACCGCAAACGAGAGATGATTTGTCTAAAATTTGTTTTAACAAATCAACAAGCTTTTGTTAATTTTTTTTTTTTTTTTAACTAATACTACCGTTTTATTTTTAAGGTTCGGTCGTGTTAGGCCGTATCAAATTAATCACAAAAACATCCTAGGCGGTTTACTATTATTTTAATTTTTTCCCCGACTGTAAAATTTACAATAATGACAGTGGCTGTGACGAAATAATTTCAATATGTATTATTTCTATTACTTAAATTTATTTTTGAAAAATGTATATCATATTCAGTTACATAAACGACCTAGCCAGAATCGAAGCTCCCGATTACTTGCCCACCGAACAAGATATTCTTCGAGCTAGGGCTCCGACTACGGGCATTATCGAATACCCTTTTGATCTCGACGGTATCGTCTTCAGGTATTGTCTGAAATGATGGCCTTTATCTAAACACCTTACAATACGTGTCCTTATTAGTGTTTTGATGATCCTATATGTATACATTTCTATTTTTCAAAAAGACAACATAAATTAGAATGTACAATGTTAATTTTTAATCATTTCCTGTACTCGCCACGGCTAAAATTATAAAATCACCATCGTAAACGGAAACCGAGTAATGTCTCAAAAACACCTAATTAATTTTATTATAATATTATATTATACATCCTTGTTGTTGTTTTAGGTGGCTTCGACTAGTTATATTTTTGGTCGCACGAGTGTTCGCTTTGAGATAAACATTTAAAGTTATTATGTAATTTGCTTGCAAGTACAATACACTTATGTTCAGCTTTGGTTTGCTTGTATAATATTTCTTGTATTTGAATACGGCTTGTTTTTTTTCTTTTATATATATTTACATTTAGAAAACTGGCATTAAAAAAACATAATTGCAGTGTTTTGTTTTTATATTACTAAAAGTGCACTTGCATGAACTATCGCCGAATTTAAAAGGCCGTTAATTAATTTATATATATATATATTTTTTTTTTTTTAATGTCGTACAGAATGGTCGATGTCGGAGGACAGAGATCGGAACGAAGAAAATGGATCCATTGTTTTGAAAACGTCACGTCCATTATATTTCTGGTGGCGCTTAGTGAATACGATCAGATTCTTTTCGAGTCCGAAAACGAAGTATGTCTAAACAATATAATATTATAATGTTTGAGTGTGCGAAATTATTTCTAACGTATACAATATGAATTGGTTTTCAGAATCGGATGGAAGAATCAAAAGCGTTATTCAAAACTATCATAACATATCCTTGGTTCCAACACTCGTCAGTAATATTGTTTTTGAACAAAAAGGATCTTCTCGAAGAGAAAATCATGTACTCTCATCTGGTAGATTATTTTCCAGACTTCGAAGGTGGGTGCTTTTTGTAGTACTTGAAACTGAACTCGATCCCTACGGCATTCGGTAGCCGTCAACGGTTTCTATTCTGTTCATTTGATTTACGAGCAATCGTATAATACCACAGCAGCTGTGGTATTATATTATGTTGAAATAATAATTGCCGGTCATTTATATGTTTGATTTTTTATTTTTTTTTTTTCAAATAAATTTTAATGTTTATCATCAGGAGCTAAACAAGACAACGGAGCTGCGCAACAGTATATATTAAACATGTATCTAAAAACTAATCCGGACCCCGATCGCATGTGTTATTCGCATTTCACAGTCGCCACAGGTTATTTTTAGTGATTTTCGATAAACTACTTGAATTTTTTCAACCAAACTGCACTGAATCGAGCTAGAGACGTTTTAATGGCAAAACGTTGACATTTACCGATATTCAATTTCTCAGCGGCGGTACGTCTGTCCGCTATTGTTTGATTTAAAAAAAAAAAAACAATATTTTTAATCATCTAGCCGATGTTAAAAGGTTTGACATAGTCAAAGCGATTTGTTCACTTAGTTTCGTTTTTATTTACTCACGTAACGTGAGTTTTCCAAAAAGGTTTGGTCAGTTCAAATTCAGTTTGGTTTAAAAAAAAAAAAAACAAAGTTTATCACGAATTTCTTCTAATTAATAAAACCTGTAAATCCATTGAATCTTTTATCCTGTAATTATTTGTTTCGATTATAGAGTTTCGCCTAAAACCTAATCGTAAACACCTTATAGTGTTACCTAATGTTATCAACTCTAACCTAACCTAGACTAACCTTAGTGTTGATCATAATGTCTACCGCTAGATTAGTTAGAAATATTTATACAATGTCGTCCAATCGGTTTAAAACAAGAAGTTGTGCCCCAATTTTTTTTTCAACGTCACCCCGACCTAAATACACACGTCTCGCCACTGTTATAATGTTATAATTCGTGTAGTACAGGGGATGTGTGAATTAGGACAATTCGACTAAAGTATTAAATTTTAATTCTAGGCTAAATCCGCCACCGAATTCGAACATCGTTTCTTATTCTGAAAATCCAGATTTCGGCCCAAATTACAATTGAAAACTAAGGAAATATAAAGTTATAAATAAAAAAGTAATAATTTGTTGTGCCCAAAAATCGTGCTCTCCGACTATTCCTGAATGCGTCAAGTTTGATAATGGCTTCAGTTATAATTTGAACAATTCTATAAAACTATTCTTAAAATTCTTTTCTTCTATTTATACACCTCAAGTTTCTTCCAATTGAAACATGTGTTCTCTTCTTATGCCTTTTGACCTTCCGAGTCACCTCAAAATTCCCGCTGAAGAAGTTTACAATAGTCTGCAAAAATGTTTGAAACGAAAAAATCCGTTGGTTGACTTGATAGTATTCCTAGCGACTTTCTATTCAAATTAAGAGATGTCCTATCTCTCGCCCTCCTTGTGACTTCCCCCGGTGCGTCTATCCCTCTCCCTTGTTACTCTCGCCGACTGTCGACACGCGGCAAGCATTTATTTTTATTTCTAATCTCCTTAATAAAAAAAAATTGAATTGCCCTGTTCTTTTGTCTTTAATTGACTTTCGCATAAGTTGTTTTCTCTTGAGCTCTTATTTATGATAATGTTTTTATTAACAGTACATAATGTGTTACTATTTCAATGTTAATGTGATAAAGCACTATTTAAATAACATCGCAACATACAAAATGTTCTACTATATACTCGACTCTAATTGTATTGGAGTTTGGCCTGTTTAGATTAAAATATTGCCAACAATATGTACCGAAAGAAAAAAAGTTTTTTTTTTTTTTTTAATGGTTTTAATCGTTTTTCCACGCCTTTATTGTAAATAGGACCTCAGAGGGACGCCATAAGTGCACGAGAGTTTATTCTAAGGATGTTTGTGGACTTAAACCCTGATAGTGAGAAAATTATTTATTCACATTTCACGTGTGCCACAGGTATTTAACCGATTTTAAACGTTAATCATGCATGTGCATGCTTTATGTGATTTCGTCGCTGTGCATTGTGAACTTAATCTATGCATGCTGACTAACAATGATTTACTATTTATAATTATTTACAGCGTCTGCTAATATCCATATATATATATATATATTTATAAACTACCAGTTACTTTATGGAATAATAAAAAAAAAAATTCACCTGAAGATGAAAAACTGTTAAAGCTTTAAAAGGTGGTACTATTAAATAGTATTATATACTTGTTGATAGTTTTACTTTGACCGTTATGTTAATTTATCCGCAATTCATAACATCATGTAATACAATTTAGAACTATAATACAATTTTAGCAGCTTTATCATCTGATTTTTTGTCGATGAACAAATTTCAGTCATAAATCTGATTACAGTTTAAAATAATAACATATTGCACGTTAGTTTCTTTATTGTAAATAAGAAATGTATTATCTTTTATAACCATTTCCTGAACTCCTTTGTGACCTTGTAGGTTTTATAAAAAAATAATATTACCGATGTTAATTTGTGTTTTTTCTTTTTTTTTTTTGCATGCTGCATGCTTTCTGTTCAGATACCGAAAACATAAAACTGGTGTTTTGCGCCGTCAAAGATACGATTATGCAAAGTGCTTTGAAGGAATTCAACTTGGCTTAATTATTATAACTATCAATTACTTAAATGTTATTAATCAATGCTATTATTTTATTATATTATATTATTAACGACGATTTGGAAAAGTTTTTTATTTGGTTGTGTTTTTGTCTTTTATTGCATGAGTAAAATGTGTTTTAATATATTAGTTTATTGTTGTTATGTTTTTAATTTGATTTATAAGCTGATTGTACAGAGAATTGTGCATCCGTTTTAACAAAAATAATTATTATCATAAATAAAATTATTAAGCTATTATTTTTTTTTTAAGCATTAATATTACTACTTTTGGGTAAAAAATAACATATCCGTAATAATTGGGAATTAAGCAAAATTATTTTACTGCTTTCAGGACATTTTTTGCTAATATAATATTTATCTTATCGTACATTGTCTGATTACTTTAGAATTGTTATTGTAAAATTTAATTTTTAAATTGATGTCCACACCGTAACTTCGGTTATAGTATGTTAATATATTTATTCAATTATTCTACAATTTATGTCTTAATAATAATCAATAACGAAATTAAAATCAGTCGTATGTACGATAGTCAAATGATTAACAATTTATTTTTATTTATTTTGCTCTGTTGTAGTAACAGCAATAAAACAGTGTTTTATCATATGTGAGGTATTGGTTTTTTTCCTTTTTGCACGAGCATGATATTTTTCTTATTAACAACAAATAAATCTTGGCTGTTTTATACGTCTATTATATTAATTGTGGGAAACAAGCTGACTTTTAGCTTGTATTATGTTGTGATGCCCTAACGTGATATGCTTGGATTACTTACAGATACTGAAAACATAAGGTTTGTCTTTGCTGCAGTGAAAGACACCATACTTCAATCCAATCTCAAAGAATACAACTTAGTGTAATACAATGAACGACACAAAACGATGATTGTCTGTATGTTAATATTTTTTACTATTATAATGTTAAAACAACAATACGATTAGTGTAAATTCTAATTATAAAATAATAATTGTATAAAAAAACAAATGAAAATTTGAAAAAATGTGTCCTACATTTTTTTGTACAATATTTTTAACCAATACGTTTTTTCTACATTTTATCTCCACGAGTGTTAAACGTTGGTGTCGCGTGTCAAGTCGGTGGAAATTCATCGTTGATTTTAAAAACATAACATAAGGGTAACTTAAAATTTTTTTTAAAACAAATTTTTTACATGTGTAAAAATGTAATGAAAAAAATAATAAAAACTACAATTAATACTTTTTATAAGAGCGCATTTTTTTCTAATTATTATTATTATTATTACTATTATTATTATTATTATTATTATTATTATAATTTTTTTTAATATTATTTAAAGAAAATTATATAATTAATTAATCTCCTAATTTTCATTGCATTTAACCCTATGTTATAATAATTATACAAACTATGTAATATTAAAATTTAAAACGAGAAGTCAATATAAAACAAAATTTGTATATATATAAATCTATAATAAGATTATAAGAAATTATAAATATCAGAATATAAATTTTTAAGTGTATACAAAACGAAAATAGTTTCAAACACCGCCCGCCTTCCTTCAAAAAAACCAAGACATTTCTTTTGTTTTTTTATTTGTTGTAATTATTTATATAATTATTATCTTTAACATCGTGAGGTGGAGGTTTTGTTCGTACAATTTTGATTTTTAAATGATAATAATAATAATAATAAAACCCTTAAAATTGCATTTAAAAAAAAAGGGTGGTTCTAGTCACAGTCTTGTTAAAAAAAAAGCTATAAAATTGTGAATTTTTTCTAAGTTACCTGTGTACATTTTTTTTAATTTAAAACAAACGAAACTTTGTAATTTTGGTATTAAAACAACTTTGTCTTTTGAGCTTCGTCTCAAAAAAAAAAAAAAATATGCTCACCCCGATTTTTATTCTATATATTTTGTTTATAATACTTTTAAGCCAACCAGTTTGTTTTGTTTTTTTTTTTTTTTATTATTAGATATAAATTAGGTATATATATATATTGGTAAATTATAATATATATATATATATTTGTGTACAATTCAACGTGTTTGAGAGGTGCCTTGCTAACTATAAACTTTGTCGTTGCGTCGATATTTTATCGATTACCATTTTGTTATAATATTATAAATAGCTGTACGTGTAATAAGTTGTTGTGCTATAAAATTTTACATATTTTAAAAAAGTGTAAGCTTTTAATTTGTGTTCATTTGTCAACTTACGGGGAGGGGGGAATGTTTAACTTAGTGAGGTTCTCTTGGACAACGTGTAGAATTAGTACGCGTGTACATAAAAAGTTTGCGGGGTGATCGCAAGTCTGACCATCCAATGTATTCAATGTATTTTTTCTTGCATTGCATTGTATAAACATTTTTTATATACTGCAGCAAGTAATTATTTTCAATACTTTTATACAGTTTACAAACACGGGAATACTTTACACATATTTTTTTTCTAATTTATTTCAGTCAAAAAAAATAATTTTACATTAGACATTTTACATATTTTTTAAACATTTTATTATTTATATTCTGAAATTACATTTTTTTTTGGTTTTGTTTCAAATTTTATTATAATATTTATTATTATTTTTTTTTTTTTTTAATCCTAAATAATTTGTTTTATATTGTTTTTTTATTATTATTATTATCATTATTATGAATATTATATTATTATTATTATTACTATTGAATAAGGAATGCTGCCGGTTTTTATTTTATTATTATTACTATTTTTTTTTTTTATCGGTTTTACCTACCGATAACACTAGTGCAATTTGACTTTAAAATTATTTATGCAAACGTAATTGTTTAAAAAAAAAATGTACTTAGTCAAAGTGTTACCTGTTAGTTTACTGTACTAACGAAATATCTATATATATAAATATAGATTTGTATTTATATATATATTTATTTTTATTTATACATGTGTAAAAGAAAGTATGTTATAAATCATATATTATTATACATACTTAACATATATAAATATGATTTATATATATATATACATAAACATTTTGTTTTAATAACAATCAAATGTTGGATACAAAAATATTCCTTGAGTTCATTATTTTGATACATATGTGTATATAGTTTTTTTTCTGTGTGATGTCTAATGTGAATTTTTCAAAAAGAAAATATACAATTATATCGCTTTTTAAAAAAAAAAAAATCAGTTCTTATTTCATGATTAAAAACAATAGAATTATATTTTAGGTTCTCGTTATCTAATTAAGAATAATACGCAGTCATTTCTATAAGACTTGATTTATTCCATGTTGTTGACAATGTGTTAATATTTTGGTTTTGAGCAAATTAATTATTAGATTTATCTGTTTAATTTTATTATATCATTATTTGTTCTATTTTTATTTTTTATTCATATTATTATATTATCGGTTTTTTTAGTTTTCAAAAAGTGCTTTTTAAGTAGTAACTCAATTTATTTATGTATTATTTTTATGTTGTGATTTATTTATTTTTATTATTAATAGTAAATATGCATTTACAATTATAGTTTCCCTTCTATATTATTTGTCCAATATCTTTTGCACATCAATAGAAACCAAATTATTTTTTATTTTATACAATTGAGGTTGTTTTGTGAACCTTGTTTTTATTCGAGGAAGAAAATGCTGCCAGTATCAATACACCTGATGTATTGATCATTTTATTATTGTTTTTTGTTTAATTTAAAAAAATCATTAAAGACAACAATGAGAAAGTAGTATTGTGTTTTATAACTATTTTTTATGTGTTGCCCTCATTAAATTGTATAAACGGAGAAATTATATACATAATTAAATTAATAAATTTAAAAAAAATTGATTAACCATCATTATTTTATTTTTTTTTAATTTAATAATTTTCTGCTGTCACAAAACACAATATTTGTTGATTAGTAATTATTTGATTTGCATAATTAAGTACTTGTACAAGATTAATATCAGTCGGCCTTGGTATGTAGAAATTTTTTTCGATTCTCAAGAATGTATTGATCCTGCAATGAAACTACAGAATAAAAAAGAGACATACAATTTTTTTATAAACATACTTAAACCAAAAATTAATTTGTCAATTGTGTATGCAAAGAGTTATTAGTTATAAGTTGCTAGTTAGATATTAACATCATTCGTTAAATGGTGAACATAAACGAGAAAAACAAATTATACTGATTCTAATCATTACTGGTTTAATTTTTTTTTAAGACTAATTTTTAGATTCTTTTTATTTTTTTTTAAGATATTCTATACCTACATATCTTGCATGATAAAATAACGAAATTGTAATATCAACTATACATTTTATTAATGAAAAATATTGTATAAAAACACAAGAAAGAACCAAATAATTAAGTTTATATTTGGCAATTTGATAAGGACAATTTACTCCGTCTTAAACACTATTGTCTTACATAATTATGGATTTTTAATAGTAACTTAATTGACAAATCAGTATTTTTCGAATTTTCCTTGATGATTTATGTGATCGTAGAAATATAAATTGTAGTTTTTCAATGATTTCCCCATAATTGCGTTTGTGGCCGTCTGTGCAACCATAGCTCCAACAATAGATGTAGCTGGACTCAACTGACAAAACAGTTCACTAAAATAAAATGCAAATTTAATCAAGTTATTCATTTCTATACAAAAAATGTATAGAGTTTAAATATTTCGGAATAAATCTAGTTTACCGGACATCCTTTTTTTAAATTAAAATTGATAGTAAATTTAATGCTGATTACAAATCTGCAAGAATTTTTTTGCCGGACGTACTTAATTTAGGAGTTATAGAAATTTGAAGATTGTTGCAATCGACATACTGGTGGTGGACGTCTACCTGCGCTGCCGATGGGTCTATTTTCCCCGGCCCGTCGTGGTCTTTTTTTTTTGCCGTAATACCTTTGTCTGATAATGATTATATAAAATCGAAAGATAAAGTGTAGATGTACACCAGCGGGTGCCCGCGTATGTCAATCTCAGGGATGTTCAAATGTCTATAACTCCCAAACTAAGTTCGTCAAAAATCTTGCAGATTCGTAAGCATGTACCGATTTCAAAAAAAGGGGTGCCCGGTAAAGGAGATTTGTTCCTGAAAATATATTACAAAACTGGTGTATAATCCAAAATGTCCAATAAAATGAAGGACTTGCGTTCATTCACAGTCAGTATGTTTAGTGAACATAACTTGGTTCATTTTACCATATGTTTTAGTATTGTGCTAAAATATTGTAAAATCACACGGAAAGAGAATACGATAGTGAGGGTTGACAGAAGTCGAAAATAAATAATAAAGGTCTATAGAATAAACACAAAGAATATTTAATAAAAATTATACTAGTCACCTGTAATATTCGTCTGGTATTTCTGAAGCACCTTCCAAGGAAGAAATGATCGATTTTAACTCGTCAATGTCTTCTTCGCACGTCTCTGGGTTTGGCTTACGTTTGAAGAAACAATAGAACATCAATAAAGCTATTGAAATGAATAAAAATATTAATAACAACAAAATATGTCTGTTTATTAAATACAACAAATATATCATAGTGATTTATTACACGATGTCAGGTAGTATGCGATTTCTCTTTTGCATTCAATTTCAGAAGAAGACGTTCTATAATTTGGAAACACAGTATCGTACGTAGAAAGATTAAAACCACTAAATGAAAAATAAAAATATGATTAAAAGAAAAATTATTGTACACTATGAGAATGTAACTAACATGTCTTGGAACATATAACCAAACAATCCATATACGTCAGCTATAAACAGTTTAACATTAGCTTGCTTGCAATGCTTATTGAGTTTTTCATAAATGGTAGGAGAACATTCTGTAGCAATGACAACATCGAAGGATTTGACAAAGTTTTCATCGTTTTCATCAATAGGTGTGGTGTCAGCGGTAACAACCACGTTGGGATTCAACTTTTGAGCCGCGACGACACTAGCTTTGGCACGCTGAAAACAGAATGCGATTAAAGTTTATTTTTATAATTATAACCTAGTCGATTCAAATTACGTTTCGTTCTTGGCTATCGTGGCCAATGAGAAATTGCGAGCACGTATCCAAAATCGAAACGTCTGTGTGGTCTTTCAATGTAATAGAGTGAATGCCGCTCAATATTAGATTCTTGGCAATTTCGGCACCCAATCCTTGCAATCCAATCAGCAACACTTTTGACGTTCTCAGTCTGCAATTAACATCAAGATTCGTTTTTACAGTAAGTAATAACAGTTCAACAAGTTATTATGGAATTACTTTTTTTGAGCGTCATAACCCCACAGACGAATTTGTCTATCGTACACTTTACGTTCATCGGCTGTCAGCTGGACATCTCCACCGTTTTCCGCCACTTCTGTCGCCATTATAAACAGGTAAAAGATATTAAAATCAATAAGAATTAGGTAGCACTAAAAAACGATAACGGTTGAAGAACAGGATCTGAAAAATATCAAAAATGTCATAAATGAATCTGTACGTAAGTGTGTAATGTCGAATCCGTACCTAGTCAACTACTGTGAGTACTGTATAGTATTTGATCTAGTCGGGTTTAATAAATTTTTTTTATCGTTATACTCACTACTTACCAAAAAAAATAACTGCTATGAACCCGGCGTAAAACGGCGGTAAACGATAAATCGTCCATACGACAGCTTACAAGTAAACAAAAATCAACACAATTACTCGCGTTATCAAACTGCATTACTGTTAGGTTAGATCGTGAGTCGCGATCTACCGATAGATCACTGAACTATTTTAACCGGCAAAAAGGCACCGTTTAAAAATAAATTGTTATGTTAGGTATAAACGTTTTTTTTTATTCTTAAATACTGATAGTGATATTAATCAGAAGCCATATAGTTATAGAACTTTTATTTTTAACTTATTTTGATCCAGCTAAAGAAGACCCAAAGACTCAGCTGAGGAGATGGAGAAAGACGAAGACGATATGCTAGACGATGATGGTAATCCTTTAGAATTGGGTGCACACCTTGGAAGCGACGGATTACCTGTAAGGCTGTAAGTATGCACAAATACGATTTATACAAAGATTCGAGCGAAGAAGAAGTGACTATATCGCCGAACGAAATTGCATTAGATTGAAAAGGGCTTTTGGAAATCGGAGACAAGGATGCAGATTGGCGAAAATACATGAAAGGTTCTCCTATAGAAGAACATACTGACGTGAACGTAACGATTCGGACTTCTTAAATTATTTTTGTTAAAGTGAAGTATACTATTTGTTTTATATAAATATAAATTATTCTAAAATAGACATCGCATTGTTGTTATTCTTGAGTTAATTAGTATGAATGTATTATGTATGTTATGTATAAAATTATTATAATATAAATAAGTATGTATATTTAAACACTTAAAACATTATTAAGTATAAACACAATTATGTATGAAATGTATACAACACTGTTTATACATTATGGGACACCAAATTACTTTTAATTTAAAAAAATTCAAATTAAACATTTTATACCTGGAAAAGTCGATATTTATTTAAAAAGTAATCATGTTGACTAAATAATTATGTCTGCCATAACTTAAAAACGGTTATAAATACAAATGATAATTTATACATATTTGTTTATATTTTTGGGGCCTACACCAAATATTTCTAAGTATACATATATAAATGGGCTCGATGGCATTATTGTTAAATTTTCCGTACCCAAATATTTTAATAACGGGCTTATCCACAAAGTTGATACCAGTGTTAAACCAGCTTGTCGTAATACGATAAACAGCGTCCCGTGTAAAAAAAAATATACATAATATACTTTATCTGGTTAAAAATTCCACGACAGACGACCTAATTAAATCAAATTTAAATTTAAAAAAACAGTAAAAAGCAACAAAAAAAAATTCTGAAATGAGATTGCCAAAAATTAATTTATCAGACGCGTGACGTTCACGTAGATCGTTGTACATTACGTAGAAAGGACTATATTATTTTACAGAAGGAAGTGTAACAGAAGTTGGGCGATGACACGTGCACTTTATCTGTTGTTTTTTTTTTTATTACCTATTTTATTTTACTATTACCTTTTCGGTAGTCAAACGCGAACCGCCGTTAAACCCAACTACTCGCTCTAAGTTCTTCCGTTCTCTCCGACTCCTAAATTTGTCCTCTCTATCACTCCCTCTCTGTCCATCTCTCCTTCTCTATCTAGCTTGTTCCTCCCACCTCTCTTTCAGACTCTCCCACCCGTGCTCTTCGAATGAGTCTTTACTCGTTGCAATTGCGATTTTCACGAATCACGTATAACAACGGAATATTCGCCAACGAATGTGTGTCACAACTCACAACTGCACCGATTGCAGTCGGCTCGCGACAGCGCGCGAGGATTGTTTACGAGTTGTGCGTACAAACCTGCTACACTTAAACGAGCAAGCTAAGCTGTTAACACAAACATAAATTACACATTATATATATATATCGTTCACTCAGGAACAGACACCAGCTGTGAGACCGCAAGCCCCCGACCGTATGCCTATAAACATAGTGAGCATAATAATAATATATTACATTATACTATAATATTTTATCTCGTCGCGTGTATATAATAATATACACGCGTTTGATAATGATATTGATAGAAATAATTTATACACAATAATAATAATAAGTAAATAACGTTCCTGACGGCGGCATAAAATAATATTATTATTAGCCTCCTACGATGGATTCTATCCCGTGCCTGGCACCGGCTTGGTAAAACTTGAAATGACAATACCGTGTGTGTGTGTGTGTGTGTGTATTAAAGGTATAAAAAAGTGCTTTATGCCTAACCCTCCAAATAGGGGGGGGGGAGCACCCTTTAAAAAAAACCCACGCAGACGGTAAAAGACCACAAGCCGGAACAGTCGACATGATTTTAGACCTTAACTACAAAATAGACATGCCTCAGTTGAACAGGTGAGCAATTAAGAGGGACAACCTTTTCTATCATAATAATATTAGCACTTGATTTTATCCATAAGTATCATCGATTCCTTTTTATTTCTAATTTTCGTAAAAAAAAATTCGTCATTTTATTTTATAATTTCCCATTTCGTCAAAATTGTTAGGTGCTTTAAATTTGTACTAAAATTGTTTTTTCGTATATTCCAATATACAAAATTGACTTAAAAAAGAAAAAAAATATTTATATATTATTATTTTATTTCTAACGAGAAATTTTAAACTTAGCAAAACTTAATATATTTCAAGCCTTCCTTTTTTGAGGCTCGAAAAGCACTAAAGGAATGCTACCGAAGAGAAACCATTTCGATTTTTAATAATTAATATATTTTTTAATAATAATTTTTAATAATTGTGTTGAAATCTTATAAATATATACTTAATACTTGGATTTAAACAAAGTTCTCTAACCAGGTATCTCCTTTTAAATATTTAAACCCTATCGACGTTTTTATTATAGAATGGTCTTACAGTTATAACGAAGTGGTCTCCTCTATTTTACCCTTCTTGCATCCAATTGTAATGTGTATGGTATTATTATATGTGTATACACAATGTGTATTACACATCGTGGTGACAATATAAGTGCATTAAGCACCGTTAAAATTACGGAAACCCGTGAAAACTACTGACTAGATAGAGACAATGATAATGTTATTTGTATATTTTATAGGTATATATATATATACATATATACATACCTGTCCCAGTTACGCAACGCCATATCGGATAGATTGGGTCAATACTATATGTGTTAATATAATATACACCTGTGTATAATTACAATGATTACACATATAACTTGTTTCAGAGGTGACGTCAGTTTCAAATACGTTTTGAACGTGATGACTAACCAAGGTGAGTTACTATTAAAGGTTTCCGTTATTTTTGCTATACCAACATCTTCAAATGGATCTCGTCCTTTTTTTTTTTAAATTTGATACATATACTGAATTTTAGAGGAACGGGTGGTTCTGGTGACCAAGTCTAAAAGTGCCGCTTGCACAGTGCTGGTGGTCGAACGGCAGGCGGACAACAACAACGACCGGTGCAAGAACGACGAGTACACCGCTGGCGGACAGTACAGTGGCATAGTGGTCAGCAAAGTTGGCAAGTACGGTCAGTACAACTGAAATCACGAATTCAAATTGTTTTCAATAAAATATCTCTTCCAAGCAATTTGTAAACGTCCTCACTAGTCAAGAAAGTGCTGTATACTCCTTAATACTTTAAAATTAAAATTCGTATTTACTAACCTAAAATACCCATCATTTAATTTTTCACTCTGCTAAAGACTTCACTGAACTTATAAAATGTTTACGCATACGTATAAAAGTTAAGATACCTTCCATTTTTGAAGTTCAAAAAGCACCGAAGGAAAGCTACCAAAAAAAGACACTTCGATATTTCAGGATTAGTCTTGGACTAGTTCACCCATACTTGGCTGATCCTAGTGCTATTGTTTAAAGAATTAAAGAGTTCATTATTTGAAATTATTCTCATTTCTTGTTGAGCTTTGATAGTCTATGCAGTACCTTCATTCCCTCTTTTACGTTTCTTCATCTATCTCTATCCTTGCTATCTTCTATCGACTATTATTTATTTATTAATAGATTATACGGTTGTGATAAATGTTATAGGCTTATGATAAATTTGTCTCAATTCTTTGTTAGTTTCTCCCCTGCACACTTTGTTACATTATCTTGCAAAGTGATTGCTTCATTCTTCAATGTTGCTGCAAACATCTCGAACCTTTTTGTTTCCTACAATTACCAATGACCATATTGACGTGTTATGATATAGTCGGCGATGATGACACTCCCTTTGATGCCTCAGTACAATTTACCGTATCTTTAATAAACAGTCAGACGGGGATGCACACCAAAGAGCGCCGGACCATCAAATTCTGGTGCCGGCAGGACCGAACGGCGGACGCTTCTACGGTAGCCTCAGAGTTCTTTCAGGACGTTATATTACCCGACAAGTTTCCACTGGGTAATAATTTAAAAGCAAGACCTTTAAATCTGAACGCTGTATCAATCTCAGTAAACTACGAGTAATTGTCTCCTCGTTATTTTATCGTTTAGACTACGTGGGATTCGTCAAAAGGCTTTTAACTCTGATGCAAAAAGGCTACAAGGTCGTAACGAAACTCGAAATCGAACTGAAACAGTTAGAAGAAACGGCAGCGATCCCAATCCGTGCAGGTATGATAAGAACTATGTATGTATAAAATATATTTAATGTTTAAATTGTGTACTTAAAAAGTCTATAACCATATTACGGTTTACATCCCTTTAAACTACACACAATAATTCGCCGGAAATCTAATCGGCCAAATTAAATACATAAAGCCTGCCTAATAGACCTCAATTATATTCAATATTTATATTATCGTATAACACGTCCTACGTGTAATTTCTCAGCCTTGCTTTACAGCTAAAAAATATTTGAAGATTTTTTTTTGTTAGTCATTGATTATGGGTTTTTGTGATATCACAAAATAGTGATTCATGATATTATTTTTCAATGACCAGTTAACATCTTTATACAATTTGTGATTTGTTAAATCATATTGTTAGGCTAAATCTGGTTCTACGAAAAATAGGTTATCTATACATCATTCATAATACAATACTATTAATGAACCACACGTATCGATGAAGACGTATGAAGGTTAAACATTACAAGTATGATGTAGGTGAGAAATAAGATAGTTTGGGCAAGTTGAAAAGATCAAATGCCCAAATTAACTCGGTTTTTCTCGAACCATAATGTGGATTATGAATATAATCCATATTATATTAATAGACAATAATTCGGTCTATGGATATAATAGCGTTTGACATAATTCCCTGTGAATCTAGTTTTAAAATAAATATTATTTTAATTCTCGATATTGGATACGATTTCTCGTCAGGTTTAAATATACCTCCTAACTCGCCATTGAAGCTAAAATATTGTGTAATTTGAGACATAAACAAGATACCTTTATCGTATTTTTACATAAGAACATAAAATAATTCTAATCATAGCATATCAAATGGCACAAAAAAACAACATTTGTCATATTTGGCTCTAATACACAGAATTACTTATAAATTATAATACTGAACTTGGAACCTGAGACCTAGGTAATTTTTCACATTTATTCTTTTTTTCGACTAAATATATAATTCTATAAAAGTTTGATTCCACTTTTTATTATATCCACTAAAACTTGTATATAACTAGTTAAAATTTAGTGTGCGGTAAAATTATTTTCAGACGAAAGCATTTGAAGTTTGAACCAAATAGTAATAATAGTCTCATTACTAATAGAGTCGAGGCATCCAAGTATTTACTTGTGGTAATGTCTCACGGTGAAAGCCGTAGGCGTATGTAATTACTAAAAATTCCCAACGGGTAAAGATTGCAGGTTAGGTTTAGAATGTTGAAAAACTCATCTAGACCTACTAAGAGCCTACTCGACCCAGTCATTATAAAATGTGTTTTACTATTGCGTTTTTGAATTCATACATTTTTATTAAAATATAACGTTTCCCTAAGTATTATAAACATATTTAGAGCAATTTTATTGATTATTATAAGGAATGGTAATTTATATCAACTGCATGACTCAGTGTGTACATGACGATAAGAAATTATAATGTTATTACCTGTAAGGTAACCGGTAACCTACTCAAGAACCATGAAAAATCTGAAAATATATTATTTAACATTCCTAACATATCCGAAATCGTAATTACCTATAGATGTAACTTAGTCATACACATATTTTCTAATACTACCGATGTTCCGTTTTATCAAATTCAAAGAAATATGTATGACATTGATAAATGGTGATAAATTAGTAACAAGAAAAGTGTGCTGTATTTTTTCACATCAGTCATTAATGTCCACCCAAGTATTTGTCATTGTCTGTTAAGATGGTGGGCATCTTAAAAATATAGGTGTACTCAAGTTACTTGAGTCTACAAAAATGACGAAATAATATTCATAATTCGAAAAATAACTTATTTCTTACCCTAGACCCTAATTGACCCTAATGACCAGTGGAAATAGGACAATTTAATGTTATGATTCCTCGGGTCAAGTTTGAGGCGAATCGGCTCTATAACTTCCGCTATAGTTGACTTCTCTCTCTCTCTCTCTGGGCAGGTGATTGTGTAAAGAAAGAAACTTCCATTTTCCTCAGAGGAGGTCGAACTAGGCCTTTTAAGCCTACACTCGGTTAAAATAAGCTATACGATGACAATAATAATTATATATTAACTGTTATAAGTATAAATTGACTGTTTTTGGTCATGGGTAAACATCCAGATTTTGTAAAATAATTACTACTATTCTTTATATTTCTAGTTTCTACAGATGAATCAATTAGAGAGGACGTTACTCAAACAAAACTGCGAGAACTAATCGAATCATCGTATCCCAACCCGCTGACCGTCGACGACATTTCAAAGTAAGACGCTAATCATTTACCCTATTCTGTTATTTTAACTTTAGCAGCTTTTTGGTTTTTGACACACCACAAAACCCATAATGTACAGGAAGTAAATGCTATTAATCGAGGTGTGTTTACTATAGGAAAAAAGGATGGAACCATTCTGACGTGCAAGACAACATGGACGAATTGCAAAAAACAGGAATCGTCAAACGCGTGGACGGTGGTGGATACACGAGGGTGGTACTACACGACAAGGTAAAAAACCAGAAGCCACGGTCTTTGAATCCAACTCGGAGGATACCAGACACCAGCTCACCATTGAGTCGGGGCAAATCCGGATTTTTATGATTTTAATGATCCTATACCTACTCTAAAGTGTTATAAATCTAAACCTATTTTTAATCTACGCAATTTGATTATGAAGCTTTGGTTTCGGGTTTTTTTTATGAAAATCCGGATTTACTCAATAACCCAGTCCGGCCTTTCGCGGTCTATTACGCATTATGTATACATCTTATTACCCGTGTTATTGTGTGTGTCTTACCGATTGCGTCGCTCTTAATGGGTGTTTAAGATCGTGGAACAAATGCCGATCATCCAAAACAACCGTCAGCCGACCGTGGCCATTATCACTGCAGAGTATTGCGAAAAAGTGGCAGTGGACGCGCTAATCGACAACAAAGAAACGTTTGTGCGATACAACACAGTGGGTAAGCATTAGTTAGGTACATATCATACATATCACGTAGGACCTAGGTATATACTTAGCACCTATCACTTGCGGTCAACTGCACTAATAATTCGGCCATTTAACCCTTTTACTCTCACAATCATCGATAACAATTATTACGGTAAACAATTTAGCACTATAGGCGGTGTCCAATTGTTAATTATTATTCGGTCGACATACCGAAGCTATGGTAATGTGTTTGATTTTTTTTGCCAACACAAGCGCGATTAAAGCCCATTAAATAGTTTATCGTGACTTAATAAATCAATAATTAAGCGAGTTACCGGTAAACCATTGATGAGTCTTATGGCTGTTTAGTTGTCTCGACTTTTTAATCGGATTCCGTAAGATTTCAATGCGATAAACTCCAATCTGAAAACTACGTCGCAAAAGCCAAATTTTTTCTAAAATATAATATGACGACTGTTAACCTGGTGCTGTAAAGTGCAGCTTTCTTGATTGTCCGTCAGCAATAAGTAATAACTGACCCACATACATATTTTTAATTTATTGTTATTTGATCAGGTTAAAACATTTGGGACAATAGGTCCGGACATCTACACGTTAAAATGATTAATGTACCTACAGTGTTCATATGTACACTAATTTACAAACAACGGTAGTTGTATTGTAATATAAAAACGTCTATTGCAGCGCGCAAGGCGTAGTCAAGGTCTAAGTGTTTAAAAGTTGCATATCGTAGTAGGTAAACGGGCAAACGGGCTAACTCTATATTGTTTTAATGTACAATAATAAACGTACCTATTTGCCGTATTACCTGTAATATATTTAACGCTAATTAGGCTCAAGGCCGACTTATTAACCATATACCTGTCTATGGAGTTTTTTCTCGAAAAACAAAAAAACTATTTGTAGTAAACCATGTTTATTACTAGTTATTATACAACAGCGTTAGATCTAATAGATATACAGCGTGTTTGTTTGTTCTCGTTGACGTGTGTTTTAGATTATGCTGAATATGCACTTGTTCTGCCAAATTTGGTATGATAATAATACGGTTGAAAAAAATCAAGTTAACGTTATAAGGCCGTTCGATAAACGACGAGGTCAAAGTCAATTTTATATAAACAACACATGGCATATCCATACAACATAAAACAAAAATACTTGTATTTTTAAAACAATAGCCGAATGATAATCGGGCAAAAATATGTTTACGATTTATTTTTGAAAAATATTAATTTTGTAGTTTGATGTTTGGGTTATTTTACGTTTACTTAAACTGTTTTATTTCCGTTAAAAACGTTTTTTTAATTTTTATACGAGTCGAATAACTCATTTGTTTTTTGTGTATAAAAGACTGTTGTGTTGTAATATTACCTACTATCTAATTGGATTTACATAAATACGGTGCGTCGACGATTGCGAACCTTTTGTTTTTAGGAAGTAGTATCTGATGGTTTTTATAGTTGTTTACTAAGCTACACGCTATGTCATGTCGTCCCCAGTGCAAGTACTAACCTAAATGTACTCAACTATAATTTATAAACATTTCCCATGACACCGAGGTACATTTGAGATACGCCGAGTTTAATTTTAGCGGTTTCATACTGTTCTTTAATTATCTTGACTTGAGAACAATTGAAGTGACATTGCACGCCCTTCTAGTCCTGCTGTTATTTAGACTAGCATCGTTTTACACTAGTTTATACATTTTTTTTTTAAACCATTTCAGTAGTATAAAAAATACCAAAGAACAAAATCACCAAAACGATTAAACACATAACAGCTGCAAAACTTAACACATTTAGTTAACTATACCTAGTGTAAAAAGACACCTGTTGCGTGCAGCTTAAAGTACCATTTCCTATGTTCTTTAGGAGAATCAAATGTTTACACCTTGGGAAAGATGGGCAAACACAGCGTGGTGTGCACTAAACTGCCAGCATTGGGACTGAGCAGAGAAGCAACAACAGCTGCCGGCAACGCTATTACTCGCTTGTTAGGTAAGCGAAAATTAATAAATCAATTTTTAATTAAAGATGAAATTCACAACAAAGTTGTTGTCATAGTTAATCCCTCTATAATTATAATTTTAACGTTTAACAACTTAAAAAAAACAATGTAACTAGAATACGATTATGTATTATTCAATATTAAACTGATATTTTTAATATTTTCTTAATAACCTTTTTTTACTAGCTTGGTTTAAAAATAACCGTATTAAAATTATTATAGGCTGAACTTTACTTACTATTAAGAATTTTTTCTTGGTAATTATTTGTTTGATCTAATGACCCGTCTCGTACAAAAACAACCTTTACTTTCTAAATATATCTTTGCCGAAAATTCCTATAAAAAAACAACTCCGTAACTTTTTGAGAGAAAAATAACCTAAACTATCTTTACTTGGTGTAAAGATTTATTCGGTAATTTATAAATTTAGACCAATATTTATACCTTAAAAAAAACAATACTTACGTTTTCAAGTAAATATTATCCAATTGAAATCAAGAGCTTTCACTTAATTTAAAAGTCATGTAAATGTGATAAATATAAAAAGAACAGTGTACAGAATTATATTCCTTGTTTTACAGCCGAAACTGCATTGGTGTTTACAGATACCAATTATTTTCCAATGACCTTCTGACCGCCTTTGAAAATAAAACAAATATAATACTTTCAAAACACAATTAACTGTTAATGTTGTGTAATACGTTGTAATTTGTATTGGTGTAAACATTGTCAGCTTCTCGGCAAACTAAAATGTATATTTCTCTATAGTGTTCATTTTGAATTTTTAGGAACGTTTCAGAGAGTCGAACACGTGTTTGTGTGTGGTGTAGCCGGAGGAGTGCCACATTATACCGACTATGACAAGCACGTGAAATTAGGAGACGTTGTGGTTTCTCATTGTGGAAACGACCTGAAGTAGGTATATGATAGTATTATGATAGTGCACAGACTATATATAGGTTAAATGTGGTTTTTCCAGAGCTGTTTACACGTACTGTGAGAACGTGACAAACGAAAGAGGTAACACAGTATTCTTCTGTCGTCAGTACTGCCCTCAGAGGTTGGACATACAAATAGCGGCTATGAAGTTGCAAACTGAAGTAAGCGATCGAATGAGGTGCCAAAATTCTACATTCTTTACAATGGCAAATCCTATTATGTAATATGTATTAAAGGGTTCAACATACAATACGGAAGTCAGAGGCGGATTTGACATTTTTTTTCAATCTATCACTATATTGATTTTCATATTTTTAGATCGTTAAAAAAAATCTTATCTAACAAATTTGCATTCCCTTAAATAATGCCGCTGTTTTTTTTTAAACCAAATCGATAAAATTATAAACGTACAAAGTTAACGTAAGAAAAAACACATAAAAACGATCGAACAGTTTAGTGTTGTAAAATATCATAAAACCTATGGATCAATTATTTTTATCCTAAAATAATGTAAATCGGTGTATTTGATGGTTATTCATTTTTAATTTTGAAATATTCGACTATGTGATTGACTCAACTAAATAACTTTAACTACAGGTAAAATCTGCCGAGCACGTACCGTTGTGGGACACTTACTTGAACGAAGGGTTGGAAGGGATCGGTCAACACAAACAAGACGACGACGCCGCCAAGTTCAATCGTCCGTCAGCAGAATCAGACAAACTCCGCATGTGTGTCGGCGGTACAGACCTCATCGAAATTACCCATCCGATCTCGAAGAAACAGTTGGACGTAAACAGGTAAACTCTATGCTGTTTCCGGCCAGCGTGTGCCGAATGCTAATGCCTAATCATATCCATACGGCATACCCATATATATATATATATATATATATATATATGAGATAAATGACAAATTGTGTGCATTGCAGGGGACCGAGAATACACGTAGGTCCTGTGGGAGGAGGTCTGAGCGCGACGTCCAACGATTTTATCCGACAAAAATTTACCGCGGAATATAAACTGCTGGCCGTGGATTCGGAGTTCGATTCTGTCATGGGGTCGTTGATGGGCAACTACTGTCATTCCTACGCCGTGATCAGGGGCATTTCAGATTACAAAGACGGATCGGTCAAAAACGAATGGCAACCGTACGCGTCGTTGGCCGCCGCGTCAGTTGTCAAAGCGATATTGTCCGTACTGAACGACTAACAGCTGTACTACAAACGCACTGCAATAATAAATGATATTTGTCTAAACTTATCGACGTTCCAGGACCCCGCTAATTATGCCGTTTGCGAGGTATACAACAAGAAAATAAAAATTATGTACTATATTGTAAATATTATACACACTATGCGTGATGCAAATCTATTAAAATGGAAGACGTCTTAGTTGAAGCATTGTGATCTGTAAATGCAGGATGTTGGGGTTTCGGTTACACGGGTTTATAGTTCCAAATTTGAAATTAGTACCTAATCGATAGTTAACTAAAATACAATTTTACCTAGTCTGTGTAAGCGATGAAATGTAATATTGGTTTTTATTATTATGTTTTGTTTTTGTTGAACTGTAAAATCATTAATAAATAATTATGTATTATTACGAGTACCTATGTCTTTTGTAAATGTAAATAATCATCTAGGAAATTGATTTCAATATTCAATAATATCATCTCCGCTACAAAATGTATTAATTTCATCTTACTCAATGTTACATACGATTATTAGAATACTTGTTGATACAATGTTAATAAAACTTCATAGATTTCATTGATTAATTTTATTCCGCCCAATTTTCTGAGTTTTTCAAAACACTTACATTTTGTGAAATAATTTCCACAGTTTTTATATTCCAAAACATCAAAATATGTAATTTCATCTTATTTGAATAATTTTCGTCGTCTTCGATTCTTCTGACATACGGGTGACTCGCAGGACTTTCTGATACATGTTGTGCTTAACGATTACTGGCATCGAGCATTTAGCTCCTAGCGTTTGAAATGAAAATGCGTATAAAGTGGACAAGCATTTATGAACACTTTCATAATATGAACCATTTTTCTTGTATGTCAGATTTTAATTCTTTGAATCCAAACTTATCAATTAACAAATAAAATAGGTATAATTTTGTAGTTAAAAATCAAAGTATTGTAGCAGATTTTATATTGATAATAATCTACTAATTAGGCAAACGTGAGTCGTGACTCACCTGCACTACAAAAATACTTAAGGTTTTTAGGTCATACAACAATTAAAACCCAATCGACGACTCGACCTTTCGCCTTTCGATAACATGGATCATTTAAATTTTTTACCATTTTTTGCCTGCTCTTGAATATCAGTTGAAGGGCACAGGGGAAAAATGGTAGTAGTCACATTATGAAATTTTTTTTTTCAAATAGTTTTTTTCAATTTATGCCAATAATTGTTTTATTTATATCAATAGATTGTTTAAATAAATACATTTATTATTAGAGTAGCATTTAATATGATTTTTTTTGTTCGTATGTAAGAGGTAGAGGAATTCACGAACTTTGTTTTTGCTGTACTCTAAAATGTTCATAATGTGACAACTACCGTTTTTCCCCTGTGCCCTTCAGTTGTTTTTTGGTAAACCGAGAACTAATGGAAAATGAAAATGAGAATAAACCGTTTTCGAAACATCCCAGAACCAACAGAAGAAATTATAACAGAAGCGCCGAAAGTTATTAAAACCACTACTCCAACTGTAGACGAAGTTGACACGACGCCAGTAAATTTTACAAAAGCATTGAGAGATACTGAAAGGAAATTTAAGACCGAACCGACAGGGAGAATTGAGTGGCGTGAAGATTTAGAATATCTCGATAAGGAATTAACGAAAATAATTCAACCTCGTATTCCAAGAAAGGAGTACAGAAAAGTACAAAACATACTACAACAAATGAGAGACGAAAAAAAATCATCATTACATTATATATTATAATTTATAACCCTTCGAACGGATCGTAGTAATAACTAACAAGTAATAACCGTTGTCCGTTGAACAACATAGTGATAAAGTAACCAACAATTAAACTGTTATTATTGGAATGTACATACTGTTAGATACTGTCAAGTACATTTCACGCCACTAAAAATCAATACATTTAAATATAATTTAGATATACTACAGAATTTTTATTAATTAATATAATATTAGTATTATTTATTATGTATTAACTGTTTTGTGTCAAAAATCTAAATGATATTTATGCCTCAATACTAGTATACATACAAATTCGTTTTTAAAAATGGTCTTTCATTACTTCCCCCCCCCCACCCGACTATTTACATATACATTTTTCCATAAAATATATAACTTATAAAATATATCAGCCCAGCCAAATATAAAATTTATCCCGCTATTCACATAAAAACCAGACCACTCTGAATAGGTTATAAAGAAATCATCAATTTCATAGGCTCAAAATCTAGTAATTTCTCACTATAATACATATTAATTTAAATTTTGCCTAAAAAACCAACTTTTACATCAATCAATTTCTACTTTTGTTTGATAATAGGTAAAACTACATGAAACAGACTGCATTACAACAGAAAAAAATGACCTTAAATACAAGTATGATAAAACATTAAACATGTGAAATAATTACTGCATAGCTCAGTATATTGAAATTTCAAATACTGAACTTGAGAATATAAATGTTTAGTTAAGAACCAAAACAAAATTGTTTGCATAATTTTTTTAATTAATTAATTAATTTTTGACAATATAAAATGTGAATTTAATAATTAATACTATTCACTCCCATTTTTTTGAAATATCGGAGTATTCGCCATCTGGACTCTGATAGTTTTCAATTGGAGGAGTTTCTACGGGTCCTTCTAAATTATACGGTAACAACGACTCATCAATTTCAATGGCTGCTTGATAAAGTTCCTCGGAAACTTCACGTAATTCATTTAATGCTCGCTGTTGTGAATACTCTAAATCATTTATTACTTGAAGGTTAAAAAAATGTTCATCGTGCTTATATTTTGACCAAGTTTTTGAAGCCATTATACGCTCTTCAAGTTTTTCATTGCTATGACTTATAGATGGCCTTCGTCTATCTCCAGATTCATTAGCAAGTGAAGCCATTAACTGAACTTCATCAATAGGTTTTAATGTTTTTGATACCTAGAATTGTTAAACAAACCTCTTCAATAATATTATTTACTTTATTTATGACATTATTAAATAAAACAATAATAAATTACGATTCTTACCTTTTCTAATTTTCTTATGGCTTTCTCAATCTTTTTACGTTTTCTCTCTTCTCTCGCTTTCAAGATTTGTGGATCCAAACGTTTTTTCTTCTTCAGTGGTTCTGCAAACATTGGAGCGGATGATCGGAATAACAACGGACCGCCATATGTAGACACACTTCGTACTGTTCCTGATACAAAATGTTGGTTTAATGACAGCGAAGAAAATAATTTAAACATTTTCTTCTTCTTAATATGATCAAAAGCGTAACATTGATCATTCGATTCGGCAAGAAAATAACTTGACTCTTTTTACTTTTATTGAATCAGTAATCAGTAAGTGATAAGGTTGATATCAAATTTAGAAAAGATAATAGATATTAAATAGTATTATCCAATCAAATGATCACGCGGGAAAAAAGCAAATTCAAACAATAATAATTATTTTCACATATTATTAAGGCTGGACATTAACGAGATAGAAAGCTACAAGTTATTATAATATTTTCTAACTTATTGTCTTAACATGTTACTGACAAAAGTTGGTATGTAATTTTTTCCTAATTTCGGAAAATGCAATTATAGTTTATACTAAAATTCTAAAAAAATTTTTGTTTGATATTTCAATAATTAATATTATAAATATATTCTCATTCTTTTTACTCGTACTTATTGTACGGATAATAAATTATTTATCCCATATTTATAGCTGCCTGGTACATACATTCCTGTGTTTTTTAATATTTTTGTCTTTAAGTTTCATCTAGACTCAAATTTATACTGTCACACTTTTTTTTATCTAATACCAATGTACATTTTTATAAGCTTATAATGATGAGCGGTCGGAGGTATGCCCAGTTATCCATTATCCTGATCACGAGTATTGCAGTCGTTTTAGATGCCTGTTGGCTCAAGTTAGGATCTGAATTGTTCGCCGCTGATTTTAAATTCTAGACCACAAAATATGACATTTAATCTTAGATACTTGCGAATGTCTGTCTTATAGTTATATTGCGTATTGCTGTGTATGAGTAGCTTTACACACTTGATCTAAAATATTTACTAGGGACGCTATCGCAGCGATTGCAACGTCTAAGAATTTAACAATTGTTGTTTTATAATTTGATGTAATTACTAATTTATCATAATTGATATTTATAGTGACTGATTAAATTCATTATTTAAACAATCGCCAATTGGCAACTATAATAATAAATCATAATCAGCTTGCAGGATATCTGCTGCAATCTCCTAATAAAGGTATGTCAAATCCATATTCGGAAGTCGGGTGTTGTTCATCTGTATTCTAATTTCTAAACAAAAATTGATTTAAAATAATGTGTATATTATACAAAACACAATGTGCTATACCGATCGACCAGAGTGCGCCACTGGTAAATTTTCATTTGAATTTTTAACCTAACCGCTAGGGCGGGGTCGGCGCTACATAACTTCACAGGTTACGTTGAATAATGAATATCTCGGTGTAAATAAACACCAAACAAATGACAAATACTAAAAAGCGCACTTTATTGTTTTCATTAAACGTTTTTTGTATGTCGTTAAAATTTTCATAAAACCAAATATAATTGTTCTAGCATTGTTTTTCTGTTGTTATTTTGTTATTATTAATCATTTACATAAATATTGTTCGGCATCACCAGCGGATAGTTTTATATTCGAAGAGGAGTACAAAGTATGCAGTATACGATCGTTAATCACGTTTAAACCACAGGTATTTATTTGGGCGTATACCTCTTTTATTCTTTGCTCATTATTACATTCATACACAACAATAGCTGATCATTTTTATTTTTATGATTGGTCTTTTTGCGTTAATTCGAAACCAACATAACCGCTAGTGATTTGTATTATCAACACAACATCATCCAATTTCGGAAAATCAACAGGTTGATCAAAGTTTTTAAAATTTAACAGATAATTGTCAATCTATCTAAACTATTTTATTAATTTACCACTAGAGTGCTTTAAAGAGTAAAATAATAAATAAATTACATATTACAGCTGTTATGTTTATTTTTAGTCAAGTTTTAGTTTAAAAAAAAAGTCTGGGCACTTCCACTAACAGAAATATTATCCTTAAGGGTCATGCAACAATACATATTTTCAAGAAAATTATTAAACTTTAAAATTATTGAAAATATGATGTCTGTTGCTGGTTTTCCTGTATCCTAGTATAAGTTTTGATTTAACTTTGTAAGCGAGGATTATGTGTAGTGGTGGCAGCAACGCTCATTTCATAGTGTTTAGGGATTGAATTCTATAAACTTTTGTATCTAGTTCAAAACCTTATCTAATGTTACACAATATGGTCATAAAATTTATATTGTTAAATAAATATTGAAATTTTTTAGTTACTTGTATTGTAATCATAATGATTTTTGTTTTAAATACTTGTATGTATTTGTTTTTGTTTCTAGATCTCTAAAAATGATCTCCGTGCTGTTAATTTTATTTCTCAAGCTATGTCTTGCACAAGATTATCCACCTTATATAGTCACTCAAGATAATGAATATCCGAGAGCAACTAAATTGCAAAGTGAAAATAAAGGATTGAACAGTTTGTATGACTGGAAAAACAACTTTGACAACAACGTTATCATCCCAGATGCGTAAGTATTTCATTTTATTGATTTACAGCAAAACAACCTTAACCCATTAATAAATTTCTGTTGCAGTAATTATTTTATTGTGGCGAGTCGAATAGTTAGACCTGGCCAAGTTTATCGAGTGTCTGTAACGGTTTACAAGGCTAAACAGCCAATTTCAGTCAGGGCTTCAATACAAAGAAACCGAGTTGAATTGTCCTCTGAAATACGTGTGATCAAAGAAGGAATTCAAGAAACGTTACTGTTATTGGTTAGTATTTTTCATTTCAGAACTATATAAAAAATTAGTAATATATTTTTAACCATACTTCAAAAATGAACATGATTTGACTTTAGGTTCCCACTACCAGTGTCACTGGTGAATACAAATTGAGGGTGGAAGGCTTGTACGATGGTGTAGTTGGTGGAATCGCTTTTTACAATGAAACCAGATTAAATTTTTCCCAACGTTCAATGACTATTTTTATACAAACTGATAAACCAATATACAAACAATCAGAAATAGGTACAAGAAATATGGTTAAATAACATAATTAAATATTTATATTTACATTTATGAAATACTTTCAGTATATTTTCGAGCAATTCCAGTCAATACAGAACTAAAAGCTTTTGATAATCCTGTCGATGTATACATCTTAGATCCGAATCGTCATATTATGAGAAGATGGCTGTCAAGACAAGTATTAATATAATTTATTATTGGTTTCATTAAAAAAAAAAAAAATTATAACTATTTAAATTTTAATTAATAGTCAAATTTCGGTTGTGTGAGTTTAAATTATGAAATGTCAGACCAGCCAGTTTTTGGTGAATGGACTATTCAAGTAGTTGCTCAAGGACAAATAGAAGAAGCAACATTTTTAGTTGAAGAATATTACCAAACACGGTTTGAGGTAATTTTATTGTAACATGCATAAATCATTTTATACCACTTTGTATTGAACAATAATTAATTGAAATCTTTTTCGATTAGGTTAACGTAACAATGGCTGCTTATTTCCTTGATTCTGATAAATATTTGAGTGGCTATGTTATGGCCAATTACACTAATGGAGGGCCCGTTAAAGGAAATCTAACTTTAAAAGCTACAATCCGACCACTAAAAAACGGATTTCAAAATTATGACGGTCCAATCACTGAAAAATATTTTAGCTTTGTAAGTTGATGAGTATTATTTGTTTAAATAAAGTTACCAACATTTTTATAAAATATAAAATAAACATTTTTTTTTTCTAGGATGAAACCTATCCGTCTTGGTTTCCCAAGCAGTCTGAGTATACTCGAATTAATCAGATACCACATAAAAAATGGGTAACTATTCTTATCATGCTTATTTAGTTTTATTATTAATAATATTTATACTGAAAACAATGTCATATAGTAGAACTTATTAGAGACCGAATTGCACAGATATTTAACGTATATAATTTTTTTTTCTTTAGTTTTACGGTGTCTACAAATTCAAATACCCGCTGAGCGAATTGCAACAACTAGTTTCTACGTTAGAGGGAACAGAAGTTACTATAACAGCAACTGTTGGTGAAAGATACTTAAATGAAATTGTAGAAGGGTATTCTACTGCTCGTTTTTTCAATTCTTCTGTTCGACTAGCATTTTTGGGCGGTTCTCCACAAGTTTTTAAGCCTGCAATGCCATTTACTGTTTATGTAAGTCAGGTTTATATTATGTCATGCTAAGTAACTTGGAATAAAATATTAAAATTATTTGCTATTAGATAACTGTTTCACATCATGATGGTTCGCCACTAGACCGATATAGATTGATGCTTGGTCAATTGGACATGACCGCAGAAATAGTGATGAGATCTGGCGGTCGTAGAAGTATTGAGTCTAGAGTAGTGAAAATGTCAACGGAACACGAAGGGGTGTTTGAAATGAAATTATACTTGCGCACAGAACTGGGTAAGTTGTCTCTTACTAGTATTAAGTAAAAATTATAATTGAAGTGACAACTATTATTTTATAAACAAATTACGAAAATATTCTATGCGACTTTCTTTGCAGGTCTTGAAAATGATAAACGTGCACCGGAAATATTAAAAGATATTGATTCAATGAAAATACTTGCTACATTTAAAGACATGTTTGGAGAACGAACTAGTACAGAGTTATTATTGCTAACCCATTATTCACCAAGTCTACATCAACTTAAAGTTTGGACTTCAACTAAAGACGCCAAAGTAAAAATGCTCACTTATAAAAACTCTAAATATTTTATTTAATGTGTATGTTTTTGCATTCTAGGTGGGGCAGTTCATAGTGTTTCATGTACAAAGCAATTACTTTTTAGAAACATTTGACTACATTTTACTCTCTAAAGGTATCATACTGTTAACCGGTCAAGAAGTCACTCACGCTTCGACAATTCGAACTTTTGCTATTACACTGTCAGCCGAAATGGCTCCTGCAGCTACTATTGTTGTTTATCACGTCGGGAAATTCGGAGATGTAGTCGTAGACAGTTTAACTTTCCCAGTAAATGGAATATCGCGAAACAATGTAAGTTTGTTATTTTGCTATGTAATATAGGTTGGTTATAAATAATTTATTTTATAATTACAGTTTACGGTGTTTATTAATAACCGTAAAGGCCGCAGTGGTGAAAAAGTTGAAGTCGCAATTTATGGCGAACCTGGAGCCTATGTTGGTTTGTCAGGCTTAGACTACCCTTTTTATAGTTTACAAGCAGGCAACGAGTTGACTTATGCAAAGGTACATTGAATTGCACGTAATAATAGTTTGATTTTCTATACAATACAATTTTTTTTTACAAATTATTGTGTTAGGTTTTAACCAAAATGGAAAGGTTTGATGAAGACACAAATGGCACCATTATGCATACGTGGTTATCTCATGAAGGCGCACCTGACGAAATAGTTTATTTCCCATCGTCTACTTTTGGAATAGACGCTAACCGGACATTCGAGTTAGTTTCAATAAAACTAATTATAATCATAATAAATTAATATAAAACATGTTTTATGATTTTAATTCAATTTTTTAGATTTGCTGGTGTGGTAGTATTTACTGATGTAGTTTTACCCTTAAGGCCGACTTTGTGTAACAGAACTTTAGGCTATGCTGAGTGTCTAAGCGGCCGCTGTTATTTAGCTAACAGGAAATGTGATGGCCATTATGACTGCGATGATGGTACTGATGAAGCTCTGTGTAAGTGTGCTTGTATTGTTCTAGCAAAAGTTAATGACATACCAACATTACAAATATTTTTTATCAAGAGAAAAAAATTGTTAATAATACATTAATTGTTCAATAAAATATTTTTTGGGGATTTACCATCTACAGTTTGGCATTGAAGCGTGACCTCCCCATCTTCATTATGCTCAGCCTTATTGTACTAACTTTTTTTGTTATCATTATATATCTTTTAGGTCCTTTATATAACCGTACAGAGTTCAATAATTTCCGCAAATTCCGTTACAATCACATTCAAAGACATTACGATAATATATGGTTGTGGCAAGACATAAACATTGGTCCTCATGGCCGTTTTATATTCGATTTGCAAGTTCCACATCGCCCTGCTCATTGGATGGTGACTGCTTTTAGCTTAAGTCCCACTAAAGGATTTGGCATGATTAAAAAACCCATTGAAGTGAGTAAAATTTACCAACATTGTGAGTCAGTTTTATTTATTTTTTTTAATTATCTTTATAGTATGTCGGAGTGCTGCCATTTTTCATGAATGTAGAAATGCCCACTCACTGTAAACAAGGAGAACAAATAGGAGTTCGCGTTACTGTTTTTAATTACATGTGTAGCAGCATTGAAGCTGTCGTTGTTTTATCTGGATCGGACTCTTATAAATTTGTTCATGTTGAAGAAAATGGAATAGTATGTTGGAAGAAATGTCTACAATATTTATTGGTTTACTATTTGTTCACAACTCAAGTATTTCTGTTTAATTTACCCAGGTAAACTCGTATAACCCTAGAACTTCCCATGGTGACCACCAGTTTTTCATTTACATCAAGGCCCAAGACGCCGAAACTGTTTATCTTCCTGTGGTACCGACTCGGCTGGGAGACATCAGCATAAACATTGTGGCGACAACGCTTGTGGCCAGTGACCGTGTTACAAGAATATTACATGTAGAAGTAAGTCTAAAAAAAAGAAAAACACTTTATAATTCTGGTAATTTATTATTAATAACATTTGTATTTATTTAGTCCGACGGAGTACCTCAGTATAGGCATCAGTCAATGATACTCGATCTCAGCAATCGAGCTTACGTTTTCCAGTACTTACACGTAAACGTTACTGAAACTCCTATAATCCCTTACAGTATTGATCGTTATTATGTTTATGGATCAAATAAAGCTCACCTTTCACTGGTCGGAGATGTTGTTGGACCAGTTTTTCCAACAATGCCCGTTAACGCCACATCCTTGTTACATTTGCCAATGGTAATTTATTTTTTTATATTTCTTATTGTTAATATTTAGTATAAATGTTTCTATTATTTATATGATTTTTAACATTAGGATTCTGCCGAGCAAACCATGTTCAGTTTTGCTGCAAACCTGTACACGACAATTTACATGAGATATGTGAATCAACGTAATAGAGTGTTAGAAAAACAGTCATTCTATCATTTGAATATTGGATATCAGCGTATGTTATCATTCATGAACAAAGACGGTTCATTTAGTCTATTTAGAAGCGACTGGTAATTTGATTCATACTAATCGATATTTTTGTTTTTGTACATAACTGATTTGTTTTTAGGAACATGTCCTATCCAAGTGTATGGTTAACGTCATATTGTGCTAGAGTATTTCAAGAGGCAAATTTCTACGAATGGGAAAACTTTATTTTCATTGATCCACAGGTAAAATAATTTTGCTTGATGAAATCATGTTCAAGATAAAAGTTTACACTAGTTGTCATGTATTTGTAAAATAGGTTATTTCAAAAGCCTTAATGTGGGTATTAAAACATCAAACAGAAGAAGGTTCATTTTATGATGTGTCGTGGTTCCCGGATCGTAAAGTCAATAGCTCTATACATAGATCAATTTTATTTGGATCAAACCGACCCCATCGTTTTTCAAACATATCATTAACGGCTCAAGTGCTAATGACACTTACAAATGCTAAAGATTTATCAGGAGTGAGTACTCACTTTCTACAATTATTTTTTTCTTGATCCTTGACCAAATTTAATTAACACTGGGTCAATTTTTATTAGGGATTAGGATCGAAAATAGCTCAAGGAGAAAGTCGGGCAGTAAAATATTTAGAAAAAAACATGAATTTGTTAAATATGAGTGGAGAACCTTATGAAATAGCTCTTGTTGCCTACGCTCTTATGTTGACTAAATCTTCATTTGCTGAGTATGCTTTCAGTTTACTAGCTAAACATGCTAGAAGAGAAGGTAGTTAATTTTTTAATGTATACATGTTTATTAACACTAATTAAGCTGCTGCTTTATTTTTTCGTTAGGTGGGCTAATGTACTGGGGTAAAGAAGATGTGCCATTACCACCAACAAAAATGGAAAACCAAAAACCTTTCCTTTTACCACGATTGCCTTATAAATATGATGCTATAAATATAGAAACCACGGCATACGCTTTGCTTGTTTATGTTGCAAGAAAGGAACCATTTGTTGACGATATTGTCAAATGGTTAAATTCCCAAAGACTCACCGACGGTGGATGGGCCTCAACACAAGACACCGCAATAGCGCATAAAGCATTAATCGAGTACACTAACCGAAATAGATTGAGAGAAGTGTTTACGTTAACTGTGACAGTCGAGGCTACATCCCTTCCTGGACAAACAAAAATATTACAAGTGAACAGTGACAATATCGCCAATTTACAAAGAATTGAGGTAAAAAAAAAATCATCTCAAATAACTTATAACAAGAATTTCATCCATTGTTTATGCACGGATTGAACGTATTCTATTTTTAAAAACTTACATTTTTATTTGACATATATTCTCTCTCGAAAAAATTACCCAACCCCAGAACACGTTTGGTTTTATTGGCAGTGAACGTTCAGTTTTTAAGTTTATTTTTTGAGTCAACATACCAAACACTGATTTCAACTTATTGTTTTTTAGATTCCACAAGCCTGGGGAACAGTTAAAGTGCAAGCTAAAGGCTCTGGTTACGCAATATTACAGATGTCTGTTCAGTACAATGTCGATGTAGCAAAATTCCAAACTTCTCCGCCAGAACGTTCTTTTGCTTTAGTAACTCGAGCAGATTTCCACGGTCGCAATCAGTCTCATATCACGTATCGCAGTTGCCAAAGGTGCTTATAAATCTGGTAGTTTGTTTGTATGTTGTAATAATAAATTGCTTTTTATGGTTATTGTCAATTATAGATGGACGTACCATGAAGAGTCTCCAAGGTCTGGTATGGCCGTTCTTGATGTCACGATCCCAACTGGTTATATAATGCAACAACAATATTTAGATGCTTACGTATTGCAACGAAAAGTACCAAATTTACAAAGAGCAAGATTTTTCCCTGGAAAACTACTGTTCTACTTTGATTATGTAATTGTTATAAATTTTATTTTTAATTAAAACTTATAATAATTGTTATAAATATTTATTGTTTTTATGTAGTTGGATGATACAGAAACCTGTGTCAAATTTACGATTGAAAGATGGTATCCAGTCGCCAACATGTCTCGCTATCTACCCATCCGCGTTTATGACTATTACGCACCAGGTTTGTTTTGCCTTCAAATATTTTTTAATATTATTTATTTTTAAAACATGCTTATTGTCTATATAGAGCGATTCAACGAAACAATATTTGATGCATTACCGACTTATTTATTAAATATTTGTGAAGTGTGCGGTAGCAGTCAGTGCCCTTATTGTTCAATATTCAATGGCGCAATTAGTTTATCAGTTTCGTCTACATTTTTACTGGTCGTGACTGTAATTACTGTTCTCATCAACTACAAGCATAATAATATATAGGATATAAATTGAGTTTATGAGTATTAGTTATCTACATTTTGAACAGATCAAAGACAAGCTAAAAGCACATATTCATTTCTACTACAATAGTTCACATTATTATTATTTTTTTTTATTAGGACAAATAGTTTTAATAGGATTAATTTTTATTCAGTTACGTGTTACAATTTCTGTTGAACTATTTGAAAAAGTATTTTTTTTGTTCTTATGCTTAAAAAATGAATAATTTTTTTAAAAACGAATTAAATTAAGTATAATAAAGTATGAAAAAATCCAGAAAGTTCACTTTTTAGTCTAAAAAAAACATGTTTAGATATGCAGTACGACAAAAAAAATTAAATTTTATGACTCTAAAATTGTTATTTAAAAAAAAAAGTAACTTTTCTGATTATTTCCTTGTACTACTCAATAATTTAATTTTATCAAATTGATAACAGAGCTTTGCTTCAAACACTTATATAGCTAAAATGAATAATAGTTTCAATATTCATTTCGTTTTAATTAAAACATATTTTTTTATTTTCAAGTAATGTAAATTTGAAAAACATACAATAATACACTTAACTTATGTTATATTGATAAAAAAAAATATCACTTTAATACAGGTATTAAAAAAATATGTATATTAATATTACCTAGTGTTTAATATTAAAATTACACCTATTATATACTATAAAATATTTGTGTAACTCATGCTTGCATATTAATTTTAAGTATTTATTATTTGTTCATAAGTTATATTATTTGCTATATTTTTTTGTAGCTAAAAAGCCAAAATCCTTAAAGTTATGTTTTATATTAATAGCTAATTAGAGTGTGTAAATTTTATAAACCTATATCTGTAGCAAACCTAAAACATGCTATTGTTGTGTTCATTAACATGTGTAACTTTGTTGTCTTATGATTTTTATTGTTTAGTAACTAAAATAATTAAGTTTATTGTGCTCTTAACATTATGTTTTAACTGATTCCGTCCAAAAGGAAATATTCGACAATTGTATTATTTATTATTTCAATATTATATTTTATTTTATTTTTTGGATTAAAATAACTTAGTTGGTTTTTTTTCCTAGCAATAATGCTCAAAGTAATTTTTTTACTGACTCAGTGAGTAATAATAGATCTGTTAAAGTATATAATAATTATAGATTGAAAATATTGTATTCATGTTAAATTATTAGTTTAATTTTTACTATTATGTTGATCTAAATTTTAAACTGGATAAAAAAATGTTTGTATTTTGGATCAAATTACTATTATCTTTGTGAACAATGTTCCGTCCATATTTTGTATTCAAATATATTATATTATATTTTATATAAGTTATAAATGGAATATTTATATTTAATTAGCACCTATTGTAATTAAATTACTAACTGAAATAATTTTTTTATAAATTATACGTAACTCGATCCTAATTTGATTTGTGAAAGGTATACCACCATACGCAGCCGTCCATTTATTGACTGTTTCCACTAAAAAAATTATAGCTTTTTATATTATTCTTTTGTACTTTTTTTTTTCAAAACTTTTTTATATATTGGTGTAAATAAAAAGAAAATATGAACAAAAAAACAACTGTGTGTTGGTCATTTGGTCGTTTAACGGTAAAAAACATTTGTGATGTGATTTTTTCCTCTACTCTCTCTGAATTTCGCCGCGTGACCAATTGTAAATACAAAGTGAAAATCACTAAAACGCGGCATGACACTATTATATTATTTGTGGTGGTTGCAACACCAGGTACTGTCTAGGTGCCATGTCTGATTTTCATTTACTGTAAGCTCGGATTTTCAGTCTGACGCCATGTTGCCGCGTGTAAGTTTGATTTTGGCCACTTTTAGCGTTTTATCCGCGTCCGACACCAATCCGGCCGATGGACACTTGTTGGTCGAACACACCGTCACCCAAGAAAGCGCCCAGGACGCCATCCAGCACTTGCAGCCCGATTTAAGTGAGCCAAATACTAATACTGTAATAATTAATATTAAAACTTTTGCCGAACGTTAACATACTTGATATGCGATTTCCCCCTCCCTTCATGTATAGTGATTGGTGCGGGTTGCAAGGAGTGCACCAGGCGGGAAATCGAATACTGCATGTCCAACGACGTCATAGAAGATCACTGCTGTTGTCAGAGAAAATACCACGGTGACCATACTGCCTTAGCCGCAATGGCAAAGTTTTTGAGGGATTTTTCGTCTAATATCTAGCCGATTGTTTATTTTTCCAGCAGAAGTCTTTCCTTACATAGCGCACACCTGTTACGTGAGGTCCAGAAACTGCGAACCGACCGTTCGCGACTGTGGCGTTTTCGATCGGTTGCTGGCTTGTTGTTGCCATCAACATCTGGGAACGAAATGTGAGTATCGTCGTATTGTCAACCGATTCCTAATATAATTTATACTCACATGTTAAAAAACATTAAGAATTAAGATATATAGGATAGGGAACGAAGGTCAGGGCTGTAGCAAAGTGGGGTGCGAATACATTGGCCGAAATCTGACTGTAACCATCCAAAATACGTTAAATTACAGAATTTTTAAAACTTAAAGCTAACAAAAAAAAAACCTTCAGTTTTAGCATGTTTCTTTTTACCAGTTATTTCCTTCCCAAAAAACCTGTATCGGATAAAAAAAACACGCTATTTTTAGTTAACCGTTGGCCGCATTAATTTTCAAGTAGCTCTTTTAGATGATAGGAATCTTAAAATTACATCCGTAAATAAGTACATAAATCATAAGCCTACTGCCATATACATATGTACAATATATATTATTGATCCGACGCATAAATTGGTAGGTAGGTACGGCAAAAAGAGAGAGGTAAGTGAAGATGAATTAGGTATAGTAGTAGTGAGTTAATGCTTTAAATATAGACGTGTATGGAGTAGACGGAAAAATATGAAGAATAGAGAAAGTAGATAAGATTTGGCTGACATATTTATATAGACTAGCGCGTGGAAGAAAAAGAAACAATAATAAGATAAAATACATTTTGTTAGTGATAAATGTTAATAATAATCGAATTACAGCGGTTTCTCTGCATCAATATTAAAATTAATCAAAACTCATTTATCTATTCTGTTCCAATAAATAATGGTATTCATTGGCCATGGACATTTTGAATCCAGAAAGCATGTTTAATTTGTTTTATAAAAAAAAACATCAGAAATTTCAAATTTACCAAATAGATATTAGTTATTCCTAGGTAATGTTTTTAAATGTTTTCAAAGGTACACGCCTTTGACCTGTCAGTTGTGTAATCGTGTCAAATTCTAACATAAATATAATCTGTTATTACTTATTTCATTATCAGTATTGACAATGATAGTTCATAACAAACGCCCAAACAATAAATTTAAGCACATGTATTATTGTTATACAGTGTTTCAATTAGTATTATAAATGTATTAACTATTAGTACTGTGACTACCTACTTCCGCTTAGTACATAAAAAACATTTACCAACAAACATAACATGTTATTCATACCCTAATGTAGTATATTATTGTATATTCATTGACCGAATAGTTTTATTTGCTCGATATGCCTATATAGTGTATATAATCTAAATTATGTTTATACTTTAAATATATATATATTTTTTTTTAGATAAAAGTCAACTCTTGGCGGCCAACAGTTCTTCTATTGATGGCCAAAACGAAATCAACGTATATTTGTCTATACTCGGTCTACATATTTTGTATATAAAAAGCAACTTTTATTTATGATATACGAAATCTATGAATGTGAATCACAACTTTGGCTACATTGCCTATTACCCATACATAGTTTTTTGTTTTGGTAATTATTGTTAAAATATATCTTTAAACCTCTACCTCTGTTGACTGCAGCTGTACTATGTAATTGAAGAAATTGAACATCAGTCTGCAGTCACCTCATATCACGTGACGTCGATCTTAGCCTATCAGTGCCCACCAATATAGGGAGTTTTATATATATTATGTTATTACATGGAGTAGCAAAACATTGTTATCTCTTTTCGCTTTATTTTTATTATTAATTATACTTTTATTATATTACATCATAATAAAATTATACTTACCTAACATGAAATTGTAGCTACTTATTGGATTATATAATATTATACATTAAATCAATTAATATATCAGACGAGAAGTCTTCGTGGATTTAAAATGCATTGATTTCGAATCCGGAATCAAATAGCTATTTTTTAAGTAAAAAATACGATTTTTAATCAATAAATTGGTGTTTTCTCTTTTTATAAAGCTTCGTCGCCAACTAAAATATGACGTATCAAATCAATTTTCTTAATTATAAATTCAATTCTTGGTTTTAAAAGTAATAACTAATATAGGTGTCAAAAAATGTTTAATTTTCTATAATTTTTCAAAACTACTCTCATTTGGTCATTAAACAATTTTTTTTTTATGACCAAAATAGTTAGTACTTACTACAAATAAGTTATACTTTAGAAATTTAACTATCAAGTTTTAACTTTGTTAATAGTTGTTGAAATTATTTGAAATTTACAAAGAAAATAATTGTTATACATATTCAGACCGCGCATGGAACCAAATTATTGCGCCAAGAATTTGTCAAAATATCGATAATTATAAGTTAATATCACAGGTTATATCAACTTATGTTGATATTTACAACTTAATGGTAGTATCGATATATTTGTACCATCCCTACAGATATAAAAAAACTTTTATAAGTTGGCTTTGGGGACTGTCAACCGTGGGATGTTGTATTTTAATTTATCAAATTTGCCCATAGACTTGATAATTATATATGGACCGCGCTATCGGCTACATACTATGTACGACGATAATTAAAAATATAAAAAAAACCGAAGTTTAAAAAAACATAATTAATTATAAAATACATTTGTTTTATATGTTCTATATGCGCAGCCACGTCGGTTTGCTGGAACTACATGCATGCTCCGTCAGGTCTAGTAAGATAAGGACATAAGATCTATGCTTTGACATGAATAATTATTCAGGTGATAGAAAATAAACCTACTTAGATACTTTATATTTTTTTTTTATCATTTTCGGTGTTGTCGGCACTGTGCGATGGAGCCGCGGAGGAGATGATGGTGTGGCCGGTAAGTTGGCAACTGTAAAAAAATTTTGCCAAATACAACTGAACTGGTGAATTTGTTTGCACTTTGCCTACGAAACGTACACGTTCGACCCGATTTTATCCTGTCATTTGTTATGTTTAACTCAAAGTGTGTGTACTGCGAAACGACCAAACGCCAATTATATTCGATTTCCATTGTCTCTTCCGTCGCTGATTGTCGTTGCCCTTTCTGACAAACGCACCGTTCGTTTATCATCTCCACTTGTTTTCAACACACGTGATCACCACCATGGAATGGGGTAAGTACCAGCAGAAGCACCTGCAAAAGTTGTCAGACTAGTAGTTACCATCGTTCAATCGCTGTTGCCTAATTCCAGATGCTGATAATTTCGAACCACCCAAACCCGTCATACCCGTGGAAATAGTTGGTGGCGCCAAACTCAATAAATGGGAAGGCGAAGACGAAGAAGAAAACATAAAGGTTAGTACTACTATCTAAAATCGTCCTTCACCTTGCTTAGTCATCAGTCGACAGTCAGTACTAACAGTATTCTGTAATAATTAATGCTAACTACAAGACGACTTTCCTTTTTGTTTGTTAAAATTTTCAAATAATCATACAAATTCTATTAGATTGTTTGGTGATAGTTTATATATGTTTTGTACCTAATCCCAATCGTACTACTCATTTATACATACATAATGAGATAAATTGCCATTTGTTCCCCCATTCAGTCACCCGGCCAAAGGAACAAACCCGCCAGTGTCTGAGATTCGGCGGTCGACCGTGCATTATTATACAATATTGCCTTATCTCTTCAGCCACGCGCCTGCTTTATTTCTAAAAATTAATATTCAATTTTTTTATTTTCACTCGTGTTACAATCTACGTATAAGTCAACTTGGCTATTTTTTATTTCACTTTAATCAACAAGTTTTCAATTCATCCATTAACTTTGCACATTAGATTCCAGATACTTAACTTACCCTAATCGGTTTACACCGACTCTTTAAAAATATATGTATAATTTACATTTTTGTATCTATTCATATAGGACAGTTGGGATGCTGAAGATGTGGAACCTAAAAAGACAGAAACTAAAGTACCAGAAAAGAAAACCAAATCAAAACTAGAACAAAAAATAGCTGAGCGTGAGGTAACCCATCAATTACTTTATTATTTTAATAAACAGACATTTTTACTGCTGCTGCGACCTCACTATATTATATTAAAGTGTAAATATGTTGAGAATACTATCGTTTTATGAAGACTAAAGAGATTTTCCTATATACTGTAAAGTGTATACTGTGATCTATCATGTAATCTTATGAGTTTGTATTGTTATACTATGAAAATAAAATTGGAAAAAATTGACATAACCAGACGGGTAAATTCTAAGCGTTAATAACTCCTACACTAATTGCCACGAGCAGATGTTAATTTAGCTGGCCTTAAAATAAATTAAAAAATTATAATTTCCTTATGTATGATGAGAGCTGGAAGTATTTCATACAATAATGTTCATCATTTTTAATGATATTTATTTTTAAAACTAGCGCAGGCAAAAAATTGAAAATGACAAAATACGGCGGAAGTTCTTGGAAGCTGAAGAGAACTCAAACATGACACCAGAAGAAAAAAAATTACTTCAACAAAAGCTGCAAGAAGAAGCAGACTTGGAAGTAGCCAAAGAAATGTTGGGTGTCGATGAGGGAGATGAAGACTCTATTGATAGAATGCAACCTAAATCCAAGGAAGATTTTGCATTATTCGAGCAAGCTCTTCAAAAAAAAATCCAAAGTGTTTCCAAGTCCGAACACTACTCTGAATTCATTGAAGAACTCATTAGGAATTTGTCAGTTAGTCGTAAGTCGATTTTTTTCAGTTAATGCATTTAAAATTTTTTTTTTTTTTAATTAACTCAATTATCATGTTTAGTGTCAATGAACGACTTAAGGAAAGTAAAAGCAACTGTAGATAATATGAGTATAGAAAAAATGAAAGCAGAAAAAGGGGACAAGAGTAAAAAGAATAAAGGAAAAGCAAAAGCAAAGCTTCGTCTTGATAACAGTAGCGTAAGTTAAAATAAACTTTCATAGTATTTGTCAAGTATTTGATTATACTCATGTAATACACTTAGATATCTTCCTTGAATTGCACGGAATATAGTAATACAATAAGCTTTAACCAAAAAATACGGACTTTTTTTACAAATTACCAAAACCTAAATTTTATTCTGTAGCAGCTAGCTGATAATGTTTCTTTGAATTTTTTTTTTAAATATCTCGCCTTTAAATATAACATACTACTAATGGCACAATTAAAAATTTTAGTTTTTATTATTGAAATAAAAAAACTTTTTAGTCTATTTTTAGATCAAACTGATTATAACACATTTTAAATTAATAAACTTAATAGTGTAATTATTATACAATATCGATCCTCGTCTTACTTTTCCATGAACACTTGTCATTTAGAATCGGTTTATAATTGATTATTTTATTATTTTTATTAATTTAAATATTATTTATGTTGCAGATACAAAATTATGACGAATTTTCGGCTTATACTGTGGATGATGATTTTGATGAATTCATGTAGCAGATTCGTCTTAAAAAAAATTGTGCAAATTATATATACATATATATAAATACATTAAATATATATATTTTATAACTAATGTAATTATATAGTGTTAATAGAGCTGATTGATAAATATTTTTTTTCTATTTTAAACAATTTATGTTTATCTTTCTCACATTAAAATATATAATCTCACCATAAAAAAATAAATTTTTTTTATTATCTAAATATTATTTTAAAAAAAATTAACAACTACGATTATTAGTCTTAAGATATTATATACACTTATTGCATAACATGACGAACGACTCATCATATAACGACAGTGACGAGTAGCCACTTGATGGCCTAGCAGTATTATGTTCATTTGAATCTGTGGTGTGATAATAAACAATAAGTGTTTTAGTGTGTGTACTAAACAAGTTTTTGTTAATTAAACTCATAAATTATGTATGATATTTATGTAAAATCAGTTTCTTTTACGGCGGGATGTGCATCCACAATGTTAATATTAACTCCTTTGTAAGTATAATAATACCATTATGACCTTTACTGATAAAATATCCAGTAATTCTATATGACATAATGTCAAGTAATATAATAATTTTTTTTTTATCTAATAGAGAATAGGTATGACTTGTAATTTGAATATATTTTGTAAGTGGAGCGCAGCTGTTGGTAAACCTTACACTTTTTGAGTCCATTTGTTATCAAAACGGCATTAGACCATTGAACTGATTTATATTCAGTTTGATGAGTAAAACGTGATCTATCTGTATGTTCACATACATGCATGATTTTTTCTTATGTCTGATTTCTGTTTATACTTGACCAAAAATCAATCTTAAATAATATACTTTACAACATAAGTAAAGTAACAATTGATCTTAAATTTCAAAATGAATGAATGAAAACCGAGGTTACACTAAAATTGTATATTATCTAGCCTAAATATTACATTGTATGCAAGATAAATAATCTAGTTGTATAATATATTTTACATTAAGTACTTAAACAAGATTAATAAGCCATAATGATATGAAATATTAGACAAGCAAAAATACAACTAACCTTTTCTCTTATTACTTGTGCTAACCACTTGTAATTAAAGGGTATAGGGAAAAACCCAGAAAGTCACTTATTAAAATGGCAATTTTGTTATAAAATTCGTTTTGATTTAAAACGAATCAGTTCTTTATTTATAAGCACAATTATAAACAAAATATTTTTTAAACTTTTTTTTATCATAACTTAAACATGTTTTTCTTAGATTTGAAAAAAGTGACTTTCCTGATTTTTTTCCTGTACCCTGTACTCAAAAAATAGTAGACTTAAAATAATGCCGTTTTATTTCTTGATTTTTGATTCATGAACTATGATCACTTTTCGGGTTATGGACCAGGAATAGTACACCGAAGAACGATTTATTAATTACTACTACTTATCAATTTAAGTGTTACGTGCCTAATTCGTACAAACCAAAACGTATAACGTATGAAAATTGAAAATAACCTATTGACGAATCTACTATGATACAAGTAGTGTGAATTTTAAAGAGAGAAATTATTTAAACAACTTCTGGAAGTGTCCAACAATGCCCATATCTATTTTGTAATTTTTAACTGGGCAATTTTTTACATACATATTTGTGCTATTTCAATAAAGTACTAATGTTATCTGAATAATACTTGATTTAGATTAGTGTGTAAAGATATTGTAAGAAAAAAGTCGTCCGATCATGTCAACTTATCCTCATTTACCGGAGCTCTTTTTAGGTGAGTCATTTCAATTCTAATTCTTTATTTGTCCAACTAAAATATTATCTTTTTAGGAGTTCATTGTTTGTTCGACAAGGTTATTTACTCAATTTATACACTATAATGTTTGTTCACGGAATGGGTTTAGTATTTAATATGTTTTATTTGATGGTTTACTTATATTACTCAACAGATAAGGTAACAAGACGAAAAATATTTCTGTAACTTCTTAACTAAATTGTACGTTTTTTTAACTTGACAGAACAAAGTCATGAAGAAAACACTAAAGTTAGCAGTAATAAGTTCGATTTTATTATTATATTCTGTGGTTGAATCGAAAGACGTAGTCACAGTACGTTACTCAGCCATTGTAACTGTTATCCATTTGTTAATTATAGGTTGGCCACTGTTATCTCTAGTAAGTACTAAAATGGGGTTGACCCTTATTGTTTTAATAACAAAATAAATATACAAGCTCAAGACATTCTACTTTACAGTCTACAGCTTGTTTATGCTCTTCAATATAAATAAATAATTATATGTTCAATTTACCTCTTTCAAATTATAATTTAAAAAAATTATGGTGTTTCATGAACTTTTTATATTGGTCTATTTAAGCGAGAAACCATCAAAACAAAACGATGGTCTGGACATCCGAAGCCGATATTAATCAATACTATGGTTGTCTGTCTTTTATGGCTTTTGTACAGTATCAACGTCAAAAATAATATTATGTTTGTGAGTAAAACTTTTGAATTAGTAATCTGGACTAAAACTGAAATGTTATTTCTAAACCTGTTTCAGATGCAATGTTTTGTTGGTTTCACTCTAAGTTTGATTCAACTGAAATTGTTATTTATCTATCCTATAGAAAATAATGCACATCATAAGAGTGAAAAGGATAAATAAATAACTGGTCAATTTTAAATTTGTACAATTTTTTGTTATAGTTTTATTCTTTTTTTTTTTGTAAAAAAAAAAAAACAGTATTAAAACAAATGTATAAAGTGGCCTTTTCTTTGTCTAAAATGTATAATTAATTATATAATTTTCTGCTAAAAAAAACAAAATGGTTTAAAATATTTTTGGAAATCCCAGTTCATTATTTATAACTTATATTGAAAAATAGGTACATGTAATTATACAAATTTAATGGCTATGGGGCTATGACTGAACAATAGGCATAACAATAACCCTTTTATAAAAAGAGCTGGAAAATTCTGAGGACTAACTCTGTTCGACAGGGAACAAATATATAAATACTTAAGCATTGAATGAGGCTAAGAAGTTGTTAACAACAGTTTTCAGTTTAGCATCTGTATCATCGGTGATTTTTCCTTCTTTTGCAATGCTCTCCAAAAGGGGTTTTTCTGACGCCCTAGAGATAAAAAAATCATAATAAATTTAATAAATAGCATAATAAAAATAATTTTTAAATAATAAAATAATTACTTGATGTGTTGCAAGAATTGTTTTTCAAATGAAGTGATTTTGGATGGGTCCATTTTGTCAAGGAACCCGCGGACACCACAGTAGATTACGGCTACTTGTTCTTCAATAGCCATCGGCACTAAAATGTTCAAAATAAATAATTATATGATATCATTATTGGTTAAAAACAATGTGATCATTACGAAATATTATTCATACCATATTGTCCTTGTTTCAACAATTCAGTAAGACGAACACCACGGTTTAATAGTTGTTGAGTAGCAGCATCTAAATCAGAACCAAATTGGGCGAAGGCAGCAACTTCACGGTATTGAGCCAACTCAAGTTTCATTGAACCAGCCACCTTTTAAAACACAATATTTTGTACATCATTTTAGGTTACTTCTAAACTTAAATAATTATTTTATACCTATTGACAATAACTTCCCAAATGTTGCAAATAAATTAAAAAAACACTAAGATAGATTTTTTCACAAAACTCACTTGTTTCATGGCTTTGGTTTGGGCAGCAGATCCTACACGAGATACAGACAAACCAACATTGATAGCTGGACGGACACCCTTGTAGAACAACTCAGTTTCCAAGAAAATTTGTCCATCAGTAATGGAAATTACGTTAGTGGGAATGTAGGCAGACACATCACCAGCTTGGGTTTCGATAACGGGCAGAGCAGTCAAAGAACCTCCTCCTAATGTTTCACTCATTTTAGCAGCACGTTCCAACAAACGAGAGTGGAGGTAGAATACATCACCGGGGTAGGCTTCACGACCAGGCGGACGTCTCAGCAACAGGGACATCTGTATGCAATATATATATATAATAAATAACATTGCTTACAGCATAGAAAATATAATTCATACTTGACGGTAGGCAACGGCTTGTTTGGACAAATCGTCATAGATGATAAGGGCGTGTTTGCCATTATCTCTAAAGAACTCTCCCATGGCACATCCAGAGTATGGGGCAAGGTATTGAAGGGGAGCAGCATCAGAAGCAGTGGCCGATACAATGATGGTGTAGTTAATAGCACCTATATAAAAATTACACAATAATAATAATTTATTAATTATACAATTACAATAATTTTAACGTTTTAATCTGTAATAAAATACAAATTCAGAACGACAATTAAAATATAGCTAACCAGTATCTGTCAGCCTCTTTAAAATCTGGGCGACTGTTGATCTCTTTTGACCGATAGCAACATAGATACAGTATAACTTCTTCTTCTCATCTTGGGCATCATTAAATCTCTTTTGGTTAATGATGGTGTCAATAGCCAAAGCGGTTTTACTATACATAACATTAAATAAATTTAAGCATTGTATTACTTTATAACGTAACAATAAAAATTACCCAGTCTGCCTGTCTCCAATGATCAATTCACGCTGACCACGACCGATTGGTACCAGTGAGTCGACAGCCTTAATACCCGTTTGCATAGGTTCGCGTACAGATACACGGGGAATAATTCCAGGGGCTTTGATACCCACACGGTACCTAGTCTTGGAGGTCAATGGTCCTTTACCATCAATGGTGTTACCCAAAGCATCAACTACACGTCCTAAAAGGTCTTCACCAACAGGTACATCTACAATAGCTCCAGTACGTTTAACGACATCACCTTCTTTGATCAGCTTGTCGTTACCAAAAACTACCACTCCTACGTTGTCGGGTTCCAAGTTAAGAGCCATACCCTAAGTGTTACAATTAATTGTTATATTATATATTTATTTATATAATTTTCTTTTAAGATTCAAGTAGAAAAAAACACACCTTTAACCCAGAAGAAAATTCCACCATCTCTTCTGCTTGTACATTCTTCAAACCATAGACACGGGCAATACCGTCACCAATACTTAACACACGACCAGTTTCTTCTAAATCAGCCTAAAATAATGGATAAATTATTTCAAACTTTTGTATTTTAACATGTTGATGTTGTATATACCTTGGGTGGAGCTCCCAAAATTCTTTCTTCCAAAATGGAGGAAATTTCTGCAGCTCTTGCGCTACATGTTACGTGGATTGATCGGCTGATGAGTTTTGATGTAGTCCAGGAAGCCTTGCTTATCTATAATAAACATTTAATGCATAATAGTTAAATTAAATCATAAACCAAATTAGTAAAACTTGCTTAGACGTGAATATTCTATTTAATTAGATAGAATAGGACGTACGAGTGTATTACAAGCCTAGTAATTGTGAAAAAAAGAGGATTCTATTAATTTACGAGTAATATATTTTACAAAGTACTAATGTATTTAATTTGACTTATTATTACTTTCCCATTATGAAGGTTCTAAAATAAAAAAAATTCTACAATAGGAGCTAATAACAAGGAACATTAACACACATATCTGTAAGTCATTTGAAAATATTTTGTAAAATAATTATAAAGTGGAAAGTCCTACACTTACACTAGGTGTTGCATTTAATATATAGACCATTATGCCAATATCGTTTAAACTTTAATAGATACTTTTAACCCATACATCACTCCGTCTGGCAAGACAAAGTAATATGGGAAAAATACATTTTGATTGCAGTTACGGGTGTAAATATGCCTTTTAAACTTCGGCAAGTCCATTTTATATAGAATAAATAAATAAATAATATTCCATGAACTCAACGTCCTGGTAGTTTTAGGAAACAGTTGACCCAAACGTGATCAAAGGTCATAAGAAGGTTATATATCTATTTATTATATTTTGCGAGTACAAAATTGAGATTTTTGCAGCAACGACATGGGCTATGAGTAAATCCTAAATGTTTTTTAGTTGAAAAATGTAAAAATGTTAAGACTACCGACAGTGTTACAGAGCACGAGTGGGTTACACCTATTTACCGACCGGCGAGGCCTAAGTCTTAGGTGCGGTGTTCGACCAGTCAAGAATTAATTAATTACCTGTGGTAAAGTGTTGTTCAATTGTTTCCCGATTTTGGTGGCCAAACGCAATGATAGATTAGCCATTTTGTAGATGTTTTAACGTGATCGTATGATAAAACTAGTCGGCGATATTATTTCTAAGTTCTAACACACACGGGATGAAAACGAGAAAGAAAATGGATGGCCGCAAATCGTTTGACTCCCCTACCATCGACGTCCTGTAAAGTGGAACGCAATCTGAACCAACCATATGATTTACAGTGGCGCCAACAGTGTAAAATGTAAATACCTTTTTGAAAAGAACACACCGGTCACCGTTTTTTTTGGAAAATATTACCACAGAATACATTTTTTCGTTCATTTACTCTGTGTTATACCGCTCGACAATAAGGATAGTCACTTTAAAAATTGATTTTATCTATTTTCTAATTAATCATTAGTAAAATTACTAATGACGATATAAGAATATTTTTGTGTTAAATGTGTTAAAATTAATCAGTTTATTCTTTAAATATTGATTATAACTATTATTTAATAATATCAGTTTTATGTTAGAAATAGAAAAAATGTCTATACAAACTAGATCAGATATTCTAATTTTTTATTAAATTTACAAAAATAAGTAATAACAGCTTCAAACTTTTATTACAAGTATAAAAATTAAACTAAAATATAGTTAGTAATAATAATATACGGACTGTGAACTACTTTCAAACAAAATCAAATTATCAAAATTTGAACGTCCTAAGAGTTATCATTGTTTTTTTAATTTTCACTGTAAATAGACTGAATATGACCAACAATTATTTTTTTATTTTCATAAGTTTCTCTCTGGAGTTGGCTCGTATCTACTGAACTGATCTCATTGAGTTCTTCAAATTATTTTTGTGAATCAGGCTTCCTACAGTCGTTTTAGGACCCAAAGGTTTCTTCTTTATTACTGTTTCTCTCGTTCGAAACTAATTTACTCATTGGAAAAAGTTCATTGTAGAGGGAACAGAGTCCCATGATAAAATGTATTTGAAATTGCTGCAGTGTTGAAAACCGACTTGCCAATATGCAAGTAATTATCGTAACCATAAATTATGTGTTCCGAAGTCCACAAATGCATAATGGCTATAAATTACTTAAATTGCATGTCGTCAAGAATAAAATAGTACCCCTACAAAACTTTCTACTAATCGTACAAACTAAGCACTATGTATATAAACATTTCTGTGCCACACCTTGCATTTTTCCTCAAATAAAAAACCATGATGGGTCTCTTAAATGTTACTCACTTAAAAATAGTAGCAATCAGAATTAAGTATGCATAGATATAGGTAATACCTATAATAATTCGTATTTTACTTCATTATATATTAGTCTACTTGGAGAGTTACATAGTTCAGATAATTAGTAGAAAATAAGAAACACTGTTTTTTTTACAAAATAAATGCTAATTGAAATACACTAACTTAGTAAATGTTAGTTAATAATGAATTTGACATTCATTAGTTTAGTAGAATGCAATGATAGTAGTTTTCCCCCACTAAGTTCACTGAAAAGATGTACAATTATAAATGAAAAAAACATTTTTTGTAATTAATTCAGACACGATTTTAAACGGCCATATACCAAAAATTCATACTTATTAATAAATAATATTATACATATTATAAACACTGTATTGTTGTTTTATGTTGACGACGATTGTTCTTTTTCTTTAGCATCTTTTTCCTTCTTTTCTTTAGCCTTAGCTTCAGCCTTGGCAGCAGCGAGTTCTGCTTCCATTTTTTCATAATCAGAAATCAATTTTTCAACTTCATGTTTCTCCAGTATATTAGTAACAGTTTGATCATTTAACCGTTTAAGAGTTGCCATTTCCACTGAAAAAATGTTTTGAATAATATTTTATAACTGAATGTTGAAATAGAATATTTTACAAAGAATTAAGTCAAATTGAATAAGAATTAAATCTAACCAATACATTTATGTTTAATTTTAACAGTTATAACAATAAACCAAAATATTATAAGTGAATTATGTTACCTTTATCGGCTGTAAGTTTGGTAGCATCTAGTGTCTTGGACAATATTTTTATAGCCAATTTTTTTGCTTCCGCTAAAGTCATTTGTCCTTCCTTATATTCAGTTTTTAGTGATGCTATAGCAGCCTAAAATAAAACGTAGAAAAAATTAAATAATTTTAAACCAATGAAGTGATTAGATGATTACTTACAGCACTGTTTGTGCCTATACAAGTTGCCTTCCATCCACAGTAATTACCACTTGGATCGGATTGATAAAGTTGAAAACCATAATGAGCATCCCAACCCATGTACAGAATTGATACACCAAATGGTCGTTTACCTAAATTTCAGTCGTCATATTTTTAGTTTCTTAATATTATTTAATTGATAAATGATATCAAAGTTACCTCCATACTGTGTGTAGGCTTGTTTAACATCACATAGCCAAGAGACAAGTTGTTCACAAGGAATTGCATCACCATACTGCATACGATATCGCTCCGAAATTGAGCGCAGTTCAGCAACCAAAACATTGGCATCGGCAGTAATACCAGCTACACTACATACCATATCACTAAAAAGAAAATTATTCTCTATTAAAAGATATTCAATATATACAACAAATTAAGTAAATTTACTCGTTTAATTTGTAAATTTTCTCAGACCCACAAGTCTCATCAAGTAATTTGTTCACATTTCGCTTTTCTGCGGCAAGCAATACTCCATCGTTAGTAAGTATACCCAAACAAGTACCAGCATGACTTATAGCTTCAATGGCATATTCTACCTGATATAATCGACCTATTTAAAACATAATTAATTGAAAATATTTTTAACAACACAATTACCTATACTATGTCATATTTAAATGACATTGTTTAGTTCAACTAATTTACAGCTAAATAACAATTGTACACTGAAAAAAATATATTCAAAAGTTATTTACCTTCTGGAGAGAAAATAGTAGTTCTTGTATCATATCTTCTAGCCTGAAATGATAATTTAATTATTATTTGTAGGTAAAGCTTTCAAAATTTTTTATCATTTATTAAATAAATTACAAGAACTTTCTAGGATATTACATTAATCATTTTAAATAAATATTACAATCTTACCATTTTTGTTAACAATAAGTAAGACGATTTTAAGAACAAAACAATTAATTTAAACAAAATATAAGTTCACAACATGAAAATAAAATTTCGAATACCTACTTTTATATTATATTGATAAACAATGACAAGACTTGAATCAAAAATTTGAAAATCCGGGTTTTAAGGTTATATTATTAACGCAAAGTAATACTGCACGTTTAGAAACTCTTTGGAGACCACGCAAATTATAGCCGCATTTATTTGAATTTAAGTTTAAATTTTTAAAAAATAACTTTAATTTTATTTGTAAGACATCTTATTCTATTATAGAATATAGAAAATAATTTCAGGTTTTATTATCTATATGATAGAAAAAAAATTACAAATGTGGATTTATACTAGATAGACATTATTCTATATATTCATTATGATAGCTAATTTTGGAAATGTATTCAATCTACATTCCAGTATTTTGCCCAGGTATTTATAATTATTCTTAGCCTGTTCAATCTTCTGACATGTTTAATTATTTACAATTAGATATATAAAGCGGGTTTTTTGAGTTTTGGCCAATTAGAAATGTCAAATTTTAACAGTTTAATAAAATAAATGTGAAAATACAAAAATAGTTTTTATAATTTGATTCTTTATATTTCACATATTATGCGAGTATGTAATATAATATGACAAATGTGTATTTTTAAATTTAAAACCAAAAATAAATTATTTCTAAGTATACCAAAACAATTTGTCATTTGTATAATATATAAAACAAATAATTAGTTAAATTTATAAAATATTAGCCATATTACTCAATATTCATAGTAAAATTAAAATTAAAAATTCAACATTATTTATCTTTGTAACGTTATTTTTCGTCTCTGTAATATCATAGTGATGTATCAACCAGCAGCAAAATTCAATTTCAAGTATGGATACATACATACAATAACAGATAGGTTTAAAAGTATAAAATGACTTGTCACTTATAGCTAAATAGATTTACCACTAAATTCTACAAGAAAAAATTGGTTAATATGCGTTAAAAAACTATTTATGGTCGATACCCCGACATCACTATGACACATACGATTTATTGTTATATATATATATATATTTTTTTATTTTGATCTTGTTGGGAATTCGTAAAAGCGATAAAAAGTTAAATTTGAAGTTATATTAACAAATATTTATATATTATGCCAATTGCCTACTGCTGTATAAATTACTATTCACTGTATCTAATGGAATTATACTAAAATAATAGCACTATGCTGTAGACGAGTTTCCAATACACTTAAAGGCTCAGCTAAAAATATTATATTTTTAACTATTTTTTTAAAAATAAAAATATATGAAAAAAACAAAACTTAAATAACATACGTTTAATACCTAAATTGGCATACAATTTTATTAGTACACAAAATTTATGTATATTTTTAAATTTGTTATTTAATAGAAAAATGTTGGGGCCCTCCAAAATTTAGACTTTACTCGACGGTTAGAGGCTAACGCTAACCTTACAAAGAGTGCCTCCTCTATTACAATATTCTCCTATTGGATCGACAGTACCTAGTCTGCAGTTGTGAAGAACATATTTTTTTACTCTTATACTTTTTTTGCTACACGTACATTAATTGTAGACTATAATAGCAAAGTAATCAGAATGGCTTGACAGTGGACAGCTATAGGCAAGGTACGAATAGAGCTCTGAAACTGCCACGTACCTAATACACGCCACAAATTACAACGGTGAACGGTATATGTGGACTAGGTATCAAGTATAGCTAATATTGTGATTTGTATATTGTGACAAGCCGCACGAGTATGTAGGACTGGAAAATAATAGATGAGAGGCGGGCGGGGTAACAGGCCGGCAGGATAATGCTTCCCTTCACTTCCTTATCTATCGACGGTACACGTGACGTTTTTTCTTTTGCGCTATCTAGTAACTCATTACTGTAATCGTATTTTGTTTAATATTTGAATTACTGTTCACTGTTGTGAAATTGTGTTATATAACTGTTACTCCTGTTTACAAAATCATTACAGTTTTTATAATCGAATCTTTCTATGGTCTACGAGTTGTTAATAAAACTAATTGAAAATTATGCGCCTAATAAATCTGAGTCATGTTAGAAAATAAGCCATAGATGGCGTTGAAGACAGTCGTTTGTATTGTTACGTTACACTTTGGTGTCATTGATAACGGGTTCGTTTCCATTTTCCAAATACCAATCCTGTTTATCTTAGTCCGTGCCCCGTGGCCACGTACAATAGTGTAAAGTGGTATTTAAATTCAATTTAGAAGGGCCTAACAATATTTGTTATTTTTATTTTTTCCAATTAAGTAAGACATGTAAATAACTACTATATTATCATATACGCCATACGGGTCATATGTACACGTAGTCAGTTTGACATTAAGTCTCGATATAATTTGCGTAATTGTGTATGTTTGCAGAAAATGAATTCTCAATTTATGCCTGATCGTTTTCAACAAAATAATATCGTGCCTCCTACATCAGAGCAACAACATGGTCAGCACTATCCATTATCAAACGGTAAGTCTCTAAATAATAATACAAATTAATTTGGTTACATTGTATATTAACAAATTTAATGAATGTACCTAGTACAAATTATTAAAAAAAAAACCTAAATATGGTAGATTATAACTGATTTTATTTTATGTTATCAAATATACTCTACATGTTTTTGACATCAATCAGTTGAAACATATCAATTAATATTAATTATATACTCCTTATGGTTTGCATTAGACAAGAATTTTATTTTAAAAACGTTGGTAAACTTTAAGAGTTAATTAAGTGCAATGTTCTTTCAATAAACTTAACTAAATAGAATATTTGTTTTACAATGAGAGTTTAACAGCATTCATCTTTGAAAATAACTAACAGATACATTGGTGTCATTATATTTAAATAATAGACTGTTTTTTTGTTCAGTTTAACAGTTTTATACACAAGATTAGTTTTATAAAAAATGTAGATTTCAGTAGTTTGAACAGAATTATGTAGATAAACTTGTATTTATAAATAAGTTTAAATGTATAATTCTGTAGCCCATGTCAATTCTAGATATAAACTAGTTAGTCCACTAAATACAAAAATTAAAACATTCTTTATATTATACTGTTAAAAATGACACTCTGCGGGCAAAAATTGAACAACTTTGTCTGGTAAAAAAATTAACATAAGAGTTTAATGGAAAACATAAAACCTTAAAGCACATTTCCTAAAAGTAACAAAAAGTGACATTGGACCTATTAGATCCAAGCCACAGAATTATTTTGGAAAATGATTATATAGGTAATAACTAATTTGATTATAATTTTAAAGTGCATAGTAGGTGAAACCTAAAAATATGAAGTAAAGTATTATAATATAATATATTTTTTTATTAGATCAATTACCAACATCTGATAGATATATCGGCCAACAAAGTAATCAAGATTTAAGACCTCCAATGAACGGAACACAAAATTATTCAAATGATGCATTACAATTTACAAAACCAAATGTATCAAGTTCAAACATTCCAAATAACATGCACTCCCTAACGAATGATATGAATCAGTTGAATTGTGGATCCGATTTAAATCAAAATCAGCCTACACCAATGGTATCAGCTTTTTCACCTCAACCTCAAAAGTCATTTTCTTCAGATCCTAGCCATGTACAATCAAATAATTCTGAAGGTTTCCCTATGACATACAATAAAATTCAGCATAATGGTTCTGCAACAGGTAATTCATCTAACCCACAAAACGTTACTCAATTTAGTGAAGACAAATTAAATAGATCAGCCAATTCTAATTTACAAAATGGACCACAAAATACTTTTCACTCTCAGCAATTAGAAGGTACAAAACACCAAGACCTACAACCTCAGTTGTCAAATGCGCCTCCTGAAAACACATTTGAATCAAAAGTTATTCAAAACGCTGAATTTCAGTCTCAACATACAAATTTTTCGCAGCATCAATTTGGTTTTCAAACACAAGAGTCCAGAAAACCTTTACAAAAACCAAGTGCAGCTTTACAGCAACCTAGTTTTCCACCACAATCTACGTCTGTAGGAGAACAACCAGGTTTTTCACCACAAGCTAGCTCGGTTCCGCAACAACAAGGATTTCCTCCTAATTCTAATTCGATTATGCAAAAACCAGGATTTCCCTCTGATGCAAATTCTATTTCACAACAACCAGGTTTTCCACCACAACCCAGTTCTTCGGCTGCACAACAACAAAGATTTCCGCCAAATTCTAATTCGGCTTTGCAAAAACCAGGGTTTCCTTTAGATGCAAATGCTATTTCTCAACAACCAGGTTTTCCACCACAACCCAGTTCGGCTCCACAACCACAAGGATTTGCTCAAAATTCTAATTCGACTATGCAAAAACCTGGATTTCCTCCACAACAGTCAGGTTTTCCACCACAACCTATTTCAGCTCCACAGCAACAAGGATTTCCTTCACAACCTAATTCTATTTCACAACCACCAGGTTTTCCACCACAACCTATTTCAGCTGCACAGCAACAAGGATTTCCGTCACAACCTAATTCTATTTCACAACAACCCGGTTTTCCTCCACAACCTGTTGCGGCTTCACAACAACAAGGATTTCCACTACATTCTAATTCAATTATGCAAAAACCAGGATTTCCTCCACAACCTAATTTGATATCACAACAATCTGGTTTACCACCACAATCAACTTTGCCTTCGCAGCAACAAGGATTTCCTCCACAACCTAGTTCAACACCTCAACAGTCGGGTTTTCCACCACAATCAAATTCTGAAACGCAAAAACCAGGATTTCCCTCTTTACTCAATTCAATTCCACAGCAATCAGGTTTTCAACCACAACAACCAGGATTTCCCCCACAACAACAAGGTTTTCCACCACAAGCAAATCCTACACCACAACAATCTGGATTTCCTCCACTTTCAAGTTCAGCTTCATTACAAACAGGACCTCACTCAAAATCGAATTTAAGTTCTAATCAACCAGGATTTCCTCCTCAGCCAAATTTAACTCCACAACAATCAGGTTATCCAACAAAACAACCAGGATTTCCACCACAATCTAGTACAGCTTCACAATATTCGGGTGTTGGTGTACAATCGAGTTTGCCTCTTCAACAACCTGGTTTTCCAACACAAACTAATTTAAACACGCAAAATCCAGAATTTCCAATAGTATCCAATTTGAGTCGGCAGCGACAAGGATTTCCTCCTCAACCTAATTCGACTATGCAACAACCAGGATTTCTTCCACAGCCATCAGTCATGCAACAACCAGGGTTTCCTCCACAACCATCGGCCATGCAACAACAACAAGGATTTCCCCCACAACCATCTGCAGTGCAACAGTCAGGATTTCCTCCACAACCATCAGCAATGCAACAACAAGGATTTCCCTCACAACCATCTGCAGTGCAACAGTCAGGATTTCCTCCACAACCATCAGCAATGCAACAACCAGGATTTCCTCCACAACCCTTAGGATTGGGCTTATCACAACCTCAAGGTTTTCCCTCGCAACCTGTACCATCCCAGCAACCAGGTATACCACCACAAGGATTTCCTCAAACACAAGGAAATTTCCCTCCTCAACAACCAGGATATCCATCGCAACAACCCGGCTATCCACCAAATCAGCAAACTGGTACACCAGCTTATATGGGTCAACCAGCTCCAAATAGAAGATTAGATCCTGACCAGATGCCAAGTCCAGTTAGTATTTTATATTTACTGTTTAATAATTGTCTTTAAATTATTAAATTTAATATTATTAGGTTCAAGTTATGGAAGATGATCAACATAGTAAGGGTGGAGTGTTTTTGACAAACCAAAGGGGCCTTGTTCCTCCATTAGTAACTACGGACTTTACTGTTCAAGATGGTGGTAATGCATCACCTAGACTAATAAGATCAACTATGTACTCTGTTCCAATTACAACAGATATTATGAAACAGGTATTTTATTTTCATTGTTCATAAATAGCAAACAACACATTATGTATAAACTACAATATGCTCTACATATCATACTGCTTATTAATAAATATGTTGTTTTTAAGGGTGTCAAAATAAATAAATTTAATGTAAACATATTACCAATCGGGAAGGATTTATCAATTTCCGAGTGGGTTTCACGACAATTAATCAATTAGTTAATAGAATGTTTGTTTAATAGTTATCTTATTGACAAATTAAAAACATTTCTAGGAATTGCTATTTAAAAAAAAAATTGTTTCAAGTAAATTTTAAGTATTAATTTTAACTTTTAAGTTGAAACTGGTGATTGTAGACATAAACAAATATCTCATATTAATTTTTGTTGAAAGATAAAAATAAATATAAAGGTAATAATTAAAGGATACTGTATTTTCCAATAAATATAATTTTGTTGTATTTAGGCGTTTGATCTTTTTCTACAGTTTGCAACTCAGCAATATAATTAAAAGCATTATTTTTGTTTTAATATTTATGTATTACATTAGTTTATGTTTATGATTTTAAGACTTCAGTACCATTTGGCTTGGTTATTAGTCCAATGGCTAAAATGAAATATGATGAATATTCACCTCCCATCATAAATACTGGTGATGTCGGTCCAGTTAGGTGTAAAAGATGTAAAGCATATATGAGCCCGTTTATGCAATTCATTGATGGAGGAAAACATTTTGTGTGTCTCTTATGCAAAGCTTCAACAGAAGGTAAATTACTAATGAATTTTATTTTTTTTATGCAACTAATGGAAAACTATGTGCAAAGTGGATCTACAGGTATCAGAACATAGGCATAGACACTTCTTGGGCCCATCTACTAACCAACTAATGGATAACTAAATATTTGAAAATTCCTTAAACACTTAATGACCATATATGTAACCCATTATTAAATATATTTATTTAGTAGTATAAACACCTGATAGCTTAAATATATTATAAATAGTCTTTTATGACAGAAAATAAAAATGTATTCAAATTTGATAATTATTTTAAAAATAATAGTGTGAGAATAGTTTATTAAATATAATAATTGTTTGTGAACCAGGTTTGTTTAATTACTTCTTGAGATACAAATAATATAGTATAATATTCAAGAGAACGTAGTAAATGATTAGTTTGTATGATTTAAACTATTTTTCGTTAAACCTCTTTTGTAACTATAATTTCATTATTTGTTATTTAAAGAATAATAAATTATTCCAAACTCACTATTGGTCAGTCATTAATATCAATAGATAATTTTCAGAAAATAGCCATTTTAAAGGACGAAAATAAATGTTAAATAACGTTCAAGATATATAATTTTGGTTATAAAGAAACAAAAAATTTTTGAATAATAATTTAAGCAAAAAGTACAATGATAATTTTTTAAAAATTACATTTTTAATTATTTATTTATCTAATTTCAATTAGAAATTAGATCAATTAACATTTTATTAAAAATGTTATCAACATTGTAATTATTTATGAAAATAGTTTTCTAATAACTTTAAGCTTATAGCTAAAATAATTATACTCAATAATTCTTATATCCGTTGTATTATAGTGCCTGTGGAATATTTCCAACATTTGGATCATACTGGTCAACGTCTTGACCGTTCTGAAAGACCAGAATTGTGTTTTGGTTCTTATGAATTTATAGTCCCCAAAGAATATTGTCGAGTTAGTAAATATTTATTATTAATTGTTATTATTTATAAATATATTAATCATCTTTGTATATAAATATTAAATTATAAGATCTAAATGACATTTGTATCTTATAGAAAGAAATACAGCCAAAACCACCAGCATATGTGTTTGTAATTGATGTATCGTATAATAACGTGAAGTCAGGTCTTGTAAGATTGATTTGTAGTTATATGAAAGAGTTGCTTACTCAATTGCCTACCGAGTTGGGTGATGAAAAGAGCAAAATACGTGTTGGATTTATCACGTATGATACAACTATTCATTTTTATAACATAAAGGTAAAAATAATTCAAATACATAACTTAATCTACATAAAAATTATACAAAATGTATTTATTTAACATGTTAGATATGTTAAGTATTAATCATTAATCGCACACGGTATTTCAGTTAATTTTTGGGGAATTTATTTGATTCAATATCTTAAATACTAACTTTATATTGTTAAAAATACGAGTATTTTACAAAGCCATATTAAAATAATAGTTATATTTGTTTTAAAATTGATTTTGTTTGTGACTACTTATCTGTAACTTTATCTGTTTTATTTATTATTTTTAGTGTTCATACAAAATGATATATATTTTTTTTACATAGTTGCCATTTGTTAAAATAAAATGATTTAATGGTTTAGGAAACACTTGTCGTTCCTCAAATGATGGTAGTAGGCGACACTACTGAAATGTTTATGCCATTATTGGATGGATTCTTGTGTGATCCTGAAAAGTCATCACATGTTATTGATGCGTTAATGGAACAAATACCAATACAGTTTAATGAAACTCGTACAACCGAAACTGTTCTTTACCCAGCGATTAAAGCAGGAATAGAAGCGTTAAAAGTAATTAAGATTTAGTTTATTATTACACTTATTAAAATTATAATAATATCTATAAATGAACAGTTTTATGTATACTTTTTTATTTTTATTTAATTAACTGTGATACAAGTTTAATTAAACATAATTGTGTCAATTAAATACATTTTCTAATATTAGTTGTTTTGTTTATATAGAACGCCGATTGCTGTGGTAAATTGTTTGTATTCCATTCATCTTTGCCAATTGCAGAAGCGCCAGGTAAACTGAAGAATCGAGAAGACCGAAAATTGCTTGCTACAGACAAAGAAAAGTCTGTTTTGAGTAAGTAAAACTAAAATATGAACTTTGGAAGTATATAATATTTTTTTTTAATTAGTCGAGCAATATTTCGAAGTACCATATGCTAAAAATAATTAATTATAAAATAAGCTGCTAGCTTTGTGAATAACAGCTTATTCAAATTTACGCAAACGGTATCAAAGCTAAGCTTATACCTTTAGTAAATAAATCAATGTGCTCTGAAATTCACTGATACATTTTTCTTAACAAACAAATCTATTGAAAACCTTCACCTTGATTTAGTTTAAACTTTATAAAAATACATATTTTTTTATTAGACCCCCAAACAAGTATTTACAAGGAATTGGGAGAAGAATGTGTTCAAGTTGGTTGCGGAGTGGATTTATTTGTCACTAATAATTCTTACATTGATCTTGCGACAATTGGTCAAGTATCTAGGATAAGCGGCGGTGAAATATTTAAATATACTTACTTCCAAGTGAGTTACTAGTTGTGTTTTTTTTTTTTTTTTTTTTTTTTTTATTTTATTAATCATAAACACATTTTTAGGCCGAGTTTGATGGTAAACGTTTCTTATCAGATTTGAAACGTGATATTAGTCGGCCAACAGTTTTTGATGCTGTTATGCGTGTTAGAACTTCAACTGGCGTTCGGCCAACAGATTTCTACGGACATTTCAACATGTCAAACACCACTGATGTGGAATTAGGTGCTATTGACTGTGATAAAGTGAGTATTTTTGGGGTTTGTAGCCTATGATTTATTTTTTATTTTTATTTCGGCCATAATTGTTCATTAACATATTTGTGTGTTTAGGCGATAGCAATTGAAGTGAAACACGATGACAAACTTGATGAGCAGGATGGAGTTTTGATTCAAACAGCCATGCTTTATACATCGTGCAGTGGTCAAAGACGAGTGCGTATTTTGAATTTATCGCTGCGTTCAAGTGGAGAAATGGGTGATTTGTATCGTAGCTGTGATTTAGATACAATTATGAATTTCTTTGGGAAACAAGGTAATTAAATTTTATAAAAATATTTTTCCAATATTTTGTTGGCATTAATATATATTTTTTTTATTGTTTTAGTTATGTACAAAATATTGGAAAGTTCAGGACGACAGGTGAAGGATGCAATTATAAATAAGACTGCTCAAATCTTAGCCTGCTACAGAAAACATTGTGCATCACCGACCTCAGCCGGTCAACTTATCTTGCCTGAATGTATGAAACTTATGCCCCTTTATTTGAATTGTTTGATTAAAAGTGATGCAATGTCCGGTGGTAAGTTTTAGTATATAGTAAAGTATTTAAAATTAATATTTATTCTTATTATCTATCATTAATTCAACTTTGTTTGCAGGCCCTGATATGACAGTTGATGATCGTTGGTACAATATGCATCTTGTTATTACTGCAGACATACCGACTACTTTAGGCTATTTTTATCCTCGGTTAATTCCGATTCACACACTTGAAAATGAAACAAACTTGGCGGACGTAGCAATACCTTGCCAATTAAGGTGCTCTATTGAAAAGTTTTCTGAAAGCGGAGCTTATATTTTAGGTACTTGGAAAAAAATAATTATGTATTACTAGTTATCTAAACAAACAAAATATTTTTTAAATTATTGTGTTTTTAGAAAATGGTGTATTTATGTTCTTATGGCTTGGTTTGGGTCTAAGTCAAACGTTTTTGACTGATGTATTTGGTGTAACAAACTGCACACAAGTTAACACTGAACGCACTGATATACCTGTAATCGATAATCCGTTGAATAAAGCCGTCCGTGAAGTGATATCTAAAATACAGGACGAACGAAGTCATACTATGAGAGTATGTATAGAAATCCGTTTAACTGATCATAAATTAACTATCCAATTTGTTATTTATAGTTATCAATCATACGGCAAAGAGATAAAATTGAAATAGTTATGAGACATTTCTTAGTTGAAGATCACATTGACAACAGCTCGTCTTATGTTGAGTTTTTGTGTCACATGCATAAAGAAATACGTAATTTACTCAGTTAGCAAATACAAAAATGGTAAATAAAAATAGTTCAATACCTTATTAAAGAGTTTTAAAATTTGAAAGAGAAGATATTTTTGTTTTTCTTTTATAAGCTAATTTTTTTTATATTTTTAGTTGGTATTAGGTAAAATAAAATCTCGTAAGTGTAATGTAAGAATTGGTTACACATGTTAAAAAAATATTTTATTTTACAGAATGTGCTTTTTTAAACTTTATTTTATGTAATTACAATTATTATTATTATATAAAATAAAATAGTTCTTATAAAAATAAAATAACATTTTTTTTTTTTTGAATAATTTGTATAAATTATTTTCTAGGTAATTAATGGAATTGCTATATTGGGATTAACGCCAATACTAGAATTATTTATCCACAACTTTGATAATTTTTGCACAGTTGTTCTGTTTCATTTACATACCTACGTCTCTATATAAAAAAAGATGTGTAAAACACAGTTTTAAAAATACCTGTTATTACTTTTATTATTATTTTTTTGTTTAATTTTTATTATATGTTAATTTATCACCTTTCCTCGGGGTGTAAACAATGTGTATATATATATTATTTATTTAAACAAATCTATAAAATTTATCGCTTAACTGGTTTTTATCTAAATTATATAATATGATAATTTAATAGATTATAGTATTTTAATTTTGGATTACGTGTTATTTTTTTTCTATAGGTAAGACTACTATTTTTTTTATCTTGTAACATCTTCTGTTTGTAAATAAGTAAGAGCTTTTGCTATGAAAGGGCGAGTTCACTTTTTTAAGTTAAATAAAAAAAATGTATTGACAAATTGACCAACGAGTTTCACGGTTAGAATTTCTTCCATACAATTCATGGTCATTGATCATACAATATATTTAGATAAGTATTGATTTTTATAATCAATTTCGTTCAAAGTTAAAATAACTGAAATATTTTGAAGCCGAACTAGGTATCTAGACAATAAGCATGTGGCCACTGGTAACATTTTTTTTAATTGTCCAATTATATTACTGAATTTAGCGTCACTGTCCTATCCTTCAATAGCTGATACAAATTGACTATATTTATTATCTACTTGGCAATCCTAAGCTTGTTGCGGTAGTTATTACTAGTTTCCATACCTATTATGTTATAATGTAATAATTTAATTGTGATATGAAATACAATTTAGAAAAAAAATAATGTGTTTAGCTAATTCATTTGCTATTCTACACGTATAAAATATAGTTCCCATCGAAAACAGCCTAAAGAGCCTAATCGTTGCCCACTCCTGGCTCCTTGGGAAGAGAGAGTAGTAAAAAACTATCATAATCATATAGCCTACGCTATTCCCGGATTTACTATTATTCTGTATAATACAACACTTGTGTGTAAAGGAACTATTTAATAGATTTTACCGTTTTAAATAATTTTTTATTTTTATACGGAGGATATTAGAAAAATATATACAACCTAATAATAATATTGTTACGAGCTTTTGATTTGGTTTTATAGGACTATAGGAGAACCTAATTAGTGTATTTTATTAAATATTGGTTACCCAATAACGAGGTCATCATTGTACCGATAACTATTTCATTATATAACAAACTGAAGTAATTAAAGTGATTTGGTGTTTTTATATTATGTTGTCTTCGACCGTTTCTAACTCTTTGTAGGCTATGCTTCGGCGGAATGTGCTTTATGTTTCTTTCGCACAATTAAAATGTAACTGTGCGAACGAAATATATTGTATTTAATACATTTATCGACAAGCAAAAACAACAAATAGGTTCTTTGAAACAATAAATAAACATAAATTCTGAAACCAATTTCAAATACAAAATATATTTCAAGTGCGTATTTTTGAATACTTTAATTGAAAAAATATTTATCTCTACTTAAATTACATAAATATTTAATATTTCCCACTATTTTTTTTTTTTTTATAAGTAAAACATTCAATTAAAAGTTATCCTCAATTAATGTTTCATAAATTATTTTATTGTGTACGTAAAAATAAATCTTGGTAGTTACGCGTTTTGAAACAACGGCGGAGGTCAATGTAAAAATGTATAATATTTATGATTCATCACGGTTACATATTTATTCGCGATTTTTCCCACGTCACTGGAAAACGTCCCGTTCTGCTTGGTGCTTGGCTATAGAACTAACATTTACACTTACTAATTGTTGATTATCATGTACAAATTATTATTTTTACGCAAGCGCGTTTCGTTTTTGATATTGGTGACTACAACAGAGACCAGAGATCGTTCAGAATTTAATTTTATACAAGTGCTCGTGTAGAATATATTCTACACAGCCAGTGTAGCTTTACTATTGATACCCTAGACCATACATTTTTCATTGGTGAAACCAATCCAGATCAATCTTTTTGTCAGTGGGGCATCGATGGTGTTTGGGAAAAGCTGTCTAAGTAAAACGTTTGTTTAAAGAGTATGTCATACCTAGATTCAGTTATACATTTTAGACTTGGCAGTTTTTTCTGAGCACCGTCGATAAAATTTACACTTTTTAATTTATCAAATTACATGTGGGTCATTACGGACTTAACTGGGCAAACATAAATATGGCGGTGCACTTGTTCCAGTGTCGTTCATGAATCTACGGCATTGCAATTTACGAGGTTAGGTTTAAAGTAGTGTACATAGACGTGTTAAGTTTAGTGCTGTGTTTTGAGGATTCCCGTTTAAGTTTTTTTTTTAATTAGGAGTCGTCACGTCGGATTAAATTTCCCCATGAGAACTGAGAGTCCTAAATGGGAGACCTAGGAAGTAAGTATGAAGGTACTTTGGGCCTCTTAAGCAGTTTTAAATCAAGAGACTTGTTTGACAATCATTGGGCCGAGATAGGACATCTATTAGAGTAGAATATATTCCTAAACCAATAATTAATAAATATATTTATTTACATAATTAATTCATTTTGAATAAAAAAACGTAGATTTAATTCCACTAATGGTTTTTTTTTTGTTATCTTTGTATTACCCACGCTAGTAGGTAATAACACATTTACAACACTTGTCAGAATATTTTTGTTTTCTCAGGAATTGCGTTTTACTCGATGCAGGATTTTTCACAATAAAAAGCATACAAACAGTCACGTCGTTATTGTTTTCACGCATTAATCGTTATTGTTACTCCAAACGAATGTGTACTCGATTTTATTGACAATGGACATGGCGATTGCACAATAATATTCGCATAATTGGACTGGAATTAAGTTGAATGGCGATATAAAGGAAAGCGTGAATTCAAGGCAATTTGTTCAATTATTATATTTCGTCTCATTTATTAGCTTAATATTATCATAATGGATATTATAATATAGTGATGTTTAGAAAATCAAATGTTATGTTAAACTGTTACCATATTATGATCACCAGTATTCGACAGGCTCTATCTAATATCCATTGGTGTAGAAATATTGTTTATTTAACAAATTTGCTAACTACTATTTTATATCATATGAGCGTTAGGATTAATAGTATATACACGTAGAAAATAGTTTACCCGCTATTGTTACTTTACAGATGCTAGTCTGAAAAAAACTATATAATATTTTATTTGCAATTTCTAATAAGTACTTAACTATTTCTAAAATGTTTTTGTGTTACTTGTTTTTGTCATAATTGTTATTATGTAACTAATGTAGATTATATTTTAATTTGTCCAATAAGTGCAGTCTATTATGTTCTGTGTTAATATGTAGACCTATATAATAGTTAAAGCCCTTGCTGCGCATTGTCAATTAGTTTGTATTTATAAACTATACAATAATTTAAAGCGGTGTTATTGAACTATAAATTATACTTATTATGAGTACCTTTCCATTTGGTAACACGTGACAACAAGACATCTATACCGTTAAAATGATCAAAGGATCGGTCATAATAATAATTGGCCTGTAATTAGTGAGTGACGTATGCATTGAACTGAAATCATTAATGTTTATTAAACGATTATGTATTACATTGTATACATAATTGGACAAAGTCCGTAGAAAAATGAATTAACAAGCGAGTGCTTGAGAACCGGGGCACGATTCGCTTCCTCCGTCACATCCTCTAAGGACTGTATAGGTTTCTAAGATAAAAAACCAAATTTATAATTTGCCTCTAGCGTTTTGCAATATTTTAAGTACCTAGCCAACATGTTTTGAAAAAAATGATATTGTAAATCATAATGAAATAAAAATATCATAAGAAAACTAATGTACATCAAAATTAGGCTTAATATCAATACTATATAAGAAAAACTCAGGAACCGCAGATTTTGACCTTCTTGACAGAATAATAATTGGTGATCATTAAATTTTTTATTTATATAATAATTATATAAATAAAGAATTAGAGAATAATATTTGGATTTTTTTTATGTTTTGTTCTAGTAGACCTTATAAACGTGTAATTTGTATGGTGTTTATATAATAATATAACGTGCGGTAAATTTCTAGGCTTTTGTTAGTAAAAGTTTACAGGTATGATGACTACTGGCAACTATAAGTTTACAGATCTATCAAATATGTTGTAAGAATTTAATTTTTCTAAAATTTAGATATAGATGTCACAATCATTTTTTTTTTATTGAAGAACGAAATATTAATGAGTGTAAATATAATTAACTTTATTTTTTATTTGTTACCTTAGAAATTAGACCTATTTTTGGACATATTTAGTGTACTGATTATAAAGTCATTTGATTTTCATTAAACTTTACGTTGATTTAACTGGTCATTCGTCAAAATTTAGAAATTATAATTAATAATTTTTATTAAACGTTAACCTCTGCAAACCTTATAAAGTTAAAACAAACATAGTAACTTATTAACGAAATGTATGTAAAGCAAATATATCTACAAAATGAAAACAAATTGAAGTCGTTTTTTTTAAATCAGGGCCGCCTATAATCTCCATAATAATATTAGTAAAAATAAAGTAAATTCTCGAGGCAAAAAAATGTGTGTTCTACAATAACCTACGTAATATTATATTTTATTAATAGTTATCTATTACCTAATACAATTATTTAGTTTCATTTTTTTCAAGTAAAAGGATCCAAAGTACAAGGGCACAAGTGACATTTTTTTTTTAACAACAAATTTTTTATTTACAATAATTGTAATGTAGTCTTAATTCTATCTGTGTTTGCTTTAAATTGTTTTTACATTTTTAAAGAAAACGAATAAGCATCACCTAGAGAATACAAAAAAAATCATTTTAATTTTGCTCTCTTAAAATGTTATTGAAATTACTTTTGATACTACTTCATTTGTACCGGTAATAAAATAATACGGCAATTAAATGTATTTCAGCTAATAAGTATTTTTATAGAAGCGGAAGAAGACGTTCGAGATGTATAGCTTACGCATATAATATTTGGTCGTTATTGGGGTTTTTTTAAGCGAAATTAGATTCACTTTTAGAAGCCGACTAACCACTTGTTTGTAGCTTACATAATAATTATCTCGTAGAACAATTTCATATTTAATTTGGCAAAAACAAAACAAAAACCATGGTATTTAATGCTGGACACAAACTTTGTTCTTGGGTGTTTATCGACGTGTGACCGAATCTGGTAGAGACCGCTTCCAAGGTAAATGTTGTAAATGTTGTAATTGTACACGTGACGGGCGTCGGCCACCAAGGCTTGTTTTTTTTTTTTGCCCAAGAAGAGGATTAAATGCATTATTAATATATTGTTGTTGATATGCACAAGTGCTTTAATTGTGTTTTTATGCGTGGTGGGGAATCCTGCAAGAACGCCTTGTCGATTCGGCTGAAGGAACACGGTAATCAACAGCCCCCCGTGTGACGTAAATTGCGGAGTGCCCGTCTCCTTAATCGGGTTGCCAGGACTATTTAACTGCAGACGGATCTACTTGTGGCTACAATCTGCAACCACCAAGCACCGAAAGAACACGTTTGCTGGTTTTTTCGGACAGTATATAATATTATTATTATTCACACGCCTTATTAGTGTATAAAACTTTTTTTTTTTTTTGGTTTCGACAAACCCGGTAAAATGATCAAACTCTTTGCGTTCCTGGCGGTCTGCTGCGTGGCCGCGACTGTGGTCGATGTTCAAGCGGCCCCGTCCAAGTACACCACCAAATTCGACAACGTCAACGTAGACGAGATCCTCAACAATGACCGTTTGCTCAACAGCTATTTCAAATGTCTAATGGACCAGGGAAAGTGTACTCCAGAGGGCGAAGAACTCAAACGTGAGTACAATGTACTATATGTCATGTTCTACCTATCTAGTCAAGTCCTTTCATTAGTGAAAATTTATGGAGGGGGGTTAGGGTGATTGGAAAACTTTTTTTGATTTTAATTTTTGACGGATGATTCGTTGAACATGGTCAATTTAGTTTTGAATTTTCTAATTTTAAGCATTTAATACGTATATTTTAAGTATACCTTGTTCACCTAAATTTCCGTCGTTATAAAATAAAATACAGCCGTATACTTACAAGAGGTGGGATTTTCAAAATTCAGAATTACAAAAAACACAAGTTGCTACTATTTTTAAGTCTTTTAATAAAATGTCTAAGTACAAGTATATAGTACAAAACAAATTGTGTTAAAAACAATACTGCACGAGAATATCGATGAATTTCAGAAAATTAAAATTATTCGAAGTTGTAGAATTGTAGAGATTTGTTTTCATTTAATTTTTTTTTTTTTAGTGGTTTTTTTAACAAATGTTTTCAGTTTTAATATATTACTACAAATTGTACCTAAAATAACCTACTTCTAAGACTTAACATGTCTAGAATAACGATTTTATGGAAATTTTAATTTGTGTGTTCCGACCTTCACACACTAACACCAAAAGTAAAGTATTTAAGAAGGTTTAGGTGCCAATTGCGTCATTTTAATTTTTAAATTGTAAACCAGGATATACTTTATTATCTTTTTTAGTGTAGTTCAATAGAACGCGCAAACAAAAGTTTATCCAACAGAAACTTTTGAACTCCCCAATGACGCTTTAACTTTTGTATATTTGCGGTTACATTGATAAATTTCAAGCAAAATGGTATCGTAGAAAATATAATGAGGGTTAAAAATACCTATTTTATTATTTTTATTTAAACATCTGGTTGTTTGCAATCTAAAGTATAATCGGAGCATCAGAAGACGTTTTTATACGACTTTAATGTATTAACTCATGGTGCTAAGATCGAAATTGTGATTATTTTGTTGTTCATCGCACTTTTTATGTTAACATTAGTAAATAGTAGATACTTCATAAGAGATAGTTTTACATCATCGTTGCCGGAACAATTTACAGATACAGGGGTCAGAGTTTTGAACAGCGCGTTTGCCAATACATTCCAATTTATGCCTCCGGAATTAATGGGCACTATTACGGAAATGCAACAAACCATCAGCGATGCTTATTTAAAGGAAGCCAACAACCTTCAGAAACAACCATAAAAACAATACATCACTTTTTATCTCAATCGTGTGTCATTTACTTATTATGATCTTTTATCATGTTTGTCAACAATTTTTTCTATTCATTTACTTGATTTATAAATAGAACTCCATTCTCATTGTATTATAGTGGATTCTTTTTTTTTTTTTATCAAAATATAAGAAAGACGGATGCTAAGAATATATACATGTTATTTTTCATTAGTATTTGTAGAAAAGCTATTGATATGACTGAGAAAACATTACACGATAAAGCTAGGTTTGCCATACAGGGTTAATGTGTTTAAAAGGAATAATTAAAAAAATATTTAAAATCCAACATGATACATTTAGATAGACATTATTGATTATTGTGTCATTGCCCGTTCATATTAATTTATTTTTAATAGTTCATAAATATTACTAATGATTTCTTACCAAAAATAGATTTACCGTACGGTGATTACATAATGTTTGTTTATTTCAGGTTGGATACCGGACGCCATGGATAATAACTGTAAGGATTGTTCGGAGAAACAGAGGCAGGGAGCAGAAAAAATAATCAAATTCATGGCCGAAAAGAAGAAGGATATGTGGAAAAAGCTGGAGGAAAAGTATGATCCCGACGGCACCTTTAGGGAACGTTATAAGGACGAAGCGAAGCGGCTTAATATAGAAATATAAATATCATTATGATTTTGAAAAATAGGTCTCGGTTATGAGCAAAACTTTTTTTTATCGAACACAACGAGACAATTTTTAATAACCAATTGCTTAATCAACAATAGTTTGTAAGTTTTGAGTGATATATGGAATCAAATCAAATTTATTTTTTGTTTAATGTTTAATTATAATATTCTATACATAGTAAGACATTTTGTGCAATACAATTTTTTTTTAAAATAAACTTTTATAGAATGATTGTAAAATTAAAAAGGGTAATTGATTTATACAATAATAATTTTAAAAATGTACTTCCATAGTTTATATGGTGCAAGTATACTCGGTTTACCACTGAAAATAAACGACCTCGGAAACACAAAATCAATTACACTGTAATTGTATATGTAAAATATACACCAACATTAATAACCGTAAATTATCCTGCTGTTGTTGTTGTTGTTATTAAATAATTATATGATTATGATGTTCGATGTCCATGCTCATAATGATAGCAGAAAGAATAATATGTAGAAACCATCTGAAACAAATAACGGACATAACTACAAATGTATTAGGTAATTTTTTTGGAGTGATAATACATTAGACTACGTTTAGGCATGGACGCACTTAGATTTTAATTCATCAAACTATGAACCTCGAACTACTTTTCTGAGGAGACTAAGTCTTATAGTCGTGCTGTAATCGCCCAAAAAAGGAATGTGTGTCCGATTAACTTATTATTCCTTGACCAGATGTCATGGCAGTTATTTTATTCAAATTTCTACATTACCTGCTCTGAAGTTTTAAATTAGATAAACAATTAATAATGATTAATATCCTTTTAAAAAGTGACTTGTACTTGTTAGTACGGTGCTAACCGTTATAAATACTCTAGTACGACCCTAGTATTTGCATGTTAGGTACAGGTTTGGCCGGTTTCATAAAAATATATAGTTGTGGCTTTTCGATAATTATATTTTTGTCGCTCTTGTTAAGTAGTATTTGGTTTTTCATGATTATGAAAAACTTAACTTAAAATCCAACAAATTATGGTAATTATGTAAAAAATGAATCGTTTACCGCCATGCATGTAAATAGTCTATACAATACGCCGTTAAACCATACTATTGTAAAATGGATTTGACACATTAATAGCAATTGTTATTATAGCATAAAGAGTTAACAGCTAATATTTAAATAAATATTAGAAAATATGATAGAGGCAAGACAAAGAGTTTTAGTTCTTTTAGTTAGGCAAAATAATTATTAAAAATTTACTACATCGTTGTAGTAACATAATCAAACAATTTTATTTCCTGAAATTTATCATTGAAAGATAAAAATGGAAATCCCCTACTGTGATAATAGTTGAACTATTAAAAATATCATAAATTTTGAACTTGGTTCCCAGAATAACTTATTAAAAACATAAATAACCTAGTCAATCCGGTATGTGAAACTAAAGAGAATATAAATATTTTCAATTTTGCTCTAATAATGATAGAATTTAAAGGTATTCAAATTTATTCCTGTTTCATCCCAACCTTACTTCTAATAATATACTAATGTCTATTAAACTTAAACTGTTATGTTATTTTATTTTATTTTGTTTAATTCATTTTTATTTAATTTTCTTAAAATATTTTTTTATTGGATACGCCTATCTATTATGATTATAATGAAGTATAATAGAAGAAGATTTTTATGGATTATACGGTTTTTATTTGTTTCGTATCCAAGTTAAATACAAAATTACAAATCCAAAACGTTTAACAACGTTTTTAATGTTTATTTCCAATAAATTTGTTATTTAATTTAAAGAAAAAATAGTTTGAAGTAATCGGTCCAGTCATCGCGGTGTTGTTCTTATAGGTCCAGACACAAAAAACAAATAAAATATTTAAAAATACCTTTGTTAAATTCAGATCTACTTTTCAATTTTATTATAATTTTGTGCTGTTGTTTGTACCCTATATTTGTTTTCAAGTAAATTTGGAAAAAATCAATACGGCGGCATTTGTGAGTTACAACCTCGTGAATACGAATTTATTGTAAAACTTATGTAAATGCGGCCTTTTATTAACGATAAGCAAAAAGTGACGAGGATTGCAATTAATTGATATATTACATTAAATACACTTACTATTTGATCCGGACGTATAAGTGAGGGCGAGAATTGAAAACCGGATTGGAAAAGTCATGAGCACTCGACCGAAACAAACAACTATCCCAATTTGGATGTAATATGTTATAAAAATAAACAACTCCACATGATTCAAGGCAAACTCAATTCATCTCCTATAAATTACGACGTCATTAATAGCGGTCTTATCTAATAGTATGCGCATAGAGTTTTCTGCAAGATAAAAACAAAATTAAAAAATTAATAAAACATAATTATAAATAATAACAACAAAACGCATCTACGAGCACTTACCAGAACGACTCCGGCCAACAATGGGTCGCCAACCTGTGGAACTGTTCACGCACACGCATCGGACTTATAATATTATGTCTGTTGTAAATACATCTAACGAAAACGTGGAAAACTCGGTCAAGGAATCATAATAATTTTATGGAAAATTCGTTTTGGACACGCCATTTGAATACGACTTCAAGGCGGTTCTCGAATACTTATATTTTATCCCCTCTCTAACCTTTTTATACATGTATTGTTATTACATATTATACCCATGGAAATGTTTTTCCAGTTCACATGTACCAACGGCGTACATTTAAATCATACAAGCGTTAAGAGTGCACTGATAATTTGGATTCGATTACCTCGACAATAATAGCATTGTTCGTTGTTTTACATTTACTCGGACATTATGGGCCTGGAGTTTCGGTTCATCGGTTCCGTTTTGTCGCCACAGTCTGTTATTCGCAAGAACTATGAAACCGCCATTGAAAAGAGGTCACTTCCGTACTCCCAGACTACGTTAAAAACCCTACCGGATCCGTCGAACGGATCACAATCGACTGTGGCGGTGGTGTACGGAAATCGATCATTGGCTCTTACAATTAGTTAGAATTTTTGTCCCAAATAAAAAACAACAACGACATAATGTTTTACTGTTTTGTCGTCGTATTGTGCGTCGTACGCGTACCAGCGGCGCTCTGCGGACCGTTTCCCCAACAACAGGCACAAAACGGAAGTCCACAATCCGTCCAACAGTCCGGTCAACAACCCGTCCAACAACCTGTCCAACAGAACATTCAACAGCCGAGCCAACAGCCTGCGCAACAATCCGGACCACAGCCCGCTCAACAGCCCGGACAACAGCCCATCCAACAAATCAACCAACAACATCCTGGACAACACCTTGGCCAGAACGGGCTACCTCAGTCCGGCGAACAACAGCCCGATTACCGGCAAAACGAACAAAAACAAGCGATTGAACGCTTCTCCCACAATCTAGTGGCCAACCCGAGAATCCGAAAGAACTACCTCATGTGCTTTTTGGACCACGGTCCGTGCAGTCCCGATGCCCAAAACCTCAAACGTGAGTAAACAATTTTGATGTTACTGTTTCACGCGTAAGATAAAATATAACCCGTCTAATTTATATTTATAAACAATTAAACATTATTTAGTATCATAGAAGTACCTAATTATTTTAGCTTCGAAGCGATAGAAGGAAGCTATTGGTTTTGTCAAGATGTGTTTTTTTTCACGTGTGAAAAATTACACTATTTAGTGCTTATTTGACATTATAATACTATGTGGCTAAAACGAAATAATTTAGGTTTTTAATAAAGAAATTAAATATAGATAATAATCCGGACAACTCAAATACTGAATAGTTAAAATTAAAAATTGGAATATTCATTCCAATGCTATTTGTTATTAATATAAAATATAGGTGCCTTCATCATATACCATGTATGTTACAATCCTTTGCAGGTATGAATACCAACTATGGTTAGAATTTTGCTTGTTTATTTTAATTGTAATATTAGGCATTAGGTATTAGACATATAATGTATGCCTATATTATTATTATGTCGAGTTACACGAACGTTTAAAAAGTTTAAAAAAATAACACAACATTTATGTTTTGTCGCAGCAGAAGTGCTTCCGGACGCCATTAGAGAGGAGTGCACACATTGTACAGATTTACAAAAGAAAGTTATCGAAAAAATGATGTGCTATTTAAACAATCACCAACCGCAAATACTTAGGCAAGTGGCGGCTAAGTTCGATCCCCAGGGAGACTACATGAAGCAGTATATAAGCGCGCTGGAAAAGAAACAAAACGAAGAGTTACAGAAACAGCAACAACTTCCAGTAGAGTCGACCACTCCTGTGACAACGACGACGACGACCAAGAAACCTTGAAAGAATTCGTCTAGTATACTTGTTTTCCAGGTTATCGCCTAAGTGATTCGATAGTTAAACAATACTATATGTATTTTTTAAATACAGTGTACTATGAATACTCGTACAGCTTTTTAATAAAATACAACTAGTACCTGCCTACTAACTATAGTAATTTTATGAACCTATTTATTTATTATTTACTCGTTTATATATTTTGATAGTGTGAAATAAAGTAAATATCGTGTATTCACGTGTATTTATAAATATATCGTCTTAAATTATTACCAAATTACTTTTTACTGTTTATAAGCAAATGATGGTGAGAAGGGTGATGTTTACACATTACTACCGCCAATTACTTGTAAATATTGATATAAATTGGCATTTTCATAAAAATAAAATTATTAAATACTAGTGCAAGTCCTTAATAGACCGGTAGGCTATTGACAAAAGATGATGTATCAAATATAAGTTATATCAAATATTGTAATATTTCAATTTAATAATGTGACAACTACTAATGGAGAGTATTACATTTCATAAAATAAATACCGGTATCAAAACAAGATTTGCTAATTAAAATGGTACTTCGCATTAAGTAAAAATAAGAAATTTACATAGACTAAGAGCATAATACTACTAGGGTAAGCCAACCGTAAGTATATAACAACTGGTGTACTTTTGCTATATTATATTTAATTATAATATTTTTGTGAATATGGTAAGCAGTAAGTTATTAATTAACGAATACCTACCTGCCTTACAAACTGTAACATTAACTAGGGTTTCGATTTTAATGTAATTCCTGCACATTAATTTAAACATTTAAAAGCAACTGGCTCTTAAAAAACTGGTTTTAAGTTGTACTTAAAACTTGACACTTTATCACTTGACATTTAATGTGTTCATCCAGGTTATTTTAGAAATGTCAAATGAATATAGTGTAAGTACTAGTGCAAAGCGCGCAGTATGACAAATGAAAAGAGACAAACAATTAATTTATTTTTAAAACTAATTTTAAAATAATCAGAACATTAAATCATACTATGCAATCATCGTTCACATGTGTTCTACGATACGAGTCATACTCATATAGTATTTATATTTCATTAAAAAAAAATATAGGTATTTAATGATAGTTGTCACAATATTTTGACATTTTAATATTTTTCTCAAGGAACTAAGCATTATAATTTATAAAATCACACAAACGTTTTCTAAGTATAAATACTAATAAACCATTTGGCGGAAAGGTCGGCAAAGATTTTAAGCTGGTGCATAAGAAGAAAATATATTATAAATTTGAAAGTTATACATAAATTATTTTCAAAACACCAAACAAATTTTATACATTATAATAGTTTTAAATCTTAACAAAACTTTTTAAAAGTGACTTAATTAAGAAACACGAGCTAACGACAAATTAATTGCTTGTTATTATGTAACACAAAGACTTAGTAAAATCTATTAAAACTTTAAGCTACATCATACATAGAAACATAGATACATCAGTTTGGGAAATCCCTACATTTTTTAGTTTGGCAATTGTTACAATATCAATTGTTCTACTAAATTATTATTTGATGATGGATATAAAATATCGTTTAAGAAAATAGTATCAAAGCAATTAAGTATAATTAAATGTGTAACTTACATTCTCCCACATTTTTAATGTAATATTTTATATCACATAGATTGGTAGATAGTTTTTTAAACGACTCAGTTAAAGAGTTTTGGCTATGGCAGTGCTGTATAAAAAATACTTATTTTATAAAAACAAGTTTAATAAAATCGAGAGTGGGTTGATGTGTTTTTACTTTTTAATGATGTGAACACTGCACATATATCGCGAATAATGTAAGCAGTAGAATTGTATAGTGTTTATAAGGAAAAACCAAAAAAAAAAAACGATTAAAAAATAGCGTAGCGTACAATTAATTTAATTACATTTTACAAGTGTATTTGTATATATAGTATTTAAGGCGCACTAGGTCTATGTTATGTATACATCCACCTTTGTCTAAAAAACCTTATATGATAACAGTGGATAGAAAAACAATTGAAAATTCAATGTCTTAAATTATATTACAGATTAATTTGCAATTGTGTTTCGGATTTCTCCAATGTCGGATTTGCTCGGGTTTGTATACACAATACTCGAGGTCAATAATAATAATTATCATATTATTATTATACATATTATTATTATTATACACGGTATCAGGCTTACATATTAAATGTGTGTAAACAATTGTATAATTATTAATTCATGAAATTATGAATGTAATTTGTAGTATACACGAATCATTAACATGTTTTGTAAACTAAACTGTCTTACAGCATGTGCGCCTATTAGCATTTGCGGACGACATTAAACTGTTTTATCAAATTGACTCGCTAAACGATTGCCACATTCTCCAAGAAGAGTTAAATAGTTTAGTCTCTTGGGCAGATAAGCCGGGGCTGCAATTTAATATTGCTAAATGGCATTATTTTTCTTTAAAACGCCGCAGACTCCCTATTCAATTTAGTTATACTATAAAGGGATCAGTTTTAGTGTCGCTTGACAAGTCTGTCACTGATCTAGGTTTTGTTTTCAGTCCGACGCTTAATCCTAATTTGCATGTAGAGAAAGTTTGTTGTAAAGCTCTCAAAACATTAGGTTTTATTAAACGTGTGTCCTCCGAGTTTAAATTAAAATCACTTTTGAGAGCACTCTATTGTTCACTGGTTAGACCAATCTTAGAATATGGTTCGGTTATTTGGGACCCTCATACGGCGAAAAACTCTACAATGCTTGAGCGAGGTCTACACAAATTTTTAAATTACTTAAGTTATGCTTTAAAGATTGAGTGTCCTTCGCATGTTTTTACCCCAGTCCTTGAGCTCATTGAATTGGATACATTAGCTAACAGTAGACGTGCAAACAATTTTGGGTTTTTAGTCAAACTACTGCATGGACAAATTGACTCACCTTATTTGCTTTTCAAAATTTCTTTCAAAGTTCCTCCCCGTTCTACCCGCTACACAGTTCCTTATCCCCTTTCTTCCTCTTCCACTAATTACGGTTTAAATGAACCACTACGCCGCTGTATGTCATTAGCAATTCCGACCCCTCTTACTTGTCGTAATTATTATAAATTATTGTAAATCCCTTAAATCTTTTTTTTTCTTCTACCGTAGATATAGTTTTTAGTTTTTAGTTTTATAACAGTAATTGCTACTATTATTATATTTGTTTGATATTCCATTGTTCTTTATGTAGTTGTATACATTTTCACTGTTTTTATGATGTCTTATAATCTTGCCCTCGAGGCGTATAAATATATAAACATAAACATTAATCACATAAAAGAATAAATCATTAAATTTGAATAATTGTACGCCGTATGGTTATCTAACGTGTAATTTTTTAATGTGCTTTTTCTTTTGTTGCATTATGATTTTTTTAAAATAGAAAATCTTAGTAATGTGAAACATTTTTGTATGATTAAGATAAAATAAGTTAGATTAGTATTAAGCAATTATATTGTTTGGAGTTGGCTAAAAATTGCGTTTACAACAATTAATTAACCACCCATTAACAAAAGCAGTTCTTGTACTTACTCAAGGTCACTGATGAATTTATCGTACAGATTTAGCAACTATATAACTACTAAATAACGCATAGATAAATGTTATACAAATACAATTATTCATACTAGTTCATTAGTATTATTTAGAAAATAATACTATCTTCGATAGTTTTAAATACTTCATCTACCTACTTTTTTATATTTAATTTAATATTTTAACTTGTACTTGTTATACTTGTTATTTTCTCATTTACAATTTGCAATTTACCCTGTAAGGTAAAAATACACATATCTATCTACGTTCTACAATAATAATGATGTAGATATATACTATTGATCGTCTCATAAGAGAATGTCATAGTAGCCTACTGTTAGTAGGTATGACCAAAAATTATTTAAATATTATAAATATTTGACCCTTATTTAAAAAAAATGTGTAAATATCGTTAAAATTAAAATACTTAACTAAGAAAAGAGGTTATACAAATTAAAGAGGCGATACACTAGATTATATTTAATAATTATTAAAATTATTTTTTTATATTGAATATAAAAATTAACGACCGAAGATAATTGAAATGTTTAATGATTTGTTACTTCCTATACTTAAATTAGTTCTTGTTTTTGAACGTTTTTGCAAACATTTTGTCGCCAAGACTAATCGCGTTACTGATTGGTTACAATGGATTATGGGGGTATTAAAAAACCCGGATGGAAGCGTTTGAGGGTCAAATACTGGTTAGCGACTAGGATAGTTATCGAATTGTCGCAACCGGTAACCAATATTGTATAACGCCATTTTAGAGCACAGCATGAGGTTAATCTTGTCGGTGATGTGAACCTCAGAAAATCCACGTTTCTCCTGAAAACTTGTTTGTACTTCCTTAAAGTTCCAGACAATCAAGTGCTTGTACAAAATCGACACCAGGCATCGCAGCGGTAAAGTCATGTGAGTTATTCATTTGTTAAACCTAATAAAAGTTAAATTACATGTTTATTGAAATGGAAATTTATATCGACAGTCGAGACTCCAACGCCGGTTTACGCGCCATCGGATTGAGTCGATCGAACGGAAGCCTTTAGGACTACCGGCAGTACTCCTAGTTTTAAAGGTCACGTGGCGCTAGCAGATAAACACATTTACTGCTGTGGGACGCGAGAAAAGCCCTCAGTAATAATGATAACGATGTTTATTTTTTTTAAATTGCCAATCGTAATATCTCAGGATGGACAAACACAACGGGTTTGTCGCGGCGACTGCGCTACAGCCGCCAGCACAATAGCGTTAGCAGTACTGCTGCTAGTACGCGGTGTTTATGTGGGATGACGGCGACCTTGAGACGAGCACGTTTGTGTGTATTTTGTTGCTTTTTTTTTTGTATCACTTCTTTATACGTGTTTCCGTCTCGCATTCCGCTTAACAGCATCGGACGTAAGGACGTATAGTGCGCGCTGGTGCGAAAGACAGGTCAAAGCTGTGCATCTGGTCGAATCCCCGTTAATTTAGTGTTGATCCGGACGGTCGGACGGTCGCAATAGAGCCATTTAACGCGTGCCGAAGACCACAGTTTCTCTCTACGTTGTTGCTTGTCGATGATTTGCAGTCCGTATGGCGATCCTCGATATGATAACTGCGTTCTGTTACATTACCGCCGCCTGCGTCACTCGCGACATGCAGGACCGGCGACCGGTCGGCACCGCATCCGTCACCAGGCAGGCGGTACCTACCCCGCTTGGGTTGAGCGGCACCCCCTCCCCCATAGGCTCCGTGCCATCCATCGTTCCAGGAACGGTCGCTCCCCCTGGCCGACTGGTGCCACTCCCGTTAAGCGCTAACCCGTCACCGAACATCCGTACGCCTCCGGTTTCAGTCAACTCCAATACCGTCTCCGCTCCCGAAAAGAAGCCAGTCCGAGAAACTTCGCCCTATCCCACCCGGTACGACTACATTGATGTGGAATCGGTCATGAACAATGAGAGGATCTTGAAGGTACTGTTCAATTGCGTCATGAACAAAGGACCCTGTACCAGGGAAGGGTTAGAGCTCAAAAGTAAGTTTTGTATCTATACAAATGTCTCGCGCTGAAAGTTGTCATGCGGTTTCTCCTAGAGAAGAACAATTTATAATATAAAGCTGGAAACGAACCGGCTGCAACATTTTATTGCGTGACGTATTGCAACGTTGCACGCTCTGCATTTCTTTCAAGATTAAATGAAACTGGTGCGCACTGCGTGAAACATTGACTTGCAACATATCACAAGAGGACGATGTTGCCCTGCCGGAAATCTCTGCAACAGTTTCTTGGCAATGTTTTGCAACAAAATTTTGCAGCCTGCGTATTTCCAGCTTTAGGAGGCACTTGTCAATTTCCGATTTAATGTTTCTTGGCTTTTATTAAATTTGGACTTACTAACACAATTAACGTGTAAATTACCGTAAAGTTATAAGAGTTTAAATGTTTGGATGGGAGGGGAAGTGCGGTTGAGAAATGCGAACAAATAAAATTAATACACACTCTACTTTTCCTCCTACCCTGAACTTGAAACTTCAATAACTTCAAAAACAGGTATCCAAAACTGGTTATCGACCCATCAAAATTGTTAGTACATTATTCTCAATTCAAAAAGTTAATGAAATGTATGCGTTACCATTTAAGTTTCAAAAGTTGCTATTAAAAAAACTAAGTTGAAAGAACAGTAAAAACAAAAAAAATGATGAAAAATTAAGATCCCATTGCATAAAAACACTATGTAAAGAAAACATTTAATTTCTTATAAAACCTAGTGAGATATTGAGTGGTTCACGATAAGCTGATCACCTTGTATATAGTATTCTTTAAAATTCAAAATTATTCATTTCAATGAAGCTGATAATCTCTATAAAAGAATGGACGATCGGTCGATAACCAGCTTTAAAGTAATACTTGTTGAGTTACAATTATAACAATACTTAGGAAAAAGGCACAGATTAAAAGTTAAAATATTCTGGGCCTCTTCATAACTTGTACTTTATTACCTACCACTTGAAAACTTGTTATCGACCAGTAATTGTTTTCTTTAGTTTTAATTGCGCAATTACAATTTTAGTTTTAATCCGGTTTTTATCAAAGATGTAATAAACTAATATACACTTTAAATGATAAAATATATAGAATACCATCAACTTTTTTTCCATCATGAAAATTTAAGTTATGAATTTATTTATTAGGTAAATCCCTGTTTACTATAGTACATCGTGTATATTATAAGGCTCAAATTTAGTACTTAATATTGTTTGAAGAACCGCTAAAATAACTACTTTTTATCATTTAATCTTATTCAGAAACATATTAATCGGAGTAAATTTGTGGTCACTAATATTATAATATTACATTTTGATTTTCTATTGTGTTTTGCTATTGAAAATAAATGTTTGCAAAATTGAATTAAGTACGCTTGACTTGATTACGAAGATTAAATATTACAAAATATATTGTTTTTAGATTAATGATATTTATATAAAAACAACAATAAAACACGTAAAGATAAGCAAGTTGTGTATATGTCTATAGCAACTTCAAACCGACTGTTATATTTTACTGTCCATTGGTACTGTACGGCATGGTAAAAGCAGACCTTGAATTATGTATTCTATGCTTTCATGCGGTTAAGGTATGACGTCCACGCATATGAATCTAAAAACTTAAAAAATTATTAAATTAACAAAAATCAATCAACATTGGCATTGAAACTAAAAAATAGGTTATACGTTTTTATATCGACAACTATTTTATTATTGTAAACATTAAAATATTTTTAGGCGCTTAATAATTTATTATTTGGGGGAAAAATGCATAAGTACTCTGTCATGTTATGTTCACTTATTGAATTTTATTACCATTATTAAAAATATTTAGGTGCGACTGGGAACATGCAATGTAAAGTGCCCCCTAAAATTTGTTTAGGAATAAAGTTATTCATAAAACAAGTCTCAGCATTAAACTCGTGCTGGTTACCGTACACACTTGGTCATAAGTGATTTGTTAGGCAATTAAAATATCGATTTGCTGCCATCATTCGGTATGATCCGTGCATCATACAATTATAAATTACTATAGAAGACCGGCAACTAAAAATTCATGTTTAACAATATAATATTCATACTTTAGTGATGGCAATCGGGAGCCGTATGTTAAAACCTAGATCAATGAACTAATAAAATATGATAGTAAATATAAACATTATTCATTTGGTGTATTATAAATGTTAATCATTTCAATGTAACCACAATGTAAACATATATGCGGTTTGATGAATGAACGGCGAGCGGAGGCGAAATAATCGTGTTGGCCATTTTCTAAAAATAAAATAAGGTTATTGTTTTTTTTTTTTTTTATACAATTTTTAAGATATCACTAATTACATTATTTTAATGTAAAATTTTATGGTCTGAAATAGGTATATTATTATACAAATTAAAATAATTGCCTATTTTGTACAACTAACTTAATTGTATATAAGCGATAAGAATCGTTAACCTTGAATAACACGTGTTGAATTAAGTTACATAATCCTTAAAACACGTTGAGCAGGAATACTTTTCACGCACATTAGCACATTGTTAGATTATTAATTATCTATAACAGGAAAATTGCGCATCATATTCCGTAGTTTGATCCAAATAGAAAAATATATATTATATTATTCATTTGTGTATTTATTTGAATTTAAAAATGTTTTAATACACATATTTTCTTCTGGACATTCTTATCTAGAATCCTTTATTTATCACATCCAACTATGTTTTCTTCGGTCTATCTGCTAAACCTCTAAATCTTTACCGTAACATGCTCAAACCATCTCAGTCTGTTTTCTCGCATTTTCTTATATATACATCGAGCTATATTTCAATAATAAAAACAAATAATCGTATAAATAGTGAGTGTTTAATTAGAAATTCTGTATATATAATTACATTTATACCAATATCTCAAATGTACTTGACCTGTCTACTCTTGCTGAATGCAGAAAAATATTAAATAAAAAATGTATTCGCGGTTTAATATCAAACCAAATTGATCATCCATTATTGCTATCCTTAATACATTTTTAAATTCCTTCGCATACACCTCGTTTTCAAAATATCTTCCATATTTCTAGATATGACATATTCCATATTCCTGGAACACAAACAGCAAACTATTTACAGAATGAACCTCTCAGACGTATTATGTCACTTGCAAATGAGAACCCCTCTATTGATAATAGTTGGTTTTAATATTTTTATCCTATCGTTTTTTTCATTATTTTTGTTTTAATTGTTATTACTTATTTTCAATGTCTTACTAGTTACTATTATAATCAACATTGTTATCTGTACTGTTTACTCTGTTATATATAGAAAAAGGAAAACCTGTTTAATTTATAATAAATAAATATATAATTAATTGTTAATAATTCATGCTTAACGAATCATTATGTAAAGTAAATATTGTTTTTGTTTGCATAATGTTGTTATAACTATTTTACTGTATTAATCATGCACATTTTCAGCTAACTTGTATATCATAATACAATTGATATCGATACATATCACATTAAATACGTGTTAACCATGAAGACATAACATTATGGTAATAATAACACATATTATTATATGTATAATCATTATCATAAATCATTTCCATGTTATAATGCAATAACTACAATTTATTATTCGCAAATCAACTATTTCTTATTTAAAAACATGTGATTTTTCAAACTATAATTTCAATTTTAAAGTACCACTAACCTTAACAAAAAAAAATCGCATTATTATTTTAATGTATCTCTTCTATTTTTTTTAAAATTAAAATTAGTATTTAGCCGACCCTGTCTATGTTAAGTAGAATATTTTAATATACTTGTGGGATTGCAGCACGCATAGTTTTATTAGTTACAGTTCGCTGAAACATGACATTATCGCATTACAACTTTGTCCTTAAAAGTTATTTAAAGCTCATTGCGATTTAGTAGCAATATTATGTTATAGATTGTGAAGTGAAGTGAATATGCAGCCAGAATCAATAATCCTATAACAATAATATGTTACCCTTCCGCGTTATTAATTTCATACACTCATACTATTTAATAATTTAACTTGACACGCACAACAACGGTTGTCATAACTTAGCTGCAAATTCACATTACACGCATTTATCAAACTTGTGTTTTATAAACGATACAGGTTAATTAAATATTGTTTTCAATAATTTGAGGATTTTTAACAAATTGTTTTATGCATAACAATTAATAATACATTATATTATTACAGGAATTATTCCAGACGCTTTGCAAACAGAATGCGCTAAATGTAGCGATCGTCAAAAAAAGCAAGCCGGCAAAGTCCTGGCACACTTACTGCATTACAAACCGGACTACTGGAAAATGTTGGTTGAAAAATTTGATCCAAATAATGTTTATCTGAAAAAATATCTCGTCGACGACGATGATGAGATCAATAATACTACGGCTATTGTTCCCATCAAAGCTAAAACATAATAATCGATAGTTATGTTTGTAGATAATATCCTTTTTAGGCACCTACGATAAATATATTTTAATTATTTTGTGTTATTATTGTAAAAAAAAAAGTTGTTTAATGTACCTGTGTCACTTATATATTAAAAATTATGTTTTTAATACTCAAATTTAAAAATTTTATAATATTCTTAGTATTTATAAAAGTTATGTTAGAATCATAATAGAAATTTCATAAACTCTAAAGTACTACATTTTTACAAAACAATAAATATTTGTTATTCATAAATTTTAAGCTTCAACATACTATTATTATTGTAGTGTATTTTATGTACTTTACTATTTCTAAATATATATTTTTGCATTTAAAACCGTATTGTAGTTTTTAAAATATATTTTTTATAATAATCATGTAGGTACTAGCAGTGTTAATTTTTTAACTTTTTATTATTTTCAAATATTTATTCACATTAAAAAAAAATGTTCATATCTTTCCTAAGGATATATTTGAACCTAATTAATATAATTTTAAGAGTTAAATTAATTAATTGTCTAAATCAAAAGTATATGAATTCGTAAAAATCTCAGTTTTTTTGTCTTTTAGAAAAGTCTTAAGTTTATAAAAAAATATTTAATATTATTTACTATGTCTACAAATTATATATATATTACTAGACCGACACAAAATGTTTTTTTTTGTTTACCCGAAAAATTATAAATTTTGGTTAAAAAAAAAATGTCAACATTTGAACATGATCGGATAATATTTAGAGGAGCTATTTTGTCTTATCAATTTGATTATTACGTGTGATATATTTTTAATTTTTCATTATAATTTTTTTTTTAATTTTGAAGCTACAATATTCAAAGTGGAATCACTGGAAAAATGGCAAAAAAAACTTCAAAAAATTATATTATTGGTTTATTGAATAAATTGCTCAATTACTTAACAAAATAGAACTTTTATTTTCAAATTAAATTAAAGTAGTGATATCAAATATTTACCTCATTCTTTTTTGAAGTTTTTTCTAACGAGTTTACTCCGAAGATTTTTCGGGTAAACATAAAACATTTTTTTGAGGTCGGTCATACTAATAATATATATATATAAGTAGAGCTTGAGTGTTTAGTTGAGACCTAAGATATCTGTTCAAAATAATATTAAACAGCTACTAAGTCAGTAAAATAACTAATAACATGTCTACTATGTTTTGTACAAAAATAAAAATAAATCATTTTTTTAAAAAAAAAGGTTGCTTAAATATAAATAATGTTTTACATAAAATTATAATTTTCAAATTGTAAACAATTTAAATAGATCATAATGCCCTGTAATATCTTATGATCTACCTATGATTAGATTTATTTTTATTAAACATCTAGAAAAACAATATATTTATTTTATTATGCAAAAAAGCTGTATAATTATTTTATATATTTAAATAAAAGTCTTATATTATATTTTAACAATAACTATGTTAATTTTAATTTTTTCTTATTCGTCATCAAAGCTTTGATTTCCTTCATTCTATAAAACCATTTTTATATTATTAAATACAATAATTATTAAATTAATAAAATAAAATAATAGGTAATACCTTTTTAAAGTCATTATTTGACGATACAACGAAAGTTATGTGTAAGTAAATGTACTTTAATATCAACTAAAACATTCCAATACTATCTAGGAACATTAATTTTCGTAAAAGCTCAATAAATTAAAAAATAAATAAATCAATAAATAAAATGTTATACATTGTTTGAATAGTTTACATGTAGGTTATCCGATTGTGCGACAAGTGACTTTTTGAGAAATGTATTTATGTGCAACATATTATACACTTACCTAATAGTTTATACTTTATAAAGTTATACACATTTTTTACAAACATCAGAAGCCAACGACTCAAATATATTTTCTGATATAGACCATGCGAAATTTATTAAATATATGATATGAAATTGTATATTGCATTTTGAAATATCAAACCTTATTCTTTTTTTTTTAAAAATGTATTAATTTAATTTTTTTTTTAATGTTATTTTAAATGTATTAAAATTTTTTTTTTTAAAACAAACTTATAGCATTTGTGAGCTTGAATGGAACATAATCGTTAACCAATTTCACGTTTATGGTAAATTTGAATATTCCGTGTAGTAGTATGGTTAAAACATACACAGTTCATTAACAACAATAAAAATACCTTAATTTAATTTTTGTCAGTTCAACAACTAACAACACATATTTTCAGAATAAATGTCCTTATTATTATTTATTACACTATAACAAACTTCTTGAGACACGTCTGTATTTTTGATAAAGAGACTTTATCGAGATATTGTCATGTAGATCTAGAACATTCACAGAATTGTGTGTATTTATTGTCTACCATAAACGCCTTAAAACCACATCATAATATTTAACATTATAACATATTTACATTAAACCCGTTGATACAAGGCTCAGCACTCCTTAGTTTTTGTTTCTTTATACTAGCAGATACCACAATCTTTGTTTTAGGGAATATAATATAAATTTGAAGTTTATTCACGATCGTCTTTAGTATAACGGGCCTTTAAGACCCAATACTGCATCGTGAGATGATGGTTTTCTAGACGGATTCGATGTCGTCATGTCAGTCAGTCGCCGGAGTGGAGGATGGAAGCTCCTTTTCAACTGACGATTGCTCGCCCAACAAACGAAGCGCCCGTGATCGAGTGTGTCGTATGAATCATGAATGGGTGCTAAGTATAATAGGCAATGGTGTATGTATATATTAGCGTTCGTTTTAATAACTTTTTTAACAAAACCATAGAATAATATGTAAATACAACGTTAAAAAGACCAACAATACACACCCAACTTAAACAGATTCCGCATCTCTTTGCGCGAGCTTATGATGGGTTCACACGTTGAAAACTAATATATTCCTCTGTATGTTTTATTATATTTTATAACTAAAAGTATTGACACAAATGTAAGTATGCCTGTATGAACACCGTTATGCATATTCCAACCCACATATGCTTAACCAACCCTTGATAATGTCTAAATAATTTTATATTCTTAAAATATGTTTATATATATATATATATGTATAATACTATACCATTATAAAATTATATATATATTCTTCTTACACTCCCAGTCCATTCATTAGTTAACTAGACTTACCAGTTATATTTAATTTAACGAGGAACCATTTTCGATCTCATAATATGTATGAGAACATATTGCAAGATATTATGACACGCATAATGTTTCTTCATATAAAAATATTATTTTCGAATTTTGTTTTCATTATAAAAATGTATAATTAGAATACATGTAATCACATTGTAATTTATTCATTGTAAAGCAATACTGTAACTACTAGTTTATTATAACATATTGTCAATTAAAAAGATATAAGGTAATTGCAAGGTAATTTACAAATTACAATGATTTAATTATTATAGATATTTGATTATTAAGTACAACCACATTCAATTAACCTAGTCGAATACGTGACCTTATTACCATCGTGATTTGAAATTATTTGATTTTGCCTTTGTGGATATTAGAAGTACTGTTTAATATTTTACGCGTAAAAATGTCAATTGTCTTGCGTGTTCAATGCAGTAGATTGACTTTATAAAATATAAAATTATAAGTTATCGTTAATAGAAAATCTACCAAAAACAAATTAAGAAATGGGCAGAATTGTTTTATGATTTTTCATACTTTTAACTTTAAACTTAGCAGGGACCAATTTTTAAAGCTTATAATATGTATTTTCAGAGATACAGTGTCAGATTAAAGATTAACCCTTCAATGCGCCATGTTGCTTATTTGCAGCAATCTTTTTTTTCTTTTTCTTTATTTAATTTGTTATTTTTCATCTTACTAGTGTTAGCTAGCGGATAAATCGAGAAGTTTTTGATATTAAAAAAAATGTCAGATCAGCTGATAGTTCCGTTATCAGCCGCCGCTGTTGTTTAAAAATGAGTAAGACCTAATCAATATTTTTCCCGGTTTCTCTTAATTTAAAAGTATTATATGTTTATTAATATTTGTATATTTAAAAATGCGCGCATTGAAGGGTTAATGGGTTGAGAAATTAAATCTAGATTACACCTGGAGAGACTGTACACATTCACGCCTATTGACGCGCTTAATTTACAAAACAAAATACAATAATATAGCTTGTTGTTTAGCAAAGTAATTATGTTATTATTCGTTAGCAAAATATAATTTGCTACTTTTCGTAAGATAGAATATAATACTAAAAAAGAAAGACGTTCTACATATTACCAAAGATATATTTGTGTGTAGTTTTGGCTGAGTTTTTAAATTTATATTAATGAATAATGAAAATTTCCTTCCATTATTTGTTTGCACTATAACATAGTTTGTTCCCTCAGAGTCCAACTCAGAATATACATATTTGTCTTACGTTGGACAAAAAAAGTCATATATAAATCTGAAACTAGTTCTGAACTCAGAAATTAAAAACCATTTATAATTAATATATAAAACCAATTTTAGGTTTTTTAAAGTATTCACAACACTGAAAATACAAAGAAATTGTGTTTTATAATATTAGGCAATTTATTTCTATTTAAAATTAACAAGTGATGTCAAATCTGAGCGGTCCCTCAATAATATTATAATAACGTTTTGGAAATAATACTTGTAGTAACATTTAAATTTTGATTAAAACGTTATTATAAACTGTTTAAAAATGTCAGAAATTTCCTGATAACATTATTTTCCTGCTGATTCGTTCATGATAGCGATTTAGTACGTTCAATTTTTATTTAAATGAACGATTCATCAATTTATAAATTATAGCTGTGTTAAAAAATATAAGTTTTGCGTATAAAAACGCATAAAAAAGTAATTAAACATTTTCCTGACACTAAAACTACTTCAAATGCGGCATAATATATATTTTTTTTCCTTATTACGATATTACCTAAATCAATAAAAAAAACGACACATTTGTACGCAAATTATTTTGGTAAATAAATAAAAAGTAATGAAATTAGTCATTTCCCAATAAACGTATCATAACACGTTATTTTTATATTACCATTTAAATATAGTAGTATAAATGTCAAGGACTTTTATCTGTTGATGAAATTTAACAAACAAATGTTAAATTTAAAATTTTTTAATCGCATAAATTAAAATTTAGCACAGTAACTTTAACAGAGTAGTTAAATTAATAGTATTTTAAAAATTAAATTGTAACAATAAAAAAAATAAATCAATATTTTTTTTTAAAAAGCTGGATTATTTTACATAAAAAACTGATTTTTAATATATTTTTTTTTCATGCAAGACTATAAAAAATTATAAAAAAGAAGTGTCAAAAATAGAACTAAAAACACTTTTTACGACTATGGCCAAAATAATGGAAAAAAATTCACAACATTCTTTTCATTTTAACAGACATGCAGTGTAATTTTTAATCAAATCCGCGGGTGGTCGCTCCAAACGTTCGTTCATACTTGGCGTTTTGACCCATAAATATTGATGATACATTGTCTACAAAAGCTGACTTACAGATTGATTTTTATTTTAGTAAAAATTATATTTTAATTTTAATGGCTATTTAGGTAGGGGTATATTGATAGAAGCCTAAAATATAATATTAATTGCATCAATATGCCTATAAATGAATAATACCCGAAATTAGAGGTGTTAAAAATGTATAACCAAAAAAAAAAAAAATCTCACATTTTTTTTTTGTTTTTACTGCCCCCAGCTTTAAATTGAGAATAATGTACTAAAAATGTTAACTGGTCGGAAACCAGGTTTGGATAACTATTTTTAAAGTTGTTGAATTTTCAAGTTTAGGACAGAAGAAAAGGTGGAGTGTAGTATTATTTTATCAGCACGCACTTCCTCTCCCACCCTAACTTTTAAATTATTATAACTTTAAAAATAGTTATCCATTAATGAAATTTATGCATTACCATTTAAGTTTCAAAAGTTGCTATCGAAAAAACTAAGCTGGGACGAGGGTAAAATATAGTGATCTTAGTTACTTTCTTTTACTTTTATTTAAATATATCCATATAACTTTTCAGTCACATAATCATTTATCAGTTTTGTACAATAATATTAATTAAATAATTTATTCAAAATACATTTTTATGTATTCTCGTCATCGAAAAAAAGAAACCGCCACTTTAATAATAATCGCCTCCTTACCAATGTACCTGTTTCAGGCCACGATATAATTATACAGTATTATTTGTTAAAATTAATTTCAGACGTTTAGAAGTAAAGCTAAAATATACATTTAAAAATATGGAAATATTTTAAGGTACACAACTGCTTTCAATAATCAACAAAATGAATAATGGGAAATGATTAAACAACTTCTTATTTAGGAATCGGACACAGTATCCTGGGGTTAAAAAACAAATCTGTTTAAATAAACAAATATAATAGCTAATTATATGTAAGTACATACATTTCGTATAAGCAATAATGAATAAAATAATGGTACTCACTATTCAAGGTCTATAGGTGATTATCTGTACTGAACACTATTGCACTGGGATTTATTAAACTGGTACGAAAAACCGAAGAGCTGGGTGTAGATACGTTTGTAAATTACATTACCATGTTTTTTTGCAAGGTCACCTTTAGAATTCCACGCGTAAGTTATACTAGTTTAACAACTTCGGAGATAATCTTGTTACTGCAGTGGTTTTCCTATTCATTCGGTAGGCAATGTAGTCTGCCCAGATCAAATCTCGAACATGACTCACAAAATTGTTGTAATAATATGATGCAGGTATTTAGGCTCAATGGACGTAAATATGTTAATAACTACGAGTACACAACAACAATTACTGTAATTTCTACACATAATATTATTATTCGGTTTATGCAATTAAGCAATAGCCTCGTAATTGCTTCTTGATTTTTTTTAGTAAATAACAACATAAGCTTAGAAAATTATAATATAGGTAAAAACTAATATTGCTTAAATATGTTGTAATAGTCACATTCATTATCCCGATTAAAATCTAGGGTGTCTAGTAAACTTTACTCATTCAATTTTTGATTACTAAATACAAATTTCAAAGTTAGTAATATATACTAATTTGGACTTCAATAGTTTTTTCATTGTTTTATTTTTATTTTTTAACACGAAATAAAAAGTCTGAAATGTTATTCATTCACGGGTGTTTTGCCAAATAAAAATGATTTATTTCAATAAAAAAGATCCCTAGAAAATAAAAGCTGTGGCCAATAATCGGATTTGAAAAAATACCACGGCGAAACGTAAATGAAAACAAATGTAGTTAGTATTGACAAAAAACTTTATTATTTATGAGATTTCAAACAGTTTTTAAATACTCGGTATCCAACGGTCATTACTTCCAATAAAAATATTTTTATCATTTATTTTTAGCTGTAAAAAATAATAATGATTTTAAACTACAGGATGTATCAGGATAATCTGTCACCTGATATATTTTATGTATCATTCTGACAGATTACCATGATACCTTATATTATAATATTCGTATACTACACAATGTTAAATTATGTTGATAATTTATTCTGACAAACAGGAACTCGCTTAGTGTTTATTTACTTAAAATAAGCATTCCAATTACCGAGACGGTTGATCATTTGAATTGAAAACTGGTTTAAAAATCTCTTTAGCTCGACATAATTAAAATTATTAAATAATGTTTATATGAGATAAAACTTTGGATATAGGTTCACAGTTATGAATAAGCATACGAGTATGACACCGTCGTGTATTTGTGTACAACTCGGATTATAAATCATAACCAGTCAAAAACCGTTTTTGATCAGATCGGTACTTCTTCCGGGAAACTACTATTACTAAGCATGTAACAGCGATAAACTTTGGAAAAATAAATGCAAACACTAATGTAACAATTTTAAGCAACAAAATAGCTGTAACTTGTTTTTTCTTAGTTTAGGACGTAGGCCGATCTAGGTAGTCATGATTAGAGTCTAAGTAGACCAATTTAAATTTTAGACCAAAAACACTTTTATGAATTAATAAATTAAATATTGTTCTTAAATGTATTTAAAAAATACTCTATACTATTTTTTTTATTATTAAACAAAATATGACCATGGAAGATTTAAACTTTAATGCTTATTCCCTATATAACCAAAGGTGCTGAATATTCATTGAATCGAAGAAAATGTATTTTTCGAGACATAAGGAAAAATATGAATTACACTCTTATAATAATTGTATAATTTTAAAATTAATATTAAAGAATAAACAAATCCACAAACTGACTAGTGACTAGTATATTATCATGTACATTTAAATTAAACGGGAAGTTAATGATTTTAGATAATCAGAATATTTTGCTATTTTCCTTTGGGCGATTATTTTACGTTACAAGTGAATATTATTTTGTTTATTAAACACTCATATATATAAATTAAGTATACATAAATTAAAGCGTCTAGTTTCTATTTTCTCAAACAACAAATAATTTCTTCAGATAAACGATTTTCAAACCAACCAACACAGTTTGAGTTAGTTATAAATTATATTCTATATTATTATTTTATTTGATAGGTATTCAATAATAGTTTTAAATAACATATAATAATGTGTAGCCACTTAAAAAAACACGTTTTCTAATTTCTTTTAGCTGGTTTTTAAACTAGACGTCACAATAATTGTATGTATGTATACTTAATATAATTAATATAATATTTATAAAAAGTGAACATTTTTTTTTTATCCAATAAATTAATCATTCACCAGACGAAATTTCCACCACAATTTATTAATTTTACATTGTAAAATATTTAAATTATAAAATACTATTCTTAAATACTAGTTTCTTAAAAAGTAAAATTATAACACAATAATATTATCGGCATTTTTTAGTAAACGCTCATTAATAGTTTATATTACTAATAGATAAATTATATAATAATAAATTAGTCTCTTATTGTGTTTATAACACAGGCATATACTTTTATAAACAAGTATTGTTTGTAGTATGTACATTGAACTATGTAAATACAAATGCAGTTAACGTGTTTAATAAACTGTGGATTGGCGGTGTGGGTGTAAGTGATATCAAACAATAAACAAAATGAAAACAACGTAGATCAGTGATTTCATCAATCAGGAAACCGAGATAGTATTACCACTTACGGTAACCGATCAACACATGTGACGTCGTTCGTTTTGCGCAAAAACATCTTTGCCGACATGTCGACCGTGATTTAAAGAAGTTTTAGGGTTTTCCAAATGTAGACTTCTCACTACGTCACGTCACATCGTAATTACATACATAATATAATAATATATAGATTATAGGGATCTACGAGACTACGGGTTAAGCGCAACGCGAAAAGTGTGTATTTCATACGTCACGGTTAGTCAAAAAATTAACAGTAACGATCAGTGACGATAATAGTATTTATCGCGATCATAATGGGTTGGCAACATAAATTATAATATCACGATTTACACGCCTATTGGGTAAAGTATGTACTAGGAAATGACCAGACCACACCACGCCACGAACGGGCAATGGGGAAACAATCCAGAGTCGCGGTTTTAATGACGACAATCGCCAAGATCTACGTCGCTCGTCCGAAGGTCACTCGTTATGCCCACTACCGAGCCGGTACAATAGTATTGGTTAACATTATAGGTAATACTGCAAGTAGTTGAATAAGTGGTTTTTAACGATTTTGTTAACACACAATGTATAAAAATAGTATTATGAAGACAAAACAAAAAACACACCCACTTGTCGACGAGTCGAATATAAAAAGACGTGGCCGTCCATCGGATGACCAGTTGACCACTGTTCGCTGTCGTGTTAACAATAATAATATTTCAAAAATGGCATCACGGACCGTTCTTTTGGCCTGTGTCGTTGCAGCGACCGTTTTTGCTACCTGCAGTGTCTCTGCTGCTCCGAAGGAGGCTGTTCCGCAAAAGGCTGCTGTTCCGCAAAAGGCTGCTGCTCCGCAGAAGGCTGCTGAGTCAACAGGTGTTTACACCACCAAGTATGACAACATCGACGTAGAACAAGTGTTGGCGTCCAAAAGGTTGGTAAACAACTACGTTCAATGTCTTTTGGACCAGAAGCCGTGCTCTCCCGAAGGAGCAGAACTCAGGAGTAAGTATATAAGATAGAAAACTAAGATAAAAAGAAATCGTGCGGTTGTATTATACTTAAAGTCAGATGGAAAACTAAACGGATTGCCCATATTTTTAATACAAACAACCCGCAATTTTAATATTATTACTACGCTTTTAGCACTTAATTATATCACTATTTAAAGCTTACATTTTAAAGAAAAGTTGTGTTTTTTATTAAAAACAAATTCTACTACATTTGCCAATTTTCGTTAAAAATGATCTCACCTAACACGTAAAATACTTAAGTGGTTTGCAATATGGATTATCGTGGTATTCACTAGTCTGTTTATCTTAAACTGGGAATTGATTCAACTAATTGTACTCGAAACAGATGTTTATAAAAATATAGGCCACGTTCGTCCAAAACTGAGCCGCTACTTTCAGGAAATGATTTACTAAATATTAAATTATGTCTTCTAGTAGGTACTAAGTTGAAATGGCGCACTACCATTGTACTTTGCTGCACTCTACACAAAATACATTTTTGTTAAAAAACGTAGTCGAGTTCATTTGATAACGCTCTCGACGTGCGTTAAACTATAACTATCTTATACTAACTATGGTCACTTTTTTTTATTTTTAAACAGAAATTCTGCCTGACGCTTTAAAGACTCTGTGCGCAAAATGCAGCGAAAAGCACAAGAGCGTTGCTGTCAAAGTAGTGGGACGATTGGAAAAGGATTACCCGAAGGAGTGGAAACAACTTCGTGACAAGTGGGATCCAAAAGGCGATTACTACAAGAAATTCTTAGATTTTCTGGAAGAAGAAAAAAATAAGCCCGCTAAAGCTTAAAAAAACCAATTGTTAACCATTTTTTTTTAGATTATAATTATTATTTTAAAGCTCAACGGCTTTTCAGTTATCGTTTATATTACCAAAAATTGAAACATTTAAAAATTACCACAAATAAATATTTCAATTAATTGTTATTTAGAATGTAACCTGTATGTGCGAAGAAAATAAAAGAGTATAGTAACGTATTTTGTTATGTTATATTTATTTTGTAATTTATATTCATCTATAACATAAAAATGAAGAATAATAATAGTATTTAATTACATATACATTTTTTGAATTACATAAATATATATGTATATACATATATAGCAGTCATTTTAATTACGGTTGTATGTAATTGTTGTACTCTATAAAAACCGTATATGTGTTTAATAAAAATGAACAGATCAATATATTTTGATATCGTTCATAATGGTATTAACATTTAAAAATTATTACACACTAAGATATTATTTAAAATGACAATAGTTAATAGTAAAACTGTACGAGTATTAATAATAATTATTACAATTATTATTGTTCACATTATGAATACTTAATATTATATGTTATCCTACAACAATTTTTAATTATTACTATTACCGTGACCTAAACGAGATAATATATAGAGGCGACATATACACATTACTCGTGTATGTATATGTATATACATATTTATAAAGTGTATTACATATACAAAATCAAAAACTTAATATTAATATTACAGCTTGATGGTTCATATTGATGGTACCATTTTATATTTGCTTTTTTTAAATCTAATCAAAAAGAAATTTTCGAACTATATACATTATTATTATTATTATTATTATCATTTAAAATTAGTATGATCGTTATTATTATTATTAATATTATCCTTAAAATATTATTATTTTGTTTAATAATTATTAATTTGTGCTTAATACAATATTGAAGTGTTTATGACTAAACAAAAAAAAAGTTATAAAATAATAGAAAAAAATTAGTATGGTAAGGGTAATGACACAAAATTGCACAAGTAGAGTTGGTTAAAATAAGATTTGGTATTAAAATGTATTTTCCGGTAAATCGACTAGTGGGATAAAATTGTAGTCTCGCGGTATACAGAACTTTATCGTTTGTGAGAGTACTATTTAATCACACCCATTAAAATTCACTTTTTAACTTAGCTGAATCTTGTCTTAGTTAAAACTATCATATCCTTTACATATCAGAAGCAAGTTTTTTAGGTGGCTGAGCTGCGAAGAACAGAACAACGTTTCCTATGTATGAAGCTAAGAAAATGATGTACCCTGTTGTGTTTATATTACTGATGATACATAATGACGTCTTTGCGTTAATATTAAATGGATAACGGATACATCTTTTGTATGTTCTGCCAAACAACACATTTTATTGAGACCTTAACGAAATGTGAAATTAAAATACTACATCTGCACTTACAATGCATTTAACTAAAACGCGTGTGAGCTGTGTACACTTATTCAAAATAAATTTTACTGCAATAACAATCATTAGTAAACTGTGAGTAACAATTAGGTACAAACGTTTTGATTTAGTCGAAATAATGGCAAAAGTTGATAATATCGGAAAAATGTAAAGAAAAATAAATAATAATAATATTAACAAACAATTTATAAAATGTAAATAAACTATTCGATTGGCACAATAAAAAGCTTTTTAGACAAAGTATACAAAAAATAAATACACATAATAACATCATAGGTTAATCGTTTCGAAGATTAAGATACTGGTATTTTATACATTATAATAGTCATATTTTTAAATTGTTTTGATAGAAATTTCACAATTTACAGTTTAGGTATTTCAACAATTTGTGTTTTAATGAACGATTTATAGAGTATAGACAAATAAGCTAATATAATAATATAATAATAATCAATTTATCATTTAAAACCCTATAATATAAGTGGAACTAAATATAAATATAATTACAATAATAAAAAATTATACAGTCTTTCAATAGACTAGAAATAATTACGTAACAAATAATAGTCATATTTATAAGTATTAAATTTGATCGACTACATAAGTTCAAAAAGATAGGAAGTATGACAATCACAAAGAAAACAATAATAAAAAACCAACAAAATTTTAGATAAAAACCTAATAACTTTGAGTTAAACACCGTTAAGTACAGTGTACCTAAATGTTTATATATTATAACATAATATTATATTGATTATGACGTATGTGCATACAGAGTACTTAAAATTTCACGTATCGGTCATTTTTGTCTGTTGCATAACTATTATTTTGGCTAAAAACGTTTAATACGAATAATAACTTATCATAACTAAATAAAAAAAATTGTAATGTTTAATCTAAACATATAATTTATTATTTTAAAGAATGGATAGTTAGAAGGGTAACTTTAAAAATCAAATAGCGACTTACATATTTGATTTTCCCGTTAAAGCCAAAATGATGCAAGAATAATAATGAATTGGTCTATAACTAGTTTCGATCGAATACTTTTTGAGTAATTAACATAGTAAAATAAAGACGAGAATTGCAGTTGAATTACATGCGTAGATAAATATAATATTACAGTGTACCCTCTCACTCTCCTGATCCCTTAATTGCTAACAGCTCAAGAAGTATTTCAAAAAAGGTTATCATAAGTCGTCATTTAATATCATGAAACCATTTTTGTTTTAATAAAAACAATTAAATATGTAAGTTACTATTTGAGTTAAATATAATTCACAATTATTTATTTTTTATAGAGTATCCTATAAAATAATGTTTTTGGTTTAAATCTTTGAACTATTTTTGATCTATCACTATTAATAATTATTATTTAATATTCAATATGAAATATTATCAAAACTATAATTATTATTTCATGGAGAAGAAATTTGGCTCGTGTATATTCAATATCCTATTTATTAAGTTTCAATTATTTATTTCACTATACAAGTAATCAGCATTTTATTCTTATGGCAGGTAACACGTTTTTTTTCTTATACCATAAGTACTTAACCGCAACTGTAGGGTAAAATTATTAATTTATTGATTTTTATTTACAAAATAAATAGTGTATTGCATACATCAATGAAATAAATTGTGTGTTACGTAAATATACAATAATAATAAGTAGCAATTAAGTATTTTGAAAAAGGTAACATTTATACGAAAATTGAACGTTGATGATGCGACGTTTGATCACTACAATTTTTTGTTTTTGTTATTTTGTTGTAGTACTTCTTAGATATAAATCTTAGATATAAAAACATGGTTTGCGAATGAAAAAAAATTTAAGAACATAATAATAATTACACATATTATAAAACATTAAATTTGTTTTCTTAAAAATTACCTTATTATGTTAATAAATACCATCGTTTCTCTTATACTACCTGTAAATAATTTAAGTCTACATATATAACCTTATAAATTCTGGTCCCAAATACATGGGTCCAAACGCAGGCTTGAACACCAAAGACGAAAAATATTCGACTGAAAAACATATTATGCCTTAATTCGAACTATTACACTGTACGTGCACATTCTGTTCTTAAATGTTAAATTGCTATTAGTACTATTAAATTTAAATCAAGAGTGAATCTAGAAATTGAAAACAGAGTTACTGGGCATCTCATACTTGTAAAAATGATTGTTTTTCCTGATACTCTTTTTTACAATTACAAAAAAAAAAATAAGAAAAATGCTTAAAAAAATGACAATTTTTTTAAAATTTTTAACCAAAAACACATTTTACCTTAAAATTTGATCAACTATTAACAGTAATCCTAATTATAATACAAAAATGTTTAAATTTATGGAAATTTTACAAGACTTTTCTTATTGAATCCAAACCTATGTAACACGTCTAACAGAGAGGCGCCCCGAAAATTGTGAAAAAGGCTGTATATACTATTTTTAATATGCCAAAAACCATGTATGCAACGTTTCAAAATGTTTATGATTTTAAATATTAGTTTAAATCTATTTTTATCTTCCTTATTTAGAACTGGTATTAGAATTATTATTATATGATATTTGTTTTTTTTTTTTGTAACGTTAAAGAAAATATGATTCTAATTTAGCAAGTCAAATATTGTATATCATAATATATTGTACAACACCATTATTGCGTACCGCTTTTTATTGACCGGGAGTAGGTTTCAAGGCCTAGTTCAGTCACATATGAAAATGGTTTTACTTTGGTTATTGTTCCAAAAAAAAGTTTAAATTTTGCTGCAGTGTATAATTAAATAAGTTGAAGCTATTGCCTTTGCTCCTTCTAGATTCACGCTAGATCTAAATTATGTTAACTATAACGGGTTTACTTAACAATATTTCACGGCACCACAACCGCGAATTATTTTTTACTTGGATTTTTATCACGTTTGAGTTAACAATCAGTTTTAATATTTTCTAAACTTTATATTAAATTATTTTTGAACAAACGGATCACATTTTTTGCTTCTCATGCGTGTCTGGGAAAGAAGTCGGTTATGGGACGTCTCGATTTTGAACCGGGCGAGTTTATAGGTGATTTGCCAAGCACGACGTTTCTAACCCAATCCATACGACCTTGAAAACGGCCACAGTCGCTCAGCAAAACCGATTTGTGAACTTTCCAGAAAAGGAAAAGTCTCTGCGAATATTGTCCTACGAAATTTCAATCAATTTAAGTAAGGGTTACAGTCCCAAATAGTTTTTTTTTTTTGTGTTATTAGCTTAATTTATTTTTAGTTTGTAAAAATTACATAAACTATACACATTTATTAAATATCGGTTTTAACTACTATTAAACAGACCGACCAAAATAAATTTGTATAAACAGGGGCTTTTCTTAGTTTTAAGATTCATATCGCACATTAAAATGACGTGACATAAATGAATATCGTCGTCAGACAGAAAAGGTTATATAAATATCGTGTATTTTATAATACACGTTAATGGTTGGTGTTTCATTGATTAGCGTTGTTCCTTGCTCAATCATATTAATTGTACATCATTATTATCGTTTCTCATTTAATCAATAGAACGCTCAAATACATTTTTTTTTCTTAAATTTATAAGTTGTGTATTATTAATTACGGAATATTTATAAAATATATATATATGCAATACAATTGAAGGTTTTCTCAAAATAAGTAACGTCTATTCCGGTTATGCGTTTGACAATAAAATCGTTTGTAATAGTTATTAGCGACCCTCGTAGCATCCGTTTTTCGTAGCCAAGGTTAATAAATAACATTAAATTAAAAGTGTAGGTACCTACTTCATAAAATATTTTATTATTGTTTATTTACCTGAAATAATCGGCTATTTTGCTTTCATATATTGCTCTGTTTGCGTTTGGTTGGGGTTTGCTGGCCACTGTTTTGAGCGTTGCCGGTTGCTCCGTTTTCAATTTTGGCTAATTTTTTGTACTGAGTCGAATTTATAAATCTAGGATAAGAATCCCTATGCATAAGCGTGTAAATTTGTAGCTGAGCTTCATCAAACATATGAGCCGATGGTTGATTAATGTTTTTGTTGACTATATCACGAACGCGTGAGTCTAAGCTCACCTGTAAACGTCACACAGAAAAAAATATGTTAAAAGAAGAAAAAATATCTCTAGATTTATGTCATAGTGTTGTGGTGTTCAAACTTTTTAAAATGTAATTCAATTACATTATAAGATTTTTGGTACATTAAAAAAATGTATTTTTAAGATTAATTTTGTAGTTGGTTAATTATAATAAGATTTTAAATACATTTTTTTTTTTACTGACATGACTCGATATTGACACGTGTTAAAAATGTTGGTAAATGCGCAGGATACAAACTCTGAAATGCAATTTTGTACAAGGTCTTTACCTCTTTGGGAGATAGAATCGAAATGTAATCTTCGTAAATGAACCGAGCTTTTTCCTCGATTACATCTGGATTAGATTCTCTTTTCAGTTCCTCCACGGCCATCCAAAACAATATGTTTTCTTCGCTGTATTCGCACCGCAAGAAATCTCGGAATATTTTTTTGCCCGCTGTAAAAACAAAAAAAAAACAAAAATCGCATTAACTATTAAATGATGTCGGCTATTACTTCAAAACTTAAACTATTAGCGCGCTGTCGGATATACATAAATAATTACAGTTTCCCTAAGCGTTACTGCCTATATTATTATCTAGTACCATTATAATAGTTTTTAATGTGTTGTTTTCTGTAACTAAACCGATTAAAACGTTGATGATTTTTTTATGGCGTATAAATATATTTGCTTAGTCAAGTATACATAAAAATTCAATAATTATATACAAAACATAACGCGAAGGCAATGATTAATTATAATCTCTGATTGGCGACAGGATATTAATCACAGTCTCCTGGCAGGTTCTGTGCGTAACGCTATTATCGACTTTACCTACAACTAACGTCGTTATAAACAAATATATACCCACAATTCATCCGAGGTTACCAGTGAAGTGCCTATTTGTAGTAAAATTATAATTTTTGAAAATTATCCATTTTAAAATATAATTTGTATGGATAGCCATTAAAACGACAGTCAATCAAACTTTTGGCTGAACGCGTTATTTAATTGTTTACTTGAACTTGTTTACGATTACCTATTTAGAGAGTATAATAATAAGGTCCAACCGAGTTAATGAAAAATAAAAACACAATAGCGTTTACTTTTTAATTGAAGGGCACAGAGGAAGATAGGTATTTGTCCATTTTATGATAAGTTTTCATGAAAGCAAAAACAAAGTTAGTTTGTACGTGTAAATCTATGTATGTGTCAACCATTTTAAGATGCTAAGCATCGATGTAACCTTTTTTTTTCACCTAATAGATCTATACATTAGATAATGTTCCCAATTTGCCATTAAATGGTAGCATTAATCTCTAAGCACTCGCGTACGCGGTGTTAACACCTGTATTTTTGATACTTTTAGTACTTTTTAAATACAAAAATACAATGCACCGCAGTGCGGCTGCTAACGAGATTTTTTTAAATCGCAACTGCTTGGAGGTTGACTAAAAATCGAAAAAATGGACAAATAGCGTTCTTTCTCCGTGCCTTTCAATTGATATAGTTTCACCTTGAATTTTTAAAGCTTTTAAAAATGTTTAATTGGTCTGCTTACCTGGACACTTGAGGAGTCTGTCGAACGATTTGCTCCAACTCCGTATTTCTTCTAATGGAGGCCTGTGTAATAATAATAAATAGAAATACAATAATAATCATATAGAAATACATGTTGCAGATAACACAAAATATAAATTGAGTGACGCATACCTTATCTCTACAGGATTTTCGATTATGCCGCCGGAAGATCCGTTCCCATTTGTCGATTTTGGGTGATGCCCTTTTACAAAGCTATAAAAAAAATACTAACCATTAGTATTTTCGTTCAAAATATTCAGTAAGAAATGTTAAATAACTCAACGTTGTCTTTAAAATCTTGTTGTCATTTATGGCAGTTAATAATACTATATTATGTATTTTTAAAATTTGGAAATTACATTTATAAAAAATTTTTATAAATAATTGCACAATTCTTGTAACTATAAATAAATAATAGTTATCGGCAATAGCATAAAATCAGTAAATTATTGCTTTAAACATATATGTTTTTATATCATGCATGTGTACAGCTACTCCTGTTGTATACAATATGTTACTCATTGCTATACTTACCAAAAACGATCCCTGAAGGTGTGAAAGAACGCAATAAAAATAAAATAAAGACACAATTTCAGACAATTTATTTTATCTAGTACAATAAATAAATATATGTAATAAATAGATAGTGTTTTCTATGGGACTTAAGCGATCGAAAAAAAAAATAATAATAATACCATATAGAATTTAATAGATTTTTAAATATTTAGTAATTTCTTTTAAATTAATTAGTTATAATATTTATTAATAAATTTAATTATAATGAAGCATTAACAATATATCAATGATTTGTGCAAAGCAATAATATTATATTATTAGTATAGTTTAGTTTTTTGATTATTGATAATTTTTATTTTAGTTTTAAATAATTCTGTTTATTATTAGATTTAAATTAAATTTTCATTTAGGTCTATTAAACAATAGTTAAAAATTATTAAAAAGAAAAACTGAACAATATCCTTGTCACAAATGTGATGTATAATGTCAATTTTATATTATTTCCTAAAATGGTGGTGGATTAATGAATGATAAATTTAAAATTATTTCATATGGGTAAATTTATAATTATTCAATCTAATCATCGAAATCTAAAGATAACATAAAATATTATAATTCATCTTTACATACATATATAACAAATATCTGTACATTCAATATTTGTTTGCTTCCCGCAAATAAAACTATACAATATTTGTACTTGGTTTTCACTTACCATAGTTTGCATATCCTACTCCTGTTCGCATGCAAAATAACACTGATTGAACACAGATAAATAATACATCAAATATTAATAAGAAATCTAGTTATACTTTTTTACGGTTTAAAATCGAAGTTTAACCTAATTGTTTTAGGAATGACGCAGTGGTATATATGTATACCAGAAAACCCTACTTTATATCCTCGCCCTACCCTCATCACCCTTATTGCCTACTACCGAAATAAAATCCTAGGTATTAAGTCTCCGAATAATGACATTTTAGGTTAAAAATACATTTGTTTTTTGGCGTGGGAGTAGTTATTTATTAACACGCTTTTTCATTATTAATTGGAATAAAAACTAATCCATTATATTACCCCATCCATTAGTGATTAGTTGTTAATAAAAATAGGCAGTATTTAACTATGGCCATTGGGCACAGTGCATAATATAATATGGTAGCGAACACAGTAACCATGGTAAATATACTTGACGATTTCAAAACACAATGTCAAATGGTGTCAAATCGGTGGTATTGAACACGGTGTATCTCGATGTATATATATATATATAACTAACATTATTCAAAAATATAAATAGAATAATAACGTAAAATATAAATTGTAAAAATTAAGGTCGCCTGGGTTATCAAGGAAAAGTTAAAAAAATTTCACTATTGTCTGTTACCATTAAATCAAATCTATAAACTAACAGGGAATAATACAGAATTTAGGTATATTATAAACTTAACTGACAATCAGACATCGAGTTAGCTTTTATAGATTTACTATATGATTTACTGTATGATGGTCTAAGGGTACATCTTTTTAAATATTTAATGGTTATTTTTTATATAACTAATTTGTAGGTTAATATCATGAAAAAAAATCAATCCAGACAACATGCGTATTAGTGAACAAAAATCTTCCCGTTCGTTTATACATAATAATATGTCTTAGGTATATTTTTATTTTAATCAAGTATTTTAAATCTCATATTTATTCATTTTTTAATTGGGCATTTTCAATCAAACAAATTCATATTAGGTGATTAGCCATATTATTATGCGGTATAGCCATACTATTATATACAGTATTGTGTTGTTTAAAATTGTTAATGTATGATGTTAATGATATTATGCTATTAGCCTACCACTATATTATGGTATAGATCAATTTTGTACATTATTCATAGTCCATTTATGATGTCGGTTATATCAATTAGTCGTGTAGCTTGAGCCTTGTCTTTGTCAAGACAATTTTGGGTAAATTATAAAATCTCAACAAAATATAAGTAGTGTTTTTATAATGAAACCGGAATTACGCAAAATAGTCAAAGAGTCAAATGGTCTATAGATAATAATGACTCATGGCACTTTACATACATTTTTTAAAACACTATCAGAATATTCTTTAACGGTATATTTTTATGAATAAAGCGTCCGCTTTAACCGACCGAAGATGTATGCGATTCTCACACTCAGAAAAACAAAAGATGTTCGCCCACTTCGTATAATAACGACAAGCGATTATAAATTAGTTTAGACGCTCGAATGAAGAAAATTGATGTTTTAAGCACACAATTGTGAGCTTTTCATGTTTGTTTATTTTTTACAGAGTTCGGAAACTAAATATAACATAGTTGTGGCTTCGACGGTAACTTAATAAAATGGTGAAAAACTCAGAGTTTGTCGGAAGACATTAAATGTTTTTTTCATATGATTCTACTTTAATAGATATCCGTTTTCTTACCAAGAGCACCCACAACAGCAACACCAGCAAGATATACATGGGTGGTGTTTCTGCGTTACCGGCCCCTGCGGTTCGATGATCGCACTGGGTTCGGTATTATCCGGTGGCACAGGCAGTGGCGTGGTCGGCGTGCTGGGGTTCCCAGGCGGAGTAAACCTGTGCCTGGTCGTGCACGATGGCGATCCACCTTCCGACCCTGCCGGATCGCCCCCCTCAATCGGCACAAGCACACTCATCTGAAAAATAGTAGTTAGTTCATTGTTTAGTTTGAACTTAAATATTTATCCAATGATCTTTATAACTATGCAGTCGGTAATTTTAATTTAAACATTTTGTATTACGACAGGTATTTTCCTAAACTGTTTAGTTCCTCCAAAAATGTAACTCATAAGACTTTGTATTCGTAAAAAAGCGGGACGGTAGAACCTTTATAGGCACATAAGTATAAATGTATCGATTATAAATGCAACTGTAATATAAACCTTTTTCCAATTAACATAGAAATTAAACAACTATTTAATTATTTCAAAACAGTTAGACTAGGTTCGATTATAAATAATAAAACAATTTTTTATTTTGAATAATTTAAAAACAAAGTTTGCAAAAATAATATTCAGTGAACAATATATAATCATAAAACTGAAAATTAATAACCATGTTATTTACAACAGTTGTAACTATATTAATTTAATATAAACTTTAGTTAATACGTACATAGTTACAATAGAGCTTTAAAATCAGCATCACCAAAATTGCATACCTTAAATATAAATAGAGATGGAAACCGAAGTAGTGCACCGTTAATATCTGTTAATCTATATTTTCTTCAAATTTATATCAATCAAAATTTAAGTAATTTTACGACTTTCTGTCTTGATTTGATTATTACTTTATTACATATAATATTGGTTATAAACCGTAAGATAATAGTTTCTAGTTATTTTCAGAGGGGTTATTTAAATGTTGGTATGCAAGAAATCAACTGACTAAAATAAATAAAAAAATAAGTTAATAAGTTAATAATAAGAATTTTTAAATTAAATTAGTACTGCATAATTTTCTCAATTCGTCTTGACAGTGCCCTAATAAATTAGAAAATATGTTTAGACTAGCCAAATCATCTCTCCCCACAAATCTATAGAATCGCAAACTTATACTAGTAGGTTAATCAAAGTTTAATATATTATTACCTATATATTTACTTCCTAATAAATGTGTTATTGTATTTTTGTAAATATGTAAATATTTTAGCTATGCACACATCTCTTGTAAATATTTATTCATAAATAAATCATTCATTTTCCAGTTTAATATTTAAAATGTAACTAACACATTACATTTACGTGTAATATAAAACAATTTTGGCTATAAATTTGAAAATAAGTATATTAAAAAAGTTGAAGCTGCTATTGTTTATCCTCTTATACTCATTTAACATTCTATCTAACATCAAAATATGTACAAAGTACTTGTAAAGAAAATTCTTGGATAACTACTACAAGCATAGTTTATCAAATTATGAGTCATTAGGATAATTATGGCCGACTAGTCCTGACGCCCCCAGGGAGAAAATATCATGACTACTTAGAGTAATAATATAATTTAATGCATAGAAACATATGTTAAACAAAATTAACTGATACACAAAACTAATAACTTGACAAAGGTGTATCACTTGTCTCTTGTAAGGTAATAAAAGGATTTTGAATATCAACTCGAAACACAAAAATGTATTTCAAATTTGATCGAAATCAAGTATTAAGTGTGCCAATAATGATTATAAACTGGCATGGCAAAGAAACTTTAAGCTGATTTTAAAGGCATAGTCCAATAAAAAAATGATTGTACAAAATATCGTATCATCGTATAATAAATTAGTCGGAAAAAGGTACGAAAAAAATGATAAATTTATTTTACATCGACTACTTTTTAAAAAGTTTGACTTCGATTGATTAATACTGAACTGGTATTAGTATAAAATCTAGTGTTATAAGTTATAACTTATAATTGTTAAGGTACTTTAATCGCTCTCTACCGGAACTCAACGAAAATCAAACCCAGCCGCCAGAGCGTGCTTCGAGGAGTAGATGTTTATTTTTTTTAATTTTAAAAATAAATATGTATAATTCAATATAATTCGAAACGGTAAAAATCGATTATGGGCTAAAAGATTTTGATTTTTCAACATTTTGATCCGCGACCGTCTAAAGGTGTAGACTAATCAAGACTTATTTAACATTTTAAAATAAATAATTGAATTTCTGGATATTTTTGTAATTTGTTATTAGGCTCTGTGGAAAAAGCCTTGATTGACGGATAATATTAATAGTACAATAATGATAATTATTAGAAATTTATTTTTTATTGCCATAACAACGCGGTAGTATTGTTAAACTTGCGACAACACACGGGCGTACCGAAATTGCCTACACTAGCCGCCGTGCGGTAGAAACAAATGCCAATAATAATTATTATACAATCATGAATTTATCTTAACAAACGCTTAAAAAGCGACAGCTTGTCGAGGGCAGAAAAACAAACAAACAATTGTGTGTAGATGAGTGGTCTATTAAAAAAATCAAATAATATGCTATTGTCAAAATTCTATTCATCATCGTCGTTATGATCTCGCGTAAATAAAATATATATATTTTGCGATTCATACACCCCTGCGTGGATTTCAGAAGCCCCTGAAGAGTTTAACAGTTTGCTGGCGATAAGCGTGAAATAATATTCGTTCAATTGGACGACTGAAGGCTTACCGCCACCATCGCCGCTGTCCAACGCAACGGCAAGCATCGTTCCTTCGGACGTTGGAGACGACGGTAATGGCGGTGGCTGTAGTAGTAGCGGCGGCGGCGGCGGCGGCGGCGTCGGCTACCCGGCCGGCGTTTAGTGAATGACCGAACACCGCGACCGGCGCGCGCACCCGCCGGGCTCCCCAATCAATATGCCGAGCACCCGGGTTCCACCCCGGGCGTACCTGCCTACAACATAACCCGGTTATTTACTATACATCAACCTATAGCTGCGGCACTTCCGCGGAGGGCCCCCCCCCACCATAAAAAAAAAAAAAAGAAAGAAAACCGCTTCCGATCAATTCTGGTAACAGTGGCGGGTAGCGCTGGTGGGATATATAAATACACATTATATTATAATATTATACATATTTAATCCCCTCGGCGGCGCGATGGCGGTCACTGGACTATCGGCTATCGCTCGGGTGACCAAGAATTCCAGCCCCCCATACACCGTCATTTTACCCATTTAATTCTCATTGTCTCACATCTCATCCTGTGTGACCAACACGCGGTCAGTCGTCTCATAGTACTTGTTTAAGTTATAATAAAAAAATATTTCAGTTATAGTGTTTATAAGTACTGCACGTTCAAGTGTGTGGGATTTGTGTTTAAGGTTATTGGATTCAAGTACAAAATACAGTATTTTTGTATTTGATGTACTATATTTTGACCATCCCTGAATGTACTGTACAAAAATATTATTTCAGAAAGTAGTAATTCTAGACCTCAGTCGTGGTATTACTTAATTACAATATAATATAAAACTGTAAAGTACAGCGGATAATGTGCCAGAATACCATAACGAGTCCCTGTGAAAATTTATTTTAACGTGTGCTAATAATGAATTTAATTTAATTTATAGTGGTATACTTTCAATGTTTTTTTTATAAGGATTGTGTACAATACACAAGTACCGCTAAAAACCCGATGTGTAATATAAAAAAATATATTACATGTAAATAACAAGATAACTTTCTGAATTATGAAAAAAGTAGTATAAATTAATATTAAAAAAATATATTAAGAAAATTAAAAAGCTGTTAATCTAAACACAAAAAAAACTCGCAGCACATTTATTACATTGCACAATTTAGTTAATATGTATACTTAATTTTTTTTAATTTGAATAAATATAATATATACATTTTATATAAACTCGGCATCCTCGTTGACACTCTACAATTAATCAATACAACCAACATTTTATGAAGAACTTGAAAACGTTTTAAAGAAGTAGCGAGTTATTGTTAAATCGAAAAACAGCGAACTGAGCAAAATCAATAGCATCCTACCGCCCAAAAAGCAGAGGCGTTTCACATCCTGTGCACTAGTATTGAATGTAATAGTTTTTTTGTTTACACGTGATTTATGGTGCCGAAAAACTTTTGCAACGTAAGTACGCGTCCTTCTCCGGGTGAACCCTTTAAATTATCAGTCATTCTGCACTTTCAAACGCTATCCGAAAAAGTCCACCTAGCAAATTGAATCGTATCGACGAGCTTAACATATCTATCAACAATATATATACGTCTAAACTACTACACTAATAGAAAATAAACTGTTAGAAATTTTTAAAAAATAATGGCCAAACTATTAATTTATTTATTTAAGAAACCCGAATTATCCAAGTTTGACAAATTATCCAAAAGTCCATCATAAAGAAATTTTATGTAATTTTTTATGGATTATAGATACAGATATGCATACTGAAATGCTGTGGATCACTATAAATACAACTTGTATATAAAATGGTATTAGATCTCTAAACCTACATAGTACTACATTTTTTAAAACTGTAGACATAATAGAATTTATATGTAAATTATTAATATTCATCGATTTAGCACTATACAAAATTTTAATTGTTGTGTTGGTAATACTAGGTTCATTATCGTTTTAACTTTAAAAAGCTGTAACTTTTACAAACAAATACTTTTACACATTTTTTATAAATATGCTAATATTTTTAACGACATTCCTAAAAATCGATAAAAGTTTTCAGCAAATTATTCTTAATTTATAAAGTTAATAAAATATATGCGTATTACGTTCCGTTATAAAATCTTAGGTTTATAGGGTTTTAACACATATGAGATGGCGTTATATTATTGAAAATAATATCAAATTTGGGCTAACTAATAACTATAAAAGTATAAAAGAGAATAACTTTAAAAAGGCCTAATATCTTCTAAGGTTAGGTCATAATTATCAAATCATAAACTTTAAGAAAATTAGCGGACAATTATGTATAATAAATTTAGAAAATTTTTAACAAAAATCGTTTTTATAAGGTCCAATGGCATTCTATCCAAAAAATTCTCAATAATAAGCAAGTTTTTTAACTATAAATATTATAAAAGCCTCTAACTTGTCTAATATTTGATACACAATTTCTATTAACACAATAGTAATAATAAGTATTAATGTGTTAACAAACTAAACTTATCGTTATTTAAACACTAACTATAATAAGGTCACCCAGAAATGGTTAAAATAAAAGTTATAGTAGTTTCTGAAAAATCCACTTTCGAATTAATATGTAATTAAATTAAGCATTTTTTAAAAATATATTTATTTATTAATTACAAAAAAAAAACTTTACAATATATGTAGATAGCTACTGTAATTTATGAACAATGCATAATAGAGACAGATTATTGTAATTTGTATTTCTTACTTCTAGTAATTATTATCTTACTGCACACTTAACTACAAATTATATAATATTTTGATATGGCTGGATATATGTTTTTTTTAAAAAAGCCGTTTGGCATAAATAAATTAATAATTTATGTATAACTCATTTATAGTTTATAATATAAATTATATAATGTAATAATTATTAATAATTCGTATTTAAAATAAATATTTATCAATAATTAATATCATGTTTTTAATTAAATTATCATAAAGACTAATTGTAACCACAAAGTATAAGCCAATTTTTTTTTTTTAAATAGTCAGTTTTTAATAATTTAATACGATTTCGGGTAGTGAACAAGATATTCAACCGCAACCTAACATCTAATTTTTTTTTTTTAAGTTATTTAATGAGCGCGTTTAAGATCAATAGCTTTTACCCGTTTAAATATAACTATTAATAATACTATACAGTCTACTCCGTTAATTAAATATAATAGGTACCATCGAATATACAAATTGAAAATATTTTAAGTGTAATGTTTTACCTGAATATTCTAAAACGAGAGAAATACGGAAGACCGAGAAACTTCCCATATATTTATATGTATTTATAGCCTTTTAAAATTAATTTTAAAACGATATAGTATAACTTACTTTTTTGTACACTTAAGTCAAGCGTAGTTTAACCGTGGTGATAAAATTGTAAATAAATAATATTTCTAAAACACTGATGTATGCAAATAGTTATTTTATTTCTCAGTTATTTATCTCCTAATGAAATATAATTTACAGTTTTGTAGGTATTATGACTGATAGACCTAATGCGGATATTGCATTTCCATACGAGTTAAAAAAAAAATGAAGAATTTAAAACACATAAATATCTATGCACTAACCTATTTATCCGAGATTGATAAAAACCTCTTTAAGCGTGTAGGTTTTTTAGGGATATAATGTACCTAAAAAGATGTATTTGGGGTCAATGTAACCTAAGTGTAACGCTCTTATATGTTTAATATGTATGGTTAGCCGACCCCATTTGCGTAGGATAAGATTAAGAAAAAACTGTGTATCATGACGAAACATGACGTATGTTTCTACAGTTGATTCAACATAAAATATTTTCAATGTTTATTAGTGTTTTTTTTTCTCTATCCGTAAAACCGTTTTTTCGGAAATAAACGAGACTATTACGTTATGCGTTACACATAATCTAGTGAATCACGAATCACTATTTTTGGCATGTTTCAAGAATTTTCCATTTAGGGTGTATTCAGGTCACCAAAATGTGCTTATCAGAACCATTAATATGCATAGATAACAAAGGTAAAAAATGTAACCATTTACTCATACCCCTGATTTGTTCCCAGCCTATGTCCATGGAAATTCTTACCTCCTGGAATTGAGATTATCTGGTGAATGAGAAACAAAACGTTTCTATGACGACCATTTTTTAATTTTGACCTTAGAAGTGATAAGGAAAAGGACAATTATTGATGTTTTACCGAAATTACCCAGGTCTCAAAGATTTAAACTAATTCTTTGCTTTAAAATAAACCAAATAGTATACATAGCGATGATCTATTGATTGGTTAAGTATTCGAAATTATATTTTACCTACATATGCGAACGTTTTGAGCTGTAACGTCGATAACCATCTCATAACCTCTCCCTTTAAAGGTCCGCGGAAAATCATTATACATATTTTTTTTTTCTATTGACGAGCGTAAAGATTAAAAACAGTAATACGAATAAAATTATACTGTTATTTGTATAAAATATATAAGTAATAAGTCTGAATAAATATTTAAAGTTTGATGTTGAAATTATTGTTTAATAAACATTAAACACGTTGGTATTTAAAAACATCAACTTAAAGCAGATATATTTTTTTTAACACCTTGATTTTTTTTTTTTTTTATTAAAATAAAGACAATATTTACATTCTGTATACAAAATAATACTATAGGCAAATGAGCTGATTATAAATTGACGGAATTCTGATTAAATACTTTTTCAAGACGTTCATTATTTAATTATTGGATCGTTAGAAAGTGCAACAGTCACTTTGACTCAAAATGAGGTATTATAACATTAAACATAATATTATAATGAATTTAACTAAGGCGATTTTTGCATTTCATGATATTTTGTCGTGCAAGTTTTAATGATAATTTATTTTATGATACTTCACAATATACTACAAATACATTGTTTGCAGTAAATTACCCATAATTTGGACATATTCCAAATATATAATTACAAATTAACAATAAGGCGTATGATAAGGATTTAACGAACGACAACCGTACATTATAAAATATAATAGTTATTTCTTAATAACTTATAAATCCGCTCACTTGCAGAATACATTCTTTATAAAATGTTATATCAACGACAATAAGAAAAAATCTTATTCGACATATTATTTTTTAGTCGCTTTTCAGATTTATCCTGAATAGACGGATTCGTTATCTTCATATCAGTTTTTTTATGTAGGTAGGTACACAAAGCATCGAGTCACAAATTAGACGTATACAATCCAGTCTTTATACTTTTTCTTTTATTTAACCTTGAAAATATAAAAAATATCTTACACTTATTGAGATTACACTAGTGGCAATTGTCAAACCAAACAAATTGCCTTATACTATACATTTCTAAACTCGCCCATTATTAAACCATTCTTATTTATTGTTTTATGAAACTAAAATATATAATTATTACTACTTCTTATTTGTTTAATAATGTTTTTTGTAAAAGGTTTATCATAATAGCATATAAATCTAGGTTATAATAAGAGATTAAATGCAAAAATGGTATTTAAGGTAAGATAAAATGAAAAAAATGTTTCCAAATTCGAGAAAACGCTCAAAAAATGAATCAATTTTTTGGTTTCAACCTTAACGTTAAAATTATTTTTTAACAAAATGGCCTGTAGAAATATAAAATAAACTTTATTAACTTGAAACAAAAATTTTAAAAAATAACCTTGTCCCCCCCCCCAGTTGTAGGGTGTAATTTTACTTATGTTTTGGCATTTTTCCACATGTAATAGTTTTCAACGCAAATCCAATATCAAATTATACAGAACAATAAAATCAACATAATTCTTAATAATCTGTTGCATTCAAAGTTTTATTGTTCTATTCCATTGTATTGGTATTTGATGCTCAATAAAGTCGTTACATTTTTTTAAATACCGTATTCGGGCTAGTTTACAAGAGAACCGAAGTGTATGTTAAAAAAGAGATATCTAAATACAAAACGTTTAAAGCCGACGTTATAATACCTTAATTATATTATAAATCGTAATTAATCGCAAAACGACGAAATGCTTATAATATTAAAAATCTCGGTTAAAAGTGTACATTTTTTTTTTTTTTTTACAAAAACTGTGTAGTTATATTATATACACAAGCGATTAAGGTTTTTCGTAGTGCATTATTGATATTATTATACTGTTGTACACTTTAATCCTATAATATGTGGGTGGGTGTAATTTACATAACGGTATATGATATGTACATTCGCGAAAAATATATATTACTGTATACGATGCGTGTTCATAAAACAGGTGGATTTCGAACTCGTTACATGTCAATAAAAAAAATAATCGTACAAGTTGTTTTTTACGACTATGTATCGTTTGTGTGCATGTATACTGTACCTTATTCTCGGTAACTACACCAAAGCACCTCAGTCACTGGTCTACCTAATAATATACTTAATATTTATTAGTACTCATTACTATTGTTTAAGACTAGTTTCGCTATGTACCGTTTGGACTTATATAGTTTACTCGAGTGATGTCATATGTTAAACTGTATATGATATAATAAGGACGTTAAACGATTTGGTCCTTTCTATCGGTCGGTCGGTCGGTCGAAGGCAGCAAAACGGCAACTTTAGGGTTAGGTTAGGATAAAGGTGGTTTTATGTGTGCGCGAGGTGCTGTAGCTAAGCGAGGAATCGAGCAGCGACAGGCGAATCGGATGGGGGAAGGAAGTTTCGAAAGACTGTCGCCGCCGCCGTAGCCGTACGCTTACAAAACGTCGGGTTATAATATAATATTATTATGATAATGTAAAGTACCTTTAGAGACACCGCTGCGGTGGATCATTCAGATAGGATTGTCAACTGATTTCAGGTACATGACGTGCCGCGTACGTGGTACACACGGCGTAGTGTACGTCGCGTCGATGTCGTCGGTCCGCAGTCCGGCCACACTCCATTCGTCACGCGCGCCCACGTTACTCAACTTGCCGTCGGCGATGGTAATGAAGACGGTAACGCGGCTCTGGACGTTGGCGTGCTTGTCGACGGTGCCGGCCAACCAGCCTAATGGCATCGTCGAGGCCCAGCCTCAAACGGACACAACGAATCCGCGTGCGTGATCCTTTGTCTTGTTCGTGCACTGCCGGTGCCGCCGACGCTTGTGTCGGTGCTGGTGTCGCGGCTCTGGTGCGACGAACGCGGGTAACCGCCTAAGGGGCTAGGCACGACCGTTTAACGCACCGTATAAACGCGCGCGCGTCGCAACACACACACACTATACGAAGGCCGACGATCGAAGGACTTCAACGACGATGGCTATCGCCAAGGAACGCGCCGGCCGTGGCGGCATCTTTAGATCCTGTCCGCTCTCAAAACGGTGTAATTTTTTTGTGTCAGCTGTATTAAACAACCCGTATGCACGTTCCGCCGTGTGCGGAATAGAATTTTGTCGATTCGCAATGACACAGACACACACACTCACACAGGCGCTCGGCACACCACACACACGACACGATGGAAACCGAGACGCTCGCGACTAACGGCGCGGCGGCGGCGCGGCGACGGCGACGACGACGGCGACGCGGGGGTTTACGGGAGCACGCACTTCTCCGGTTGACCTGACGCCGCGTGCACACACACACACACACAGACTAAGGATTAGCCCGACTAGAGAGACCCTCCCGCGCACCCTGCGCGCAAACGGCCACGCACACGCTGTCACGGCTGACGACGGGGCCGCGCCGCCGGCGGCGCAAGCGCCCGCGTGCCGTTCGTTTGTGTCTGTGTAAAAAATGTGTATATTATATAGGATATATGTTGTATATACGCGGTAGTTTACGACTATAGTGTGTGTGTGTGTGTGTGTGTTGAAACCGGGTCATCCGTAATATTCACCAATCAGTGCGGCCAAAACGCCGTCGTAGACCCATTACCGTTCATCGCGAACACCTGTAAACATTTACATTTTGCTTGTCTCTCCACGTGTAGATATAAATATATACCTACAATTAACTATATTTAGATATATATATATATATAAAAAATACGAATAACCTCCCCTCCTATCCCTCATGCCCTCCATACCCCTTGTATGATATTTTATAACCCGCGGTTATCGCGTCGTCGGCGTATGTTAAAATATAATATTATGCATACAACAACGTCATAAAAAAACGCTTATCGTATTATTACACAGTACAATACAGTATATGGCCGCCTACGAGCTGGCGGACGAAAATCTGTCACTGTTATTTACTGATTTCCCTTTTAATATTACTATTATTATATACGTCACGTCTGGTTTGTCTCGACCGAGACTTTGAACTCCGCACGGGGGGTAGATACTGTGCGTGTCCGACCGAACCTGGCGAAAATCGCTTTCGAAATTCCCCGAGCCCTCTCGCACCCTACAGGTTGGGCGCACGATTTTTATCGTGCAACCGTAACACGATAATAATATTATAGTCGGTGTACCATCATTATAGATTCAGAATATATCACAAAAAGCGATTAAACGTCGGCCGATGAGTCGATTTACAGTAGTAAAACGATCATAATACAACAGTCTTATATCCATGTAGGGTTCCAAAACAGTTAATTACATAATATTTATTGTACGTGTAGGACGACAAGAACAATAACATTATCGGTGGCCGTTTAAAGGGTAAACACACACAAGATGGTTTTGCGCACCATCTGGCAGAGCCTTTGGGTTACAGGCGCAGTACCGGTCGCCGTTAGCAACCGTTTTGCTCGGCTGTAGCCGATCGAGCGATACTTGTCTCGGCGGCCACCGGCCACGCCCTTGCGCGTTACACGGACTTCTCCTCGTCCTCACCTCCTTTATGGTCACTGGATATGTCGTTCGTTCAACTTTACCCCCCCGAAAATAACACACCAGGTTTATGCCGGGCAAACATCATTAGAATTATTATTCATCGACGTTCGAAGACGACAAACGGACTTGGAAAAATGACTATATCAACTGTCACAAATTTCACATAAATGTATAATTATTGACGCGATAATTATACACACAAATACAGTGTCCGGCAGAGGGAGCTGTAGACGACTCGATGCGAGCGTAGGTATGCGCTTAGCCGCGTTTGTTTCGCCGTTTGTTTGTGTCGCGTTTGCCGTTTACTCGGTGTACACCGGCGTTTCGTCCCTTCGACAACCCGGTGCCTGAGTCCGTGATCCCCACTGATCGGCCACAACCGCAGACGTCCCGGAGGACGGTGCCGAACGCAGAAAACGCGCATATCAGGTACGTAAGCAAAAGACGGTGGTGTCCCGTGCACGGCCGTGGACTTGGGACACTCTTCGAACTGCAGACACTCATCCAGGCGCTTTGGGTCGGATGGGTTTTTGCGAGATAAATGATTTGTCGAGCCGCTACGGCGTCGCATCTTAATACGGCGTTCCCGGTTAGGCATTTTACCTACACCGACGCGTAGGCGGCAAAATCGCACAACGGTTACAGGCACGCTGAGCTTGCATGCGTACAAAGTACAGCTGTTGTACAGCTACCCTAAACCAATAGTTAAAAGACGTCGTGTGTTCAGGATTTTCAACAATTCAATACCGCGTTATATTATTTAAAAAAAAAAAAAAAAATAGAAGTAAATAACCAACGTCGGCCGGTACAACAGGTCGTCTCTATATATAGCCTACAGCATACGTGTAGTATATATGTATATCCACTATTGTACCCGTCGCATACGGGATCTACTGTAGCTGTTTTTAAACGCGTTTCGTTTATTTCTTCACTGGACTTATTGTAGAATAATCTATTATATACATTATCAATATTTAAACGAAAATAATCAAACAGGAGCAGCGTCGTCGAGAAAACATTACGAATTATTGATTTTTTAGGTTAGTGTTCCACAGGTGTTCGCCGTGATAATTAACGTGTAGTATACTGTATACGATATGACACTATACGAAGATTTGTTGTGATGTAGATGCCCCACGAATGCAATGCGATATTGATATAATTTCTCGGCCACTAATGTTCCAATTACAATCTTAATTTATAATATTATACATTGTCAGTAAACGTGTCCAGTCTAGAATCTGGTAAGCCGAGCTCTAGGGCCGTGATGTCCCTCGCTTTTTACAACAGATAAATACATTTTTAAAAAAAACGTTGTTTAGATATCGGCTTTGTAGGCTAGAATCATGACGAAGTTATATAGATGTTTAAAATAATTATTATATGTGTATTCATCTAAACTCATTATAACACAACCACCGTATCACGCCGAACTATAAATTAAAAATATATTTAAAATGAATAATAAATAGCTATGTACTATAGATATGAAGGTTGTATATGAAATGAATGTCACTCTATAAATCTAAAATGTATTGTTCTTGGTAGATATTTTTATATATCTTGGGATGAGCAAGCTTCTTCGCATAATATAATATTCTAAGCAAAAAACTAATTATTACATGGTAGTTCCTACAAACCCCTCTTACAAATAGATATTTCACACGAAGTGCTACTTAATGCCATTGAGAACCTTTATAATATATAATATTCAATTAAAATAATCCAATTTTTCATTCACAAACAAAATACAATTTTATCAAGTTTTCTATCAGTCGAATCTAGATGTCTCTGTGTACAATAAAGTAATTGAAAAGAAGTATAAAAAATGAGCGCACTATTATATAGAAAATTAAATAAGAACGTACAAACTTACAAGTTTATTAGTTTTTGAAAATGTTGTTATTATGTTAAATTTAACAATCATTGAATTATAAACCGCCTTTCACCTTTAAAATACAAATTCTATAAAGTCAAGAGCTGACTATTCTCAGTCACAAGTTTAAAGCTTATCGAGGTTGACCATCATGTTATTTATGTTGTTTGTATTATTTTGTAGATGCGGTCTTATACGTACAGTAAATAATAAACTGATGTTTTTAAAATGTTTAATAGATAAACAGAACTGGCAGTGATAATTGATGGTAGGAGTGCGATGGCGGATGTGCAAATGGATATTTACGAGGACATGTTGTTCAAAGAGATCACGAAAAAAATGTACGGCCAAGACGCTGGACAAGATGCGTACAAAATGGTCGAGGAAGGATTGAGTATGATGGACAACGAAACTACCGAGTCTTTTGGAGAAACGTCACAGCCCGAGGAGGACCCTTGGGTGACTAGTGACGAGACAATATCGTGGACCACGTCCAAGATAGCCAGCTACAACGCGGAAAAGAAATTGTTCAAGTGCCAAGAATGCGAATCTATGGGCCTGCTGTCCAGCGTGGCCGAACATTGGTTGGGCTCGCACGCTGACGTCAAAGTGTACCAGTGTCCGCAGTGTCCGTACGCGAGCGCGTGGGCCCGGTGCATACGGATGCACTTGACCCGGCAGCACAACGTGGTGGCTAATCAAGGGGCCGAGGTGCGTACGCCGTGGAAGGAAAGCCCGGTACTGGAGGAAGTGTCCAGTTATTTGGAACGGCTTAAGTCCAAAGCGGACGCCAACGAACCAGAAGAGTTTGCGAGTGGTGCGTCCGAGATCAAAGAGGACGAACCACTGGTGGCTATAGACACGGAGACGCAAACGGCTCAAAAGCGTTTTAACTGTGCTCACTGTCCGTACGCAACGGACCGCCGGGACCTGTACACCAGGCACGAGAACATTCACAAAGAGGAAAAACCTTTCCAGTGCGACATCTGCCAGAAACAGTTCAACCGGGCGGACCACGTGAAAAAACACTACACGCGCATGCACCGCGAGTACGAATACAGCTTGAGTCGGGTGAAACGGGATTCGTTTAACAAAATGATAGTGCCGTCCGCTCAGAGGGTCACTCTGTACTCGGGCGATCCTCCATCCGAACCAGATGCTCAAACGCAGCAACAACAACAACAACCGCAGCAGCAACAACAACAACCGCAGCAGCAGCAACAACAACCGCAGCAACAACAACCGCAACAACAACAGCAGCAGATCATTTTGTCGCAGGCCATCGATGCAACACATCCATCCATTATCACCGCCCCGCTCACACTGGACGACCATCAACAGACGGTGGTCAACATCGCTTTGGTCAACTTTAATGAGCAAACCGGCACTCATACCATTCAGATACCGATACCTACCAACCAGATAAAACCGGTTAGTACTATATAAGTACTGATGTTGCATGAGAGTTTAATTTTAATAATATACATTTTAAATGTGTACGTGCGTAGGTGATGTTCACACAGGATCACACGTTGATGACCGTGGATTCCATAATCAATCCAACCGCGACCACGGCCACCGTAACGGCGGCGGCAAGGCCCAAAGGCAAGGGCAGCAAAAAGAACTTCGAGAAGCGGTACAACTGCACGTTCTGCTCGTGGACCGGCGTGGACAACTGGTGCCTGAAACGGCACCTAAACACTCATGTGAAACCGTATGAATGCATGTTCTGCGAGTACAAAGCGGCCAGAGCTGAGCGACTGGCCACACACGTGTACAAAGTGCACAGCAAACGTATGTGTTGCAGATGCTCGTACGTGGCGCATGACCAAGACGACTTGTACAGTCACCAAACCGAACACAACCAGTGAGCAAAATTGATTATTCAAAGAACAATAAAACATAGATACCACATAAAAAAAACTTATATTGGACAGTAAAATGTAATATGATAATTAAATAATTGAATCGGTCATTTGAGAAACGCTTTAAGAAACAAAATCTAAATTTTACAGGACAAGGAAAAAAAAGGGATTATTTTTAATACGCTGGCTTAAGTCTAAATTATTAAACATAAAATGTTATTTTAATAACTTATTATGGCAAATAATTAAATTAAAAAGTTTATAAAATGTATTAAATAGCCCCAAAACATATAAAAACAATTCGCATAGACACGGAAAGGTACATTTGTTTTGTCTAAAAATTTAATTCCTTTCAGTTTCATTGAAATCCGCGTTCTCCTCGTTTAACGGTCGTGCCCGTTTTGCCAAAATAAACTATAAAAAATTTACTAATAGGTCAATTTACAACTTCTAAAATAATTAAATTCCTAAAAATTGTGTTTCCAATGTATGAATAATTTCAATACTTCCACATTTAATGGGATAGTGGGTACCTTATTTAATTGAGCATACTTAAAATACCAGAGAACTAAATTATAGTTACACAATTTATTATATAAATAACAATTCGACACCTAGATCATTTCTTGTTGTTCGCATCAAACATGTCAGACAAAACATTTTTTTTTTTTAATAACATTTTTGTTTTTAGCAAAAGTGTAAGATCAAGACGGACTCAGACATCACCTACGCCGTCTTCTCCTGAACACAGCGAAGAAACCGCCGACAATAGCGATGTGATTGTAGTCTGGCCAGTAGAGTCTCAAAATTCAATTTCTATATAAAACAAAAATAGAAACAATTATTTTTACTTGTGTGCCAATGTCGATGATTACAGGGACGAACATAATGTACCTTGAAAAGTCACGAGTGCAGTGTAAAGTACAAGTTATACTTACTAAATAACATACCTATGATAATTTATAAAATTAAGACACGGCGCATTAAAAAAAAAAAAAAGCTCGAGTTTTATAACATAGTCATAGGGTTTAGGGGAGGTGGCACTAGGCTCAGAGACCAGAGTGTCACAAATCAGGTGCTACTATAGTACAATTTTAAGTTGTTTGATATTAATAGGTAATATGTTGGTAATAAATGTCAATGGTCCTCGCCACATCTATAAATGCGGTCCTGCTTATAACCAAATGTTAAGTTTTCATTGTTCGTACAAAAAAACTGAATAGGTAATTATTACAAAGAATTATTTGAGTGCCAACTAGTAGGACTAAGCGGTAAAATATATTATGGGTAAATATGTTTACTTAATTTCGTTGGTTTGAGATTACTAAGCGTATATGACATGTTAGTAAGTAGAAAAATAAAAACGTTATTTTTTTATTTTTTTACAGGGATTGGTTATTTTTTAAATTATTAATTTAAGTAGGTAGTTCATTTACCTACGCAACGAGTAATGACCATGGTTAAACATTCCAAATGACCTAATCTATACATAAATATAAAATATCTGAGGAAAATTAAAAAATATGCATTAGCTAGCGCCGGCTGTTTTTTTTTTTTTTTTGTTATTGATTTAAAAAAAAGGTTGTTGTTTTGTTTTAAAAATACAGTGTCGTCATTTATTGTTAAATTTACCAAGAGGCACTTTATTATTATAATAAGAATATAATTATTAAGTTTTAAAAAATAAAGTATGAACTTGTCTCAGTAATCTCTTGCAGGGTTTTTTGTCAGCATTGCGAATTGTGTAATTAACGAAATAATATTAATTAATTTTAATTATATTATAATGTAAGGTTTAATTAAAAAAATATGTAAGATAATTGCAAATTAATTTGTCGTTTCTCGTATTTAAGGCACGTTGATTTAATATTTTGTTGTTTGAAATTTTATTGGATATCTTCGAGAATAATTGTTTTTTTGACAGTGTGCTAAAATTATAATTCATTTATGACCAATTATTATGAAATGTAATACATTGACTATTGACTATTATTGTACAGTGTATGAGTAACACTACCAAATTTCACTAATTCATTGAGTTGACAATTTGAAAGCAAATTGGTTTAAGTCACAAACAAATTATCTTAAAACCAATAAAACTAATAACAGTATATTGAAAATTAGAATCATTTGAATCTTGTTGAAATAAATATTGAACGAAACCGTCATTATAATTAGAACATAATTTCAATACCTAAAACAACATTTTGTTATTTACACATATATTATATCAGTGCAGCAAAATTAAATTAAAAGAAATTTCAATTTCAATTTTATCTTAACTAGTAATATTAAAATTGTGTTGTGTGGCTGTAATTCATTTGTTTTTTTTATATAAATAGGTAAACAAGAAAAAATCTTTGTTATTTTTAAAACTTAAACTATTGTACTAAGATCTTAATGATTTCAAAGGAGTGTATTGTAATGGTAAAAAATATTTGCATTGAAGTTATATCAAACACAGATTTTATGTATTAGTACATATTTTGTTTATTATTCGAGTATTAAAATAATGTATAACTGTTGTGCTGTTTAATTTTTTTCACATTATTTTTATTGCACATAAAGTTAAAACTATATGGCAAGTATAATTATATATAAATATATAATTATAAAATATTATTGAATAAGTAAAATTAAGTTTCCTCAAAATAAAACTATAAAAAAAATAGTAAACATTTATCCAATCTAATTAGTATAATTACAGTTTTTAGTAAACAAAAATAAGTATAATTAGTTTTAAAATATTATTTGAGTTTTTTTTCTATACTTCTTTAAATAATTTAAGAAACCGTATAATACCCTAACCACAGTTAATAGCAAAAACAAACAATATTTTTTATTGTAAAAATTTAAATTGTTAAATACACTAGAGTTTAGAACGAAGATTGGATTTAAAGAGTTAAAACAAAAAAAAAATGATTATAAATTAATAGTTTTGTTTCAACAACAAAGAGGTAATATTTGATAACATTTTCTTTTATGACACTTAACGTTATATATTTTACAACTAATCACATAATATGTAAAATTTACATAATGAATATTATAAATTAAAAAATATATATATGATTGACAATAATATTAATAATAAAAACAAACAATCAATGTGGGTTTTTATTAACAAACTAATCAGAGGAAACCATTTTATACCGAAGGGATTGTTCATTGTAGCAGTTACAAACCTTAGATGTCATAACATAATTATTAACAAAAACAAATTAAACTAAAAGAGAGAGAAAGGAAAACTATCACATTAATAATAATATACTTAAAACTACTTTTTGGTTGATGAATTTGTGGGTGTGGTGATGTCTGCAAAATATGAGTCGGCGTTTAACATAGGATCACCCAAGACTGGGGTATTCAGACCGTCATTACTTCCAGCTGATGTGTCAAATGATACTGGAGTGTTGGGTACTGACCAATCAGCTGATGCAGTTATTAAATCATTCAAGTCGTAAGTGTTTGGTGACATACACGATACAATTTGATTGTCAGGTGTTACGTTTAATTCATTCTTGGCTAAAAATTAAAGAAACATCAATAAATCCACAAAATTAGCATTTCTAGTAGGTAATAATAGCTGCTAAATGTGAAAAAAAATTAGAAGTTTTATATTATAGGTATTTTAAATATTAATACTTATACATTTTTATAACACTTGCATACTAATTTAAGTAAAACAAAAAATAGATTATCAAGTATATTAAAGAGATAATGTGTTGACTGTTGAACTACTTGGAAGTTTTCCAAAGTAAAATGTTTGGAGTTAATAGTCAATAGTGTATCAGTGTCAAGCAAATAACAATGTAAAATACATTTGTAGCTATGGTAAAATCAGTTTCATAATTAGGATATCATAACTATTATCAATGTTAAATTATTATTATTAAAAAAAAGAGCAAGAAAAAACCGAACTTTAAACCCCTACTTTTAGCTTCATTCCATACCCGTTTTTTTAAAACATTATTAATATGTGAGTCAACACATATAACAATAAAAAAAAACTTATTCCAATGAATTAAATAACAACATCACTTTTGGTTGTAATAATGGGTTACTGCCAATGTTTAACAACAACTCTAAATAATACATAATTAAATTTACCATCATTAAGTAATTGTTCCTCCGGTGTAATTGGCAAATTCAAATTACTCGGGTCATCACTGATAAACTAAAATGAAAATCAAATTCCAGATTAATATTAAGCCATTATGTGGTTTGTAAATAACTAAGTTCTAATTATAATTGTATAACCTACTTACATTCAAAAACATGTTAGCATCAAACGTGTACTTATCATTTAATCCTTTCAGAATATTTTCTAAATCGGCTTGAACAGAATCTATGTGCTTGCTAACATTTTCTCTAAAGTAAAAAAAAAATACACAATAATCATTATGATGAGTTTGTTATTTGTTATAAGTATTTAATTAAACATTACATAGTTTTGATAAACAAATAATAACAAACATCAATATTTTAACACTTGTAATGCTATTGTAGAGTACAATTTAATTTTGTTATTATTAATAAAAGAATTGTTTGATTTTTCGTAAATATTTTTTTCGTATGTTAACAAATCTATTATGTTATTATTAAGTCGTAGGTCAACAAAATGTAATTTAAAAGATAACATTAGTTATTTTATCGATAATCTATTTCAGAGCACGTGTGTTTGATGTATGTTCTAAAACCATAATATAAATTCTAAGTGTTTAAAATTGGACATTGGACGTTAGGGGATCGTGATGTTATCCTCAAAAAGGTGGTAAACCATTTTATCATACCCTCCCACCACTACAAAAAAAGTTAACCACATATAAAAAGTTTTATGAGTTTTTTTTATCATTTTCTTTATGAGGAGAAAATAATAATAAACATCATACTTTTCGTGGACATTAGGTAAACTTGATGCAATAGGATTGCCATCAGGACATGGTAGAACTTGCCTTGGTTCTGGATGAGCTAACTGCATATTATTACTCTCTAAAGACATTTCATTCCACAAGACGTTTTCATCGGATATTGTCCTAGATAATATTTAAAAAACAAGTTAAATAATACACAGAAAATTGGCAGTTATATTAAAAATTAATTCAATGATACTAAACAATTTCACATATCACACTTAAAAAATAATTTTGAAAAATTCAATAGGTATACTTACACCTCTGGTTCCTCAAAACTCATTTCGGGGATTGATATGACTGGTGGATCGTTACCCTTAGGTTCTACTTTGATAATATATGGCTTAACTGAAGATCCAATATCAAAACTGTTTGAATCATTGAATTTATTTGTTTTTTTCTTAGCTGTAGTATTTTGTTTTGTTCTTTTTCCAGGTGCTTTCAAAGTTTCGTTAGCCGGTTTAAGTGCAGCTGGTTTTGCAGGAACAATAGGAACAAACGCCGATTTTGGTTCTAGTAATTCTTCAGTCGGAGACACGGAAACTTCCCTGATCAAATCGTCTAGCGGAGAACTAATTGTAATTTCATTTGGTGCAAAAACTTCTTCAGCTGTCGAACTACAAGGACTGCTTAACATTTGTGACATATTGCTAGGGCTTAAAACCATACCTTCCGGTTCAACGACTTCTCTGTTAACAAAAGTATTATATTTTTCTAATAATTTCTTAAAACTTCTTAAATGTATATAATTATTAAATATTAAATTATTACTTTAGAATAGCCCCAGAGTTATATTCATCGTCACTCATGTGCAAAACATCAGTAGGATCTAGTTCATGAATTACCGGGCCAGATGAAGTAGATGGTTTAAACTTTGAGTTCTAAAACAAATTTAGTTCAATATTTTTATATTTTTTCAGCGTAATATAATAAGTAATAACACTTTCATAACAATAAATAAAAACTCACACTAAATGTTTTACTTGAATTTGCTTTTTCAGATGGCTTATGGTGCATTATAGGAAGAACATACCTGCCATTGGTATTTACTTCCCTGCATAATGTATTGCTGCTACTCGGTTGTCTTAGAGTAACAAGAAATTGTATTAGCTTGAAACAAAATAATTGTATTATATTAAGATAAAAAACATTTTTTGCGTAAAATTTAAAACCCATTCAAAATTGATTGCAGTTCCATAAAAATAAAAATAAACTTACTTGATTTAAAATTCTCTGTTGTTTCATATGTTTTTGTCTGGTAACCGCGAGTTCTCGCCATAAACATTCATTTTCATGTTTCATGGCCATAAATTTTGAATCAAGCATTTTGTTTTTGTCTTTTATTTGGTTTACCTCTTTTATAAGCGTGCTAATTGCATCAACTGAATCAATATCAGGTTTTATACTTTGCTAGACAAAAAAGAAAAAAAAGTACTTAATTTATATGCTTATGGATAAGAAGTGATCTACAATTAGCATAAAAATGCTAGCTCAAATGAGGTTAAATAGTGATAGTAACGAAGAGTCCATTGAATTTGTTCACTAGGTTGTATAATTAGACATTATATTGCTATATACACATACATTTGTAAATAATACATATATGTTCCTATCAAAGCTCTTTGGTTTTCTAAATAAAGCGATTACAAGTAAACTTTCGATAACTTATCCTACCTATCACTTATTATTATTGAAATATAACATACAAATCATAATTTCATTTGATTTGCTCTTTTAAAATCTATTTATCCAGAGACATTGCAAATGTAATTTTAACCCCATTAACAACAATTAAGTTACTTTCAGCTTTATTAATAGAAATCAATTAGTTCTAAGTTTTACCATTGAATAATCTTTTTATTCTAATATTGTGAATTATTGTAGTTATCTATTACTAAAAACAAACTAATATTATTATTACTATACAAACGTACCACTTTATCTCCTCTTTTTTGCTTTATTGACAATAGCAAGCTAGGATGGTCTTTCATGAAGTATGGGTGTGCGTATTCACAGCTTGTTCCATGATTGGAAGTATGATCAATATCAGATATTCTTTTATTGAAACCATCTAAAATAGATAACAATTGTAATCAAGAATCCAATAAAACTTAAATTGTTCAAAAAAATGAAAAAAGTTTTAACAAAATAACAACTTGATAAATTAAAATTAAGGGTTACATGTTAAAAATTGCATAAGAATAATCATAGTCAACACATACTTTTAGTGATCTCAACATAATTCTGTATACTTACATATGTGCAATTGCCTCACAAAACTCATGAAATTGTTGTGCTTGAAGTATCTAGGAAGTACGTCGCAGAATTCTACTTGATTATTTATGATAAAACTGTCTCCTTCCTGAAAAGTCAAAATTTAATTATAACTTAGTATTTATTATAATTATATTTCCATTGTCAATGCTTAAATAGTTAAAAGCCCGAGAAAAAAATGTTTACTTACTTTGCTCCATTTTATTACATGATCTGTATCTGGGCTGTTAACTAAAGTCCAAAGTTTTCTTAAAAATAAAGATATACGTTGATCGTTCACTGGATTGCTGTCCGGCATGATTACTCAAAGAAGTCAAACGACATGCACCTGTATATTACATGTAGATGGAAATGGACCCAATTGCTTGTACAAGAACTGAAAATCGTCTTAACGCCAAATCAGTTAATATCTCTGTTAAAAAATCCCAAAAACATAAAAATGCTCAACACAACATAAAAATTAAAATAATTAATAAATATTATTGCAATTCGCAAATTCTTATCATTCATTTTTCATTTACATGATAATGAAATTTAACAGTGTCGCATCTTTACGAATATTAGTTATTGCAATAATATACGCGGCAACTTGATTTCAGTCGCGACTTTCGAGCTTTGTTGTTGAAACTTGAAAGTCAATTTTTATCTTAAATATTTTTAGCGGATATTAACGACTTTTTACCCGCCCTGTAGGATAAAATAACATATTTAATAATAGTAAAATATACGAGATATGTAAAATAGAATGAGGAAAAATCAATTAAATTAAAATTTAAACATAACATTTTTGAGGATTTGGTATGCCCAATTTACGGCATGTTAAAAAATACAATAACTCGACGTACCTAAAATTATAAGTATTCCTAACAACCAACTTCTAAATGCCGTTTCGACCATTGGTATAAAAACGTGACACGTGTCGACAACTGCTCACAACCGCCACACTCACGTTACTACTAAATACTAATCGCAATCTAAAATTTCGGTAGTTATATGAATCATGGCTAAATATATTATAATTATTAACATTTATAACTATTTACCTACGATATAGATTCAGTGTAGTATGCAGTGTGTCTGTATCTAATGTTGGATACATACTTACTATAAAATATTTCCATATGCTTGCAGTTGCAAAAAACCTTTATTGGTTCTACAAATCGTACGGTCCAAATACCTGTTAAGACTATAGATCCAATCATTCAGTAAAAGGTTTATGGAACCAAACGTTTGTGGGCAACATTCAATCAGTTATTAACTACAAAGTGTTTAATTTTTTATGTGTAGGTAGTCATAAAAAAAATTAAAAAACTATTCCCGTAATCTCTTTTGTAGTTCTCGTAAAAATCGATGCCAATCGAATAACGTTTTCTTAGTGAATTACATAATATTCATAATATGTACTCGGCCAAAACATATTGTGTACATATATTAATGATAAATGTTATTTAAATTAATTATTTTAGTTTTTACTTTTTGCACCTTTCATAAATAGACGTTTATAATAAATATGGTACATAAAAATACTCTTCTATTGATCCCATGCATTAATATTATTTTTCCGCTATAAATTTTAAACCCTAATAAATTATTCGCCAACCGCCTATAGCATATTGCTACATAGTTATATTGTAACCTTTGATGCTTTCTTTTCAAATAATAATTACTAATTAGTAATTCATTTATAAAACACCCATACCCTTTTAAATACAAATGTACCTAAACTAGAAACGGTAACGACACATACATTTTATTTTATCTGAACATAGCTAATATTGGCTAAATAATAATCGCGAGAACGTTTTTTTACATATTTAAAAAAATGAGAACTTTATCTAGGTACAACATTCACAATTTATACTATAACTCTTGACATTTTTTCACTTTTTTAAGTGCTTATATTTAAGATGAAATTTAAGTTTTCTAAAAATACTGATGAGAGAACCTAGCCAGTTCTCCTCTTTATAACGGTATCAACACTTTTTTTTATGACCATTTTGCTTTGCCACAAACACTTTTTACAAGTATTTAAAGGGTATGACGTCCTCTTAAATAATAGAAAATATAAATTGGGATATTTAATATGACAACAAAATAAAATACCTGACCTGTTATGTATCCTTAAGCTATTTATGGCCATTCACACTAATTTTAGTTTAAAATTTAAGAACAGCCTAACAATACTTTTAAGTTAAAGCCAAACTTTTGAGTGATCATCAATAGTTTTCTGATTGTATAATAAATTATTTTTTATGTGTAGTAAAAAGAAATAAAAGTTAATATTTTAGAAAAATTAGACAAACTAATTTTCACTCATAAATTACACATTAAATATTGTATAAATTATGTCTACTTTCTCAGATCTACAACACATAGCCAAATTAAAGAAAACATTTTGTTGTTGATGCAGTTTAGTGTATGTACATTTTACAACCACTTTAAGAAACCAATGTTACATAATAATATACGCATAGATAAATGACAGAAAAAAAACAGTGTGAGTTATATTCATTTTTTATAAAACAATACATTCTAATCCCTTGAAAATATATTATATTTCTTATATATTATTTATATAAAAGCTCAATGTAATTTTTTATTTTTAACTATAAATCCAAGAATTGTATTTTGTCAAATACCGGGTAATTGGTTAACTATGGACCAGTCAATAACTTAGAAGATATTTTTTTTTAATTATTTTTTTTATAATTGTATTGTTATTAATTGGGACAATTTAAATATATTTTTTTAAACTATAACTCGGTCCCTTAATAGTTAAAATCTTATAAACTTGAGTTTTTTAAATAGTAACAAATATATTTGATTAACTTTTTGAGTTAAAAATAATTTGCTGAATATTTTGACTGGTCGATAACCAGTTTTGGGTAATTAGTTTTTAAGTTATTTAATTTTAAAAGTTATGACAGGAGGGGAAAGCGGTTAAGTAATGCGCGCAGATAAAAACATCTCTACTCTCCACCCATCCTCCCGTCCTAAATTTTAAACAAATAATTTAAAAACTAATTATTCAAAACTGGTTAATCGACCAGTCAAAATATTCAGCAATTTTTTCTTAACTTAAAAAGTTAATAAAATGTTTACGTTACCATTTAAAATTCTGAAGTTCATACGGTTTTAACATATAAGGGATAGGGTTATATTTTTCAAAAATATATTAAATTTGTCCCAACTAATAACTATAAAATAATAAAAAAAAAAATTTTTAAAATTCTTATATCTTCTAAGTTATTGACTGGTCCATAGTTAACCAAACACCCGATACATTTTTTTTTCAATTGTTAATTTGTATGAAAATAAATTAAATGTAATACTCCTAAACAATAAACAGCGAGTCTATTGTCATAATTAGTTTTACCATAAAAGAAATTTGCCCAAAAATGGTACTTAACTAAATCATGAATAAATGACTCATATATTAAGTCATATATTAACACCATAGTTAAAATCATGATTTAAATATACCAGGTATTACATTTTTACCCTTCATCGAAATTTTCAAAGATAAAAATAAAATGGCTATGTAAGGGTTAGTCAATTAAATTAATTTATTAAATATTAGTATTATGTACATTTTTATCAAAAAACAATGATGTACTATTATGCAGCTATTTTATGAATTGATAATATAATAAAAAGTGGGTACGCAATAACCTTGTATATTTAAGCCATGGTTAAAAAATAACAGAAGTTATAAAAAAAATTGTTTACACCAACCATACAAAACAAAATTAAGGTGCACTGTGTAATCTTAAAAATATTTTATAATTATTTGGAACCTATAAAATACTACAACAAAATAGAAACTATTTTAGATAAAACCTAAACATTTCAAATCAAATTTTAAAAAATGTATAAATATTCACATATAAAAAAAAATCCCTTATAAAATTATAATATGAATATCAAAATAAAATACATATAAATTTAATTTGTTTACATCATTACATAAAAAAATAATAAATTGAATTGTACTCATTTGTCTCAGATGTCTGGTCAATGTGTAATAATATAGATAATAATTTGTTAATGTTGAATAACTAAATACATTGTTTAGTGACTCCAAGTTTAAAAATTAAAATCTATCTCTTTTAAAGGTTGATCTTCAACATCATTAATAGTTTTCAATACTAACTCTATAAGACAATTATTTAAACTAAAAATATCTTTGGCAGCATCTATTTGAATGAAATTATCACCTTTTAGTTTTTCAAATTTTTTATCGACTTCATTTTGGAACTCGGTATTTTCATATCGTTCTTCTCCAAATCCCCCTCGTTTCATCATTTCTTCTAATGATAATTTTAAAAACATCACTAAATCTGGTTTGGGTAGACCATTTTCTGGAGCACAACACCAATTTAAGTTGACACATTTTTTTGCACTCGTAAATGCTATACCTGAATATGAATAACGATCTACTATTAGTGTAACTCCGGATTGTATTTGTTTGTGTATTTCAGGTTCTAATTCCCAACGATTGGCACTAAATAATAAATGTACAGATCGATCAGGAAGATCAATTTTCCTTGATAGATATTGATCGATTATAGTTCCAATAGGTGTAGAGCGATCTGGGAAAGAAATCTTTTTCGCTGGTATTTTTAAATTGTTCAATCTTTCAACAAGTTTTGAACATTGAGTAGACTTTCCAGATCGATCGCAGCCTTCTAAAACAATTAATGCCCCTCTTCTCGACGTCTTAGCCATATTAACTTATTGCTGTAACAAAAATCAAAATACATTTTTTTTTTAAATAATTATATACATTGACAAATTTATTTAACATTAGTAAAAATACTTTATTAAAACTGTAAATTCAATATGATCTAGTCATACTTTAACACTTGAGTATTTAACAAAACGAGAAAAAGTATATAGTTTGAGGGATCTGTGACGATGAAAATATGTTTTTATTTATTGTACTATAATCATTTGTATATGATTCCACTCTGTTGCATTTGTTTTCTGTATTCCCAACCAAGAAAGCCATACGAAAATAACAAATAAATATGTTTATAAGCATATTATTAAATTATAAATAGGTAGATCGATTTTTATTTTTGACACTTACGGATTTAATTGATGAAAACCAATTATTTGATTGTTAATTAATTTGAAGTCACTAAGATGGACGTTAAATAATTAAATACAAAAGACTTCTCGTGTTTACGTTAAATTTGTTTAAAAATTGTTAAGTCGCGAATCATTAACTACTAAAAACTAAAACACTACAAGCTATTGACTAAGTACTAAAACGAAAAATATATTTGACAAAGCACAGCAAGAGTAATAATATTGATTAAATACAATGCTAATTAGAAACAAAAAACCGCCAATTTTAACAGAACCAATTGTTTGTACGTTTATCTTCTTTTCAACGAGCAACGCCCGCGCCCCGCCGTCGCGAAAGGCCGGTCGTGCTCGTGATCGTGGTTAATGGTAGCCACAAAATATTGTTAAAAAGTTAACGGGAACCTAACCTATTATATTATTATAAGCTGTGTTATCACAGAATAACCAGAAAGGAAGCTTTAAAAAATTACATGGCTTCTTATGAGTCGCCAAAAAGGCTGACTGTCATATGATTTTTGCATATAGGAGCCATGATTGAAATATACATGATTATTGCACATATACATCTTCTTCATCAAACATTCGATGATAAAAACGAATATGTCAGCATAACGGGCTGACAATCAAAATCAAGTATATAATCAAACGGTGAAATATATAGTACTCTGTATTAGTAAAATTTATATCCCGTTACACGCTGTCATTTTATTCCTGAAGAAAACAGAGACGAGACGATGTGTAATAAGTAATGACATAGATTAATTACAATATTTAATCTATGGTTGGCGCCACAGATATATATATATAATAAACTAGATTGCTAACTAGCGATAAGAATTGAAGCCGACGGTCCGCCATTCTGGTGGGATTTATGTGTGTTATCAATGCATATAATATAAATCTGTATATATTATTATATCAATAATATAATATATATATGTATTATAATTGATATAATAATATATAATATATAATGTGATTGTTATAAACATATATTATTCTCGCGTGATATGGTTCTAATTCCCACCAGGATGGCGGAAAGTGGCTGCTTCAATCTTCTCTATTGGTGGTATATACAGTTAGCAATCTAGTTTATTATATATATCTGTGGTTGGCGCATAGATTAAATACATGTATTTAATCTATGGTAATGATCTGTATATTTCCAACCATGATGGGAGCCAGACCATCATCGTGTTGCCACGCTTTGAAAACGTAATTCTCGTAAAATGAGTGACAAAATTATCGTACATTGATAAAAAATATCGTACACATTTTTTTCATAGATACTAGGTATTGGGAACTCGCTTCACGCTCGTTTCGCTCGCTCAGCCAGCAGTAATTCGCTATCCGAAATAATTCGTGCCTCGTGACTTAAGAAAATAAACATTACTTCTTTTATTGATAAAACTCTTATCATAACTAAGTATAAGATACAAAACTTAATAGTACAATATACAATAAAAAATACAGAACAATTTAACTAATTGTCGGATTTTCATTGTCCACACAACACAACTGAAGTTATAGATTTTATTTTGAAATCAGTTATCAGTTATTACAGGTTAAGAATACACAAAATTCGTTATCAAAATGCTGCGAATCTGATACCGATTAGAAATGATGACAGCGATCGGCTGTCAGCTGATTAGGTATCCGAAAAATAAAAAATTAATATATGCTAAAGATCCTTAAATATAAATGAAATAGATTTTATTTGACTTAAAAAAAGTGATCAATACAAAAAAGAAAATGATTTACTATATTTTTCTCTTAAACTTTAATATCTCGTATTTTACGTGTACGAGAACTCGCTTCTCTCGTACGGGTCGTACCTCGTACGATGATTTGAAAATTCCGTACCCGTACGAGAACTATCGTACGTCTGGCAACATTTAATAAATGGACTATAGATAATTCGAGGAAAAAGCATGATAATTGTGCGTAATCCGCAAAAACAAAATGTCGGACACTTATCAGTCCCGGCTTAGGTTTCCCTTCTGGTTATTCCGTGATGTTATTGACTGTTGTTATGGAAATTGATAAACATTAAACCCTATCAATTTCCCGTCGACTTCCCACACTGTGTAAGTTGCGCACAGCTGTTGGTTATTCTTTTTCCTCGTACGCACAGTAATTCCCGTATGGAAAAACAGCTGTCAGCTACTGTTGTTCAGTTCAGTGTGTATGTGTATTTGTGTTAACTCACTGCATTGTCATAGTAGTGACTTGTGTCTAATGATTATTTTTGTTCCTGGAGCGATCCGTGTTTCGTTTAATCGTAATCGTAGTTTATGAGAAATAATTACATAAATTGTCAACGTGCTCCTGTTCACCCACTCACTAGGACTGTAGCCACGAAAAGTATTAAAAAGTTGTGATTTTCGATCATGTCTAATTAACGTATTTTTATCCATCACGACAAAGTATACAAAAAGTAATGGACGAAAATAAAGACAAAAACGGAATGGTGGCCGATTTTCAGGTAAACATCGAGATAACAATAGTTACGAATCTATAAGGTCGTTTTCATTTTTACACAGCCGTCGTTTTGTTTTTATTAGGCCATTACCGGTATAGATAATGTTGGTGAAGCTCTCATGCATTTATCCAACTGCAATTGGGACCTATTGGTATGTGTAACACATTCTGCAACACAAATTTGTTCCCTTTTCATTATTCTCTATGTTATTACAGGCTGCTGTCCAGCATGTCACACCACAGCACACTCAACATTTGCCATCTGAAGGTCATACTTATCGGCCAGATGTGCCTACAGTGACAATTGCAGACGATTTTATAGATATGACAGCATCGACTTCAAATGGGAATCGCCGTGTATTGAACATAGAGATTGAACAAAATAATCGTATTATTACAACGTTAAAAGTCAATGATGGGTCTACTGTTGGTAATTATCATTAAAACAAATATAAATAATATTGTTCTTATTTGTATATATCATTAAAAAAAGATAACAAAGAACTTTGTATAATTAATATAGAATATATATTTGTTTGATCTATTATTTAGAATCACATGTCCTGAAATTAATTCTATGAAACAAATTTTGTTCCAGTAACATATTTTTTACAACCATATATATTTTTTAATGTTTATTTTTCATCTTCCTTATATTTTTGGTTTGTGCAAAATACGGTTGTATTGGCATACATTTTTTTTTACTGGACATCCTTTTTTTTTCATATTTTGGTATTTTTTTTTATGCTGATTACGTTTCTTATGTCAAAATTAGGCAGATTCCTCTAGTTCAAAAGTTATAGCTACTTGAAATTTGAAATTTACATACTTCCGCATGTGTAATAATAAAAATTGCAAAACAAAAATGTTCCATTGTATTTATTGATTAATATTATGATACTTTTTTTTATATTAGATTATACCTGTTAAACCTTTATTGTAACTATTAATTTGCCAACAAAATGTTCACTAAAAATAATTATTTATCGTCTTTTTTTTCAGATGACATCAAAGTATTAGTTTATGCCGAAAGTGCTATTCCATGCTGCCAACAAAATTTTAGTGGTTGGCCGAACAATCATTCCCCTTCAAATAAAGATATTCTCTCCAAATTTAACTTGCCAGATAGATTTAAACTAACTTTAACTACTGGCATTGGTGATTCAAGCCAAGAGTGTAATGGAAGGTAGTATTTTTTATGAATTATTCAATCCTAAATTATTAAATCATTGATTTAATCATTCAATTAAATTTTACCTATTATGAATTCTTATGTTTTAATTTTTGTACGTAGAGCTAAAGAAAAGATGTACACTTTAAACATTACAATGGAAGCCACTAGTACAAGCCAATATAAAGTTTATAAACTTACATTCCCATCTTATAAGACAGTCCAAGAAGTTAAAGAGCGTGTAGCTGATTTGACTAAACTATCAATTATTAATCAACAATGGATCGGGTGGCCTCATTTTGTGACACCTACTACGACTTTGGAAGAATCTCATATAAATCATCCGGTCCATGATTTCAAACTGAAACCATCAAACTCTGTTCCTCGACACACTAGAAGAACTTACAATACTAGATTAAATGTAAGTATATTATAATGTATTTAATTTGAAATAGTATTTGTTACTATAACGACCATGTTGAGTAATAATCTATGATTATACTAATAAATGCGTTGTTTTATTTTTTTCTTACATAAGTCTGTTGTGGATATGGAAACAAGTGATTCTCCAATGCCTTCATCATCGACTTCCTCTTCGTCCACATCTTCTTCATCTTCTGAAGAATATCCATTTGAAGATGCTGCAGAATCTTTAAGCGGCATTGATGATGATGATGATGAAGATGCTATGTTTATGGATACTGAAATAACAAATAGAATACGGCCATTAAGTAAGCAATAATTCTTTATTTTGAATAACATCGTGCATAAAATAATAGTGGCATAAGCATACATATTATGTATTTATTACGCTTTGACTAAGTATAACCATTGTTATTTAAAGAGAAAACGTAAACTGTACATTTAAACATTTCAGAAATAGATTTCAACTATCAATTTATTTAATTGATAACTTACTAGACTTATTAATAAATAGTAATAATAACTAAACATTTATGTAAAAGTGAATTTTAATATATTTTTGTCGTATTACAAGTGTCTAAATATTTAAAATTTTCTACATTACTTAAAAAATATGAATTTAAATAATATTTGTATTTGTTATCAATCTTATTATTTGCTTATTTTTATTTCATAGATAATGATAATTAAAAACAGTCTTGTAAAAAAGCTGTTACTGACAATCACAATAAATGTAAATTCTTTTTTTTTACTTTTAGTATCTGAAGACATTGATGATGAACTCGCTGGAGCTATTCAGTTTGTTGAAGAATTTCAAAATCGTTATGGTGATGTAAGACCAGATTTCTTTTTAGGAACACTTGACCAAGCTATTAAAATAGCATGTTTTAAACCGGCTAAAGATGTAAGCATTTCTATACTTAATTGAAAATTATTATTTTGGTACTTGAGATTGCAAATCGATACTTATGTTTAAAATTTATATAAAAAAATAAAAAACTGCGGATGACACCAATTTAAATTTAAATTGGCGTTATTTGCAGCAAATGTGTTAAAATAATCTTTTTTTTTTAGAAACGCTTGTTGGCTGTTTATTTACACCATGATCGCAGTGTATTATCAAATGTATTTTGTACACAACTCTTATGTTTTGAATCCGTTGTTCAGTATCTTAATGCGAATTTCCTTGTATGGGGATGGGATATGACACACACATCTAACAGGAATAGGTACGTTTAATGAATATTACTCTTTTTTTTTTTTATTATCTAAAATACTAATATTTTTTTCTTTTAGAATACTAAGATCTGCATCCCAAGCTCTTGGTCAAATGGCTGAAGTAACATTGAGAGCTATTGACGTTAATAGATTACCAGCTTTAGTATTGATTACACGTAATCGATCCAACACTGAAATTTTATCCGTTATAAATGGTATACTATATTGTCATTTTGTTGTATTATATTTTTCAAATCAATTTAATATATTATGGTCATTGAATTGCAGGTGACTGCAACATAAGTGAATTGTTGTCGAGCCTTATAAATGCTCAAGAAATGTTTGCTATGCAACAACAGGTGGAAATCAAGGAAGAAGGGGAACGAAATATGAGAGAAATGATTAAAGTGGAACAAGATGAAGCTTACCAACAGTCTTTAGCTATAGATCGGTTTGTAACAAATTTGGTGATGTTATGTTCAATAAAATTAAGAAAAATTTTTTAATGTAGAGCAAAAGAAGAAGCTAAAAAAATGCAGGAGATGGAAGAAGAAGCCATCAGATCTCAAATTGAACACCAAGAAAGACAAGTTGCTGCGGAAAAACAAGTATAGCATTTTAATATAATTTAAATAAATATAATTTTACCTTTTTTTCCAAACAGGCTATAAAACAACGTATTGAAGCTTCTCTTCCAGCAGAACCAGGACCTGGCGATCAAGTAGCCAAGATAAGGTTTAGATTACCACTTGGGAAATTTTTGGAAAGGAGGTTTTTGGCAACAGAAAGCCTACAGGTATAAATATTGCAGAGTTTTAATATTGCAATTTATTATATTGTAAAATATATGAAATTGGTAACACTTAAGCAAAATATAATTGTTTAATTAAAGTAAATAAATCTTAAGAGCGCTACAATTTGTATATAATATATTGCAATGGTCATAATTTAATTTATTCAATGGACCATTGGATAAATGGAAAACTCGCTCATACGTTTAATGTCCGTTATTCCCGCCAATCGAGGCTTAGACGGTTTAGATTTGGCATTTTTGGGCTTAGAGCTGGCTGCCGACCTAACGCTACCAAACAAGTTGGCCCCAGAGAGAGGTGCAGGTGGACGGTTTTCCCCAGACAGTTGCCCGCCCGGAGGAACAAACCGCCAGTGGCCGAGATTCGAACCTGCGACCGTGCGTTGATGCACTGCCGCCTTATCTTACTTCGCCACGCGCCTGCACCATTGTATAAAAACTAATAGATTTATTTTGCTAATATTTTTTTTTTTTTTTTTGCTTTACGCGCCATTTAGGCGCTTCGCAGCTTCTACCAAAGCTCTCCAAACTTCTCGATCCTCTGCATCCTCAATACTTGCTCCATTGCGTAATCTCTTCAGGTCGTCCTTAACTCGGTCCAACCACCGTTGTCTTGGCCTTCCTACAGGTCGTTTTTTATTTGGTTTGTTGATGAGTACCTGTCTTATCAGTCCACCCTCTGCACGCCAAACATGGCCAGCCCACTCTAACCTTTTCGACCTTAGAAAATCTTTTAAATTGGCTGTATTAAACAGACTGTTTAAGTCAGCGTTTTTTCTTCGCTCGTATACACCAGTATTGGGGTTTAATATAGGCCCATATATTTTTCTAAGTATTTTCCTTTCGAAAGTCAATAGGTTATTCTCGTCACCCTAATATTTGCTAATTTACTATAACATTTTAAAATCAATTATATATTTAATTATGAAGTATTGACAACAAATATTTACACTAATACTTATGTGTAATTTGTATATTTTTTAGGTTTTATTTGATTATCTTTATGTCAATGGCTTCAGTCAAGAGGAATTCAAAGTTATATCAAGCTGGCCGAGGAGAGATGTAAGTTAAAACTCCTCAAATGTTTTTTAATTTATAAATAATAATTGTGTGTATTATGTTAATATAATTTAGTTAACAACATTAAATGCAGCACAAACAATGAAAGAACTAAATCTTTACCCGCAAGAGACATTAATTCTTGAAGAACGATAATTGTCTTCTATTGTAAAATTTACATCTGTATAAAAAAAATGTATTTGTCTTACATATGGTTTTTTTAATTATTATTATTTAATTTAAAATATTAGATGATTGTTTATTATTATTAAAGAATATATAATTTTAATGCTTTTAAGCTACTCTATACATTTTTAATAAACTATTATCAATTAAATGGGATAACAATCAAAATTACTTGAGGGCGCCACACTTAATAGTTAATATTATATAATATGTACAGAACATTTTAAATTTTGGCAGGATAATTTTGGTGACACAAAAAGAAAAAATAAACAATGTACCTGGTTTGTTGGTTGTTTAATTTACACGAGGTTTGGTTAAACTAATTAAATAGAGCAAAAAACCTCTACATCCAGCAGTGTATAATAAAATTTAAAATGTTAATCTACATAGAACAGAAGACAAGTTTTACAAATAAACTGAGGCCAAGGTGTGGTGTCCTCATAACTCGATAAGTAGGTAATTCGTATAAGCAGACATAATTTTAGAAGTAAAACTTAAAATTTTTGTAAATAGACCTTTTTTAAAAAAAAAAAGTCTTCAATAGTATCATGTCAAGTAAGTTGTTTTATATTTTATTAGATGTCAAATGAATTTGAGTTTAAACTGTTTCTGTATTATTACATATTATTACGAAAAAAAAATTGACAATTGGTTACAAATATTTAGTAAAATTTAAGAAAACAAGCAAATCTTAGCTAAGTTAAAAAAAAATAGATAAAATCAACTCATACCAAGATCATTTTTAACACAAAAAAAATTATCATACAAGATGTAAAAATGCCGACATAATATACACTTTTTAAATAAACTTTAATGTCTGTTGTCCTTTGAGTAACTTTTGGCTTTTACGGTTTGGCATTAGAGTAGAACTTGAACGTTTACGAAGATTATATGACTCGAAATTGGACATCTCCAGTTTTTTCTGAAGATCTAAAGCTACTAAGTAATCTTCATTTTGTTGGGCTAACAATTTCTCCATCTGTGTAATTTGTGCAAAACAAAATCTACAAGGTGGTACATTGTTGTCAAACTTGCCTAACAAACGTCCACAAGTACACGTATCTTCTTCTTCTATTACCATCGACAAATCTGTAGTCGACGAACTTGAGTAGGAATCCGTGTAAAAACCTAACCATTAAAAAATATTAACATGACTGTCAAAAAAAAATTACTGAAAAAAATGCCTACATACTTGAAGAACTACTAGACGACGAAATATTTTCTTTGTTTTGAATACGCTCGAATGCATCAGATTTTTTTGTTTTTAAATTACCTGAAATAAATTATTTTTATAAATATTGAAATCACAATTACAACAATCATTTACTTACTGAACATTTTGTCTAAGGGACCCGATTTGTTTTGATCAGGCTGGAAATTATTGAAATTTTTATTATATTATTAATTATTTATTATCGTATAAAATTAAAATAACGGTTATTTATTTTTTAGATACTATTATTGAAAGTAAAATGCATCTAACTATCATTTACACCTGTTTATATCAAATTAAATTATTATTATTTCTCTCAATTCTATTTAAAATGAGATTGGATTTTTAACTAGTCTACCACATTTTTTATTGAAAAAGACAAGATGATTTCAAACTGATATCCTCAGTACTCAGTACTGGTCAATTACTCCCTATGGTTATATTTGTTACTAGTTACTTACTTTAATGATTAAATTGGTAAAAGTTATTATGAATTTAAAACAGATGAATACTTGACTAGGCACAGTTTTAATTTTAAACAAATATGAAATAACTATGCCAACATAATCGTAAGAGAAATATAACACAGTAGTATTACATTAAGATCTAAAATTTTTACTCAAACTTCAACTCACCTCTCTACTGTCAATTTTCTTTTTATTCAGAGCTCTAATTGTTTTTTCTTTCTCCAGAGTTAATGACAACTACAAAAATAATAACAGAACATGAAAATAACCAATTACAATTAAAAAAAAATTACAATTTTTACCTGGCTTTGTACTGTAGCTGCATACTGCATATCAAATTCATTTAATAGTTGTTCTTGATGAGTTTGTTCATCTATCTATAAAGAATATGTAGTATATTAAAAATCATTGCAAAATTTGACTTCAAATATTATTTATTAAATAAATACGATCTTGCATTACTTCGTTTTGCATAGTTGTTGCAAGTCTTAGATCTACTTGAGATAGTTCGGCATTTTCGGCATTTCTCGCTCTCAAATTAGCTTCTTCCTCTTCCTTAAAAATAATTTAAGCAACATAATTAAAACTAAAATATTTGTTTTACATGTTTTATGGTTATATACAAAAATTGGTTAATTGATATTAAAATAAAATACTAGGTGAAATTTAAAAAAGTCAAAACTCTAATTCTTCCAACTAATTAGGGCTTAAAATGTACATTTATAACATTTTATTAACAGTGATAAGGTAGGCAATTGAAAATTTGGGAAAAATAAAAAGCTGTTAGAAGAAAAAAATGATATGTAGGTATAACTTGCAATTTGTTTTAATTGCTCTTTATTTTAAGTTATTTTTTTAACAATGTTTAAAATAAATCGTCAAAAAGAAAGTCAAATGAAAATATTTTAAAGAAATTATTTCATATATTAGCTTTGGCATTTAAATGTGTAAATGATAAGTTTTAAATTTAAGTTGCTTATTTCTGGAAAAAAAATGACAATTTTAATCACTACATACTTGAATTTTTTTGGCCAACTCTAAATTTTGAATCTCTATTTTTTGTCGTTCTTCTTCTATTTGTTTTCTCATATCTTCAAATTCTCTGCCTATCACACCGGGTTCTATTGAAATTCGATTGTAACCTTGGCTAACAATACCTTTAAGATGAAAATAATGCCGTTTAAGAAGTGCTTATATTATGATATTATTTACAACAAGTTTTCAGATAAAAATTTAGACCAATAATATTATTTACGTTCTTCAAGGCCGTCATCCTCGTCATTCAGTCTTTTTTTTATTTCTTCTGGAAATTGTTGGTTTATAGCTTTCCATAAATTCTCATTGACCAACGCATTCCAATTATGCTTGTATTTTCGAAGCCAGTTGCTAATGCGCCGACGACACGTTGGACACTGATATGCAGTTATGTTGACCATACTCTTGAAACATTCCAGGCACAGTGTATGATTGCAAGGCATAGTCACTGGTTGCAAGTAAATACATCGGCACGCAATGCAAAATACATCTTCTATCGTCAACTCTTTTAGAGCTTCTTTTTTTCTCTGTATACATTGTTTTTTCTTATGAAAAATTGGTTATAAAAGTGTATAGCTAATATATAAACTATTAGTTTATACAAAAACATTAGGTTTAAACACTCACCGAACTCATACTTTAATCACAGAATAAATTGATCTGTGCTTAATTAGTCAAAATCAACAAGTGTATTTTCCAACGCTAAACGTCAGTTTACTGTCTCGTGAACACGTCCCATAGTGAAACTGTGCAAACTGAAAAGATCTCTGGAGTCTGGGTCTGGACGACGAAGACGGTGAACGATTCAGCGGGAAATAAACCGTATTCTGTAACGGACAAAGCCAGCGGTCGAGTGTGGCCAACGGTCGAATTTTATCAGTCATACCGTAGCAGAGGTGGCACTGGAATTTTGAAATATTATAAAACTCGTTACTTTGTCGGCCGCGCACAAGGCACATCGGCTGCACAAAACCATAATTGAAATATACAAGGTTGTTGCACATTTAGCCCATTTTTCATCAAATATTCGATGATAAAATCAAATATGTACAGCATAACGGGCGGCCAATCAAAATCAAGTATACTATAAGTATACGGTAAAATATATAGTAATATTAAAAATATATAGTAAAATTGTTATCCCGTTTCTCTGTCATTTTATTTCTGAAGATAACAATTCGAGGCACTGGACTCAATATGTGGAACGCGTATTCAGATTGAAAAATGACCCCACCTAGGAGGCAGCCATTTTGTGTACATTTTTATAGAAAGTAAAAATTATACGTCATTTTATCTATTCTGTGATAACACCGTCGTATATTTATATATATGATAAATCATAGAAAAAACAATAAACATCATGGATAAAACAATAAAAATACACAAAATGGTAGCCTCCAATCCCGGGGACATTTTCATAAGCAGCCGGCTATAGGCAATACGCGTTCCATAAATTGAGTTCAGTGATTCGGGACAATGTGCAATAACCTGTATATTTCACCATGCACAAAATTCAAAACCTATAATCTAATCTGTACTGTGTATACCTATATAGGTACATGGTTTTATTTATAAATCGATGAATTAATGTTAAAAGAACGAGTAGAAATAGGAATGACAAATATATACATAGGTATATATGAAAATATGTTTATACAAATTATAAGTTAACTTTTAAGTTGATAACACAGAATCACAGATATATAACATAATATATTATTTGATACACACATAAATCCCACAAAAATGGCAGACGTTGACTTCCATTCTAATCACTAATTAGCAATCAAGTTTATTATATATCTGTGTTTAAAATATAATTTTGTTGACTGAAAATAGACTATGATTAAAAACTAGAATTTTTAACCTATTCTTGCTTAAAAAAAGTTTCAATGATGTGAATTACTTGAATAGTGCATACGTATTCGCGGTATTTCAACATGTTTAATATTAATTTTTTACTTGATAGTATACCCACATCAAACATTTTATCTGCGATATGCCCATTGATTTTACAAAATGCATTATTATATTTTATGAATGCTAATGAACACATGTATGATGTGCGTAACAGATGTGATTTTTCTTGTATTTTTGTGATTATTTTTTTGAGTGTTTCACAAAGATATAACACATGAAATAACTTGTAACGAGTATTTTTTAAATTAATTTATACTCATTTGCGCTATAAACACCACGGCGGTTGTTGTTATTGCTGTTAAGTATTTTACGTTTTTATTTTGTATGTTGCATTTTTGTTAAGAATAATTCACTGAGAATTTTGACTTGCCGAAAACCGATTTTGGATAATTACTTTTAAAGTTATTTAAGTTTAAAGTCTAGGATGGGAGGTGGAGTGCGGTAGAGTAATGCGCGCAGATATACACTTTTTTGTTTACATTGTTAAGTGACCACTGACCACCTTCTGCTTTAATCTATTCTGTGGCATTATTATTATTACATTCAATGGATGGCAGGCATCGTCGAAAAATAGCCATGCAAGAAACTAAATATCTATAATTATAGAATGTTATTCATATACATCTTATATTGTTATCTATTCGACGGTGTATTGATTTTTGAGTAATTGACGGACACTGTTTGATAGGTTTGAACACGACTTATATTTTTAGAAATTTAAATAGTCCTATAAAATATACAGGCAACGAATCGTATAACTGTGCCATAGAACGGTTCAAAATGTTGCTTTATTCCATTTTTTTTTTTATAATAGTTATTTAATTTTAATCTTTTGTTCAAGGTATTTAAGTGCACCACTATCGTATAATAAAACCAGGATTTTTTTGTATTTAGCATATTAATTGTAATAAATTGTAATTACAATTCAACATTTTTCCAGTCGGCAAATACTTGATCTCAACCCCCACCCCCATCAATATTTCATAACATTGGCCCTGACCACACTCCACATCCCGTCTTAAATTTTAACCATTACCAACTTAAAAAGTAATTATCTAAAACTGGTTATGAACCAGTCAACATTTTCAACAAATTATTCTTAATAAAATGGCTCTTAGTTAAAAAAAAAAAAAAAAATTAAACAGTAAAAGCAATAAAAACCGTAGTGTTTATAGCACAAATGAGTAAAAATTATTTTAAAAAAAAATCTTAAAAATATTCTCTAGAACAAAAGTAATTTCATATGACATATCTTTGTGAACAGGTGTGTATGTAAATGTATATATATATATATAATTTTAAGACTATGTATTTGAAAATTATAATTCCGTAGCAAGACAATAAATAATAATTATGTTTTGCGAATGATAAATACGTTCAGAATTCTGCGTAAATGATTGTGGCGTATTCATTTTAGATATAATTGTTTAAAAAATGTATCTATTAGGTATTACTATTACTATAGTCTACTTACAAGCAAAACCTTGCAGTACAGATTTATTATTGCAAAATGAAATATTACACACATATTTCAATGAAGAACTGTATATTATAATTTATAAAATATAATTAAATTTGTTAAATTATTTTATGGTTGTGGTGAAATTATTAAAACTTTAAAGCGTTGTTCTCTTTTAAATTTGTATTAATCTGTAAGTGAGTATATTATGTCAAGGTTAAACAGTTGGTTTCAAAGTTTTGTTATTATTATAGCTATTTGCCCACCACAGAATTAGAAAGAAAATAATATATTTGGCAGTTTGGATGGTTTCCAGAAGTTTTGTTATGATTAATGATATTATCTCAGTAAATTCTACGCTATTAACCTGTGGAAGATAAATATAACTTAAATTCAGTATAATACACAGAAAACGTCGCAAAGTGATCTTAAATATATTTATTTGAACATTAAAATGAACTTATTCCTTTATACTCAAAAGTCAAATATTATATTGACAAAAGTCAAAACATAATAGTATGTTAAACTGAACAATAAAAAAATAATAGTTGAATGATTTACAAATGTTTTATTTTGCAATAGCCAATAAACAATCGTATATTACTATTAGAAATCGATATATGTATAATGTAATAGACATTCCTTTGATTGTACTCTACAGAAGATATATTTTAATTAAAAACATTTACTGGAACAATTGTTAAAAAGTTAAAACTGAACGAGGAAAATCTTAGCTCGAATTTCATCAATTTGCTCGTTTAGTATTTTTGTACTAGATTACTTTTTAGAAATTTGAAATTTGTTTATTAAAATCGCACTGTTTCAAGACTTAAAATTAGTATTATAACATCTATTGTTCTTTTGTAAATCTAGATTATAAAAGTCCCACTTCTAATTTATGTACGTAAATTACCACGTATAACCAACGATAATAATTCACAATTTGTAATAAAATTGTATTCACTATTTACTACCAATATCGTGGTAAATCAAATATCATGGACAAAATTAGTAATTTTAAGAAGTCCCGGCCCCCGGGGTCTGTCCCGCTAAGCAAACAGTAAAGAATCATGACATTTGATAATTTTAGTTTTTGTGCCATAGACATTTTTAAGTCCTGTTTTACAAAAAAAAAAAATGTACAAAAGCTAAAGTAGAGGCTTGCCGCTTGACCCACAAATATGCCACTGTGTGATTTACAATATAAAATACCGATAGCACAGACTACATAATAGAAGATGTAGATGAAGATGTTCATTTTACAGAAATAAAAATAATGACATTTAGTAAGTGCTCATAGTACGCTGTAGCAACACTGTGTCGGTCCACGGATACTGATAAAAATGAACATGTAGTGAATAGTGAATAGTATTAATTACACAAAAACGCAGCACGTCAAAAGGGCGTACGTTTCAATTTGCATTGCACGTGACTCTTCTGTGGCAGTGTCATAAACAAAATAGAGATAATAACACAAAAAAAAAAAAAACAATTACGGATCTGAATATAATAATTTTAGATTATACTCGACAGCAGCTGACACTGTCATCTTTTAATATTTTATGCGCTTAGGATGGGTCAAATGTATCGATATGTTGAAATATCGATAACTATTGACTTAAATTAACGATACATTTTGGTATTTAGTAATTACAGCACGATGATATAGTACCGATATCGATATAATTATATTGTTAGGAATAGAAGAACTATACGGATGTATCAAAATTGAAAATATTAATAGTTAGAAGTTTATACATTATATATTATCAAATATCAATATATTTTGACATTTGCAACTGGACGATATCGACACATTTGTACCGAAGGTGTTTATCCGTATTATGCGCACTTTGCCGTGGCTTACTCATCTCAGCTGTTATGCGACACTCGTTATCAAAGTACGCTCTGTACCACGAACTTAGAACGCATTATATTCTGTTGTCTAGCGTGTCATACAACAAAAATGACGGCGTAGTCAACCGCATTGTAATTACGTTACTGTGAATAGAAAGTACACAAATATAAATATTTATATTGTATTCCTATGACGTTCGCGTTGCGTGCGTGGGGACAAGTGGTTACCCTGTACCCGGGACGCCGCGCCGACCGTACAGGGATAACAGTACGGCGGGGGCGACCGCCCGACGCGCCGCCGCACGTCCCACCAGGTCGGCGGGGAACGCGCGAGGGAGGAGGTCCGCGATTGAGCTCGTGTAGTCGATGGACGATGAACGCCGCGGACGCGGTAGTATGCCTTTGTTATCAGCCGAGTGTATTCGCGCCAGGTGTCTAGTGAAATCCAATTTGGTCGGGCCGCCCACGAACGTCCACAGCACGAGAATGCCCAACATCAAGGTATTCAGCGGCACGTCGCATCCGGATTTGGCGCAAAGGATCGTCGACCGGTTGGGCATAGACGTCGGCAAAGTAGTCACCAAAAAGTTCAGCAACCTGGAAACATGGTGAGACCTCGCTGGCGCTACGCAGTGCACAACATAAATTGAAATGTACCATTAATTACAATGTTATCGGCACGACGACGACGACGACGATCGTCGCCGTTCGGACCGACGCACATATAAATCGATTAAAAACCGCGAATCCGCCATTTTTAGGCTGTTACGTTTCGTAGTAACGTACGTACGTTATCGATCAAGCGGCGGCTGGCAATATCCAACGCGGATATCGCCGGCGGCTTAACGAATTTCTTCTGATTTGCACGAAAAAACCAACTTCCGTACTATGCTGGTTTTTTTATTATATTTTTTGCCTCTGCACAATACCGCGCGTTATTTAGGTTAGGAAAATAAGGTTTTACCGCCGACCGACGTGCAACACCACGTGGGCTCTCATCCGGATTTCGCGACGGCCGTCGCCACAGAAAATCGAGATGATTAGAATTTCGATTTTTTTTGTACATGTTTTAGTTTAGACTGCCGTTTTCTCTGTATTAATATATATTTTTTGAACGCTAGATGCTATTATTTGCGTCTCCTAGTCGGCGGTGCTCTTATGTCTTGATCAATACGGCTGTTCCCACGAAACCATCAACGACACATAACATTTTGACGATACAAATATTATCGTGTCGTTTTCTCGTGTGTTTTTTTTTTTTTTATTGTGATCAGTTCTTAGTACCTAAAGTTTATGTCAAATGGAAATATTTCCACCCACATGATAATATCTTTGAAAATCCTGAAATGAATACTGGCTTAAAAATATTGAAATGTTTTTGTTCACTCGAGTTATTTTTATTTACATTTTTCTGTAAGACGTTAATGATAGAATACAAAAATGTTCTAATTAATTTACAATAGTCTGGCCTGTTTACTTTTGTCTGCGCAAGTCTGTTAGCTTGTGGGTCAGAGTATAATAAAGTATGGGTCTATTAACATGTCGGCTTAATATCATCAGTTAGCCCATGTTTGAAAGTGAGTCGTTAATTTTAATGAAATTTTTGTAGATTGGAGGAAAATTTGTAGTATTAAAATAAAGAAGAAGGATTGATTAAACTAATAAAATTAGAGGTCACACTGCATTTAACATTTTACATTTATTATAATTACTGAAATTTAGATAAAAAAAAAAAAAAGATTGTCGCACTATTGCAGAATTATAACTGATAATATTTTAACTGTAATTAATATCATTATCAATAATAAATAAAATATGCTCAATACTTGAAAAAGTGCACAAAATATTGCTAATATTTGAATCTAGGTGGGTAAATTTATTATAGTGTTTAAGACTATATTTCAGTGAAAAACGTTTGCGAGAAATTCATACTTAATTTATATTTATTTTTATTACATTTTAGTGTTGAAATTGGTGAATCGGTCAGAGGGGAAGATGTTTATATTATACAAAGTGGAAGCGGAGAAGTCAACGATAATTTAATGGAATTGTTAATTATGATAAATGCTTGTAAAATAGCATCGGCATCTCGCGTAACGGCTGTTATTCCGTGTTTTCCGTACGCCAGGCAAGATAAAAAAGATAAGGTAAGATTTCTCACTTGCAATTTTTCGTAGGCGTTTATAATTGTTTTTCATTATTTATAATTTACCTATTTACTTGGCTCGGTTGACTTGAAATCTTAAACATCGCGGTACTTGTTAAATACATTTTGCTAACAGATACTAATTACTATCTAAATACTTTTTTATTATAATTTGAATGTACAAATATAATAATCGTTTGTCGACAGTATTTAAAAGATTCATTAAATATTTAACATTTTTACAATTCTTCTTAAAAACTTTGATGGCAGACATTACCAACTGAATCCAATTAGTAAATATTGAAATTTTAAAGTTTTTTGATATAGATAACAAAACATATGATTTATAACCTTTTATAATTGAATTTCAAAAAATCATGTAGGGTTAAAAAAGCAAAAATCTACAAAATTCGATTGCATTATTATACACTTGTAAACATTATTCTCGATAATTAAAAGATCTTTTTTTGCCTGTAATACTTTATTGTAGCTTACAAAATTTGTATACAATCAGTCGAATAGATTTTAAAAATATTTATGGTCATTGCAAAACAAGTAATCATCCATTTTTTTATTAAACTTTCACAAAATACTTTTTGTGATGTCAACTTCAATAAATCATAGTTGTTTTAAAAAATAATACCCTATAGATATAAATTGTTTGTTATGTTTTCTTAACTCGGCATTGATCACTTGACTGGTTACAAACACCTATCAATGATATATTGGTTAAACAAATTGTATAGGTACGTACAAAATCAATTTCTTTGTGTAAAATAATCAAAACACAAAAAAATAATAGCTAACCACGAAAAAAAAATATATAAATTGCCGCCCCAGTAGAACAATGACACAACTGCAAGTTACGCATTACAGTTATGTCGTTTATCTACCTAAAGCGTTCGCTTTATCTAAACACATTGAAGCATTTAGTTAATTTATACCTAATTTTGCAGTTGGTGTCATTGTTTTACCGGGGCGGCGATATGTATATCATTGTAAATACATACCTATATTAATTTTTGAATCTATAAATCTAATTAACTACATTAACATAATGTTTGCTTTTTTCCCCCGCTCTGTATATTTCTTTCAAGCCATTTCAAGTTTTCGTACTTGCGTTTAATCATACAGGTATTATATTTAAGTATTAAAAAAATAAACAACATTTGATGCTTATTTGATAATTCCGAAGATGTCATTTAATGATATTGTTTTTCGCTGTTTATGATGTAAACAAAAGAATGGCGACATACCCGAGAAAGACAATATTATATCAAGGGCAACAGTCAAGTGCAATGAATGGAAGTTTCGGGTATAGTTTTTATTCAATGAAAAATTATTTAATTATCTGGGCACTTCATTAACTAAAATATGTATACAAATATATTTCTATTAAATCATTTTTGGGGATATTATTTATTCAAATTATTATTCATGTGTTTGTTCGTTTTAATTTTTGTGTTAAAAGTTAACTATTATTTCTATTTGAATATAACATAATGTTATTCTCACTGCGTCACTTTCAACAGCCGCCCACGCTTTAATCTCGTTAAACAAATCCACAATGTGTACTATACGTGAGATGTCCAGCACACTTTTGTAAAATCTAAATAACATTACAATAACCATATAATATGTTGAACGTTCATTGTTGTGTACACGTAACAAAATATTGTACTCTAGTTGTTAGTACGTTATGGCTTATAATTCGTTTTTGAACAAAAAACAACTTCAGCTGGTGCTGTGCCAAAAGTAGCAGCTCGTGTTTAATTTGTAATGCTTCATTGACAAGGTTGATGAGTCTGTTTAACACTTTTTTTAATGTGGCTTAACCTATATTGGTGTTACACGTAGAAAATAACTGCCAAGGTGCTATAATATCTAGTGTGACCACACACAGTGCCAGGCTAAGGGTAGGATAAATGGGACAGGGCCACACAATGTTTGTTTTTAAAACTTTTTTTTTAGTGGAGAGAAGGATTTCAAATTAAGATTTATCGGCGAATAAACTAATTTAATTTGGAAGTTATCTCTATTTGACCTTTGGCTACAGAAATTAATGACTGACAATAATTGTTACAGCTTTTCTATAATTTTTTGATTCACATGACTAACGATTTTGACTTCTTTCTTGTGTTTTCATAATTTTAATAACATATCATTACTAATTCAATTCCTCTGCAAAACCTTGCGCCAGATCTCGGCTCTCAATTTGCTCACGTATATGTATTATAAACCTAAAAGTATTATCAAGGTATGTTAGAAGAATTACTTGTATAACTTACGATAGATTTTGAATATTTTCTCAACTTAATTGTTTTTGACTTATATTGTTTGCGTGATTCTGTTCTTGCCAAACATTAGTTTGTATTTTATTTACTCCCATTATTATTGTTGATGTACAAATGAACAACAATAACAAGATTATAAATTTTGGTACTTCGAACAAATGTTAAATATTTTTTATTATTTCAATTGTAATATTATAACCCATTGTAAAGTTAACCAAACAAAAACATAATATCTAATTTAAAAGTAAATAAAACATTGTAAATAATACATTTGTTTTTGTTGTCAAATAAAAAATAGATAAAATAAAATAGACATTGCATATTGACAATTAAATTTGTTTGTTTTTTTTTTTTTTGTTTTTTTTAATGAAAATTTAGTGTACCTTATTGTGTAAATGTTAAAACGTGTTTCTAAAACGCCATAAATGCAATTTGGATTCATTTAAATTTTTTTGTTTGCTTTATTTTTACAGGAATTATTTCGAGAATTTGTGGTCGGCAGTCAGGTGCTAAATAAATAATTTTTTTCTTAGGAGTTGCTACCTTGAACTATTGAAACCCCCCCCCCCTACCCCCTATAACAGTTAACTAAATTTGCATGATATATTGATAACTTCAATGTCTATAAATCTTCATGGTTCGTAATTGTCTATAGCGGATATTCTAAGTACCTAATATCTAACACGTTTTACTTGTCTAGAAATACTTTGGTATACTATATTTAAATCAAAACACTAAAACATGCTATTAAATCTATAAAACAAATTTATACTGAATATATGTGCTGATGTGCATGCCACTACTACTTAATGTAGATAACCACTAAATAGTCAAATGTTTTGTACAAGCTCATTTCGAGTGGATGGTTTATCAGTGGACATTTGAGTGCAGTTGTTATTTATTAAATAGAAATAATATTATAATATCATTTATTTTAATACACCTTACGAAAAATTTTTGTTATGATATATACATTTTTTAATTTTTTTTTTTTTATTAAAAAACGCTCGAAACTTCCTACGATTCACTGATTGACTAAGCCACACACAAACACTAATACTACTTTTTGTAGGGTATGCTTATTGGTGAATGGCTGGCTTTTGGTTTAAGTGATCTATATTTGTTAATAATAATAAATAATATACTCATGAGTTGTATTGTCGAAAAACATTATTAATAATTATTATAATACCTTGGTGAGAATTTACTTGTAAGATATATTTAAATAAAACGTTCCTGTTTCGCTATTTAGAGCAGAGCACCGATTTCGGCCAAACTCGTCGCTAATATGCTGTCTGTGGCCGGTGCCGATCATATCATCACCATGGATCTCCACGCTTCTCAAATCCAAGGTTTCTTTGACATACCCGTCGATAATTTGTTTGCTGAACCCGCAGTACTGAAATGGATCAAAGAGAATATATCCGAATGGAGAAATAGCATAATAGTGTCGCCAGATGCGGGTGGAGCCAAAAGGTTTTATTAACTTTTTTTTTTTTTTTTCCTATTGTTATATATCTCATGTATTTTTATTGTGTAATAAATACGTCTCGCGCAGGGTAACTTCGATTGCCGATCGATTAAACGTCGAGTTTGCTCTTATCCACAAGGAACGTAAGAAGGCCAATGAAGTAGCTTCCATGGTACTGGTTGGTGATGTCAAAGAGCGTATCGCTATATTGGTCGACGACATGGCTGACACGTGTGGTACAATATGTCATGCTGCGGAAAAGTAAAAATTAATTGACGTTTTATATATGGTTTCCTCGTTTTTATTAGAATATTTAATTCTTTTCCAGACTGACTGAAGCGGGCGCTACTAAAGTGTACGCTATATTAACACACGGCATATTCTCTGGGCCTGCGATATCTCGTATAAATAGCGCTTGTTTTGAAGCCGTCGTAGTTACCAACACCATTCCGCAGGACGGTCACATGAAAGAATGTCCAAAAATTCGTGTAAGTACATATATACCTAAAATATTTCGCGAGTGTCATTAAATTTTTTTCTCTAAACGTGTTAATGTTAAATTTCTATGTTGACAGTGTATAGATGTGTCGATGATGTTTGCTGAAGCTGTGCGGCGGACACACAACGGCGAATCGGTTTCGTATTTGTTCTCAAACGTGCCTTACTAATAACGCTGCGAGTACCTGTGAACTATGGCTAATTTTTTTTTGATAAAAATAGGTTATTATGTTAATCTAATATATAATATGCTCAATAAATAAAATATATTTATTAAAATATAACAATTTAAAAAAAAAAATGTATAAAAAAACTTGTGTCTTTTTACGTTAATTAATATCAGTTTCACTGACATACAAGTAAGGGAAATGATTGTTTAATTCAAATTGAATCAATAATTTTCCATTCAAAACAAACTAAAGTTGCCTTTTGTCAAAATTATATATATATGTGTAATAGACATTAACATAAATAAGTAATTGTTGAAAAAAAAATGATACCTATTTTTCATTACAAGCCTGTTCGAGGGGCTTGTTATTAATTAGGCTTATGTACAACTACTATTTTTTTTTTTTTTTTTAGAATTGTTTAAGAATATGTACGAAAGATCTCACTGAATTAAATTATTCTCTTATTAAAAATATTGTTGAAAAATTGAAATTGTGAACAGACCCAATATGATGTTTTGTTTTTCATTATTTGCATTTTTTCAATTGAAAAAAAAAAAGTCATAATTATACAAAATATTCATAAGTATTTAGAGGGGATTACCAGACTTTGTTTTTTTTCTTTGACGCATTATAAAAATGATCAAGAATTAACTATTTCTTTTATTCATTTACAACTTGTTCACTGCACTCAAATAGTTATTGATTGTTTTAAGTAGTTGTTAAAATATACAAATTTTAAAACAAAACATTTAATTTTTCTATTTGCAACAAACTGCTGCAGCAAATAAAATCGTAACTTGATTTTTGAAACTTGAGGAGAGCAAAAACCGTATCAATTTTGAATTCTTATTCAAATTGTTATACTCTTTTTTTTTTTTTTTTAAACGCTTTTTTCGTCGGAGTAAAGAAAAAATATGACTTTGTTTTTGTTATCAACTCCAAATTGAAAAAATCAAGTTAAGTCTTTTTTTGCTGAGGTAGTCAATATGATTTGAGAAATAATTATTTTTTTTATAATACTACCATTTGTTTTACGTTGCGTTGAAGAAATATTTTTTGTTACAATTACTTTTAAAAATTCATCATTTTTGTTATAAATTACTATACAATTATTGTATTTATATTATTATTTTTATTATTAATGATTAATTGTCCAAATTAAAAGTGATTATTTTAATATAGAAATTTACTTGGCATATTTAATCTAAGCTAGTTGTGTTCAATTGTTGAAATAAAATTCCTATTTTAACGACTGTTTGTACTTACAAGGTTTGCCACAACGGATAGCCATTGCCGTCAGGTTAAAATCTGCAACGTTATTATACCAACATTAAGGTCAGGTCTCTAGATCAATAATAATAATAATATCTGATCGCTAGGTTTCGATCTGTCTCTTGAACGTTCATGGTAATTGGTATCCACTTGAGAAACCAATAGGCATTTCTTTATACATGCTAACGGCTTCTCGTGTCAGTTGGTAGTAAAATTGTAAACAAATTGAAATTAAAAATTCATAAAAACCAAAGGATAATAACGTGATATCAACAAATAGATCACTTGTAAACAAATTTATTTGAATAACGTAAAGTACAAGTTTAATTTTTCTAAATAATTTGGTTTGAAGTTAGTAAAAACGAATAATGCGTTATTGATTGAACTTCAATTATTTTTCAGCTACTGGTTAGAGTATTTTTCATTTTATTTATTTCATTACATAAGTTTAAATAAGCAAAACTTTAGTCGGTTTTACGATCGCAAATAGCAACCAGCCGCTGTAATGGTAATAATGTTTCACTAAATCAAAATAATAATCTGACATGCCCGAACTGGGTAAATGTAAATATTTACTTACAGGTAAAACTGGATAGACGATTGATTATTGTTGTTATGTGTCTTTTGAATCTCATTAGAGTTGTGCAAAAACGTTAAGAATAATGAATGAAAAACAAAAAGTTAAGAATAATCCGTTGTTCGCTGAATTAAGAATAATTTTTCATTCTGAATAACTTTATTCGCGATTAAAAATATATATATTTATTTAGAATGTTTTTAAAAGTGAATTTTTTTTTTTATTTGCGCCACTGAATGATAGTATTTTCGTGGTGTTCGGTTTGATTACAAGAAAAATCTCTAAAAAAAAAATATGCACCTAATTAATAAAGTATTCGAGTAGAAAAATAAACATTTATTTAAGTTTTTAATTTAACCATTTTTTGTTTTAATAAAAAATCGTTTGATATCATAAATAAAATGTTTACAAGTATAAGATAGATTTTTGTTAAGTAGTGCTAAAATGGTATTGTTTTAATAATGTTAAACATAGTAAACTTTATACTGCGTATTCGAACTTTGAATAAAATTGCCTATACGAAACCCCTTAATAAATGCAGATACAACGTTCTCGTTTAATTTCTCTTAGTTCCAAATTATCTCGATTGTCGATTAACAATAGCGCAAAAAGTTTCATTTTTTTTTTTTGGGTGTTGGGTTAGATTAAGTGTTACACAATATCAATCAAAACTCACTCGCTGAGTACATATTTTCTCATAAAATAATTGCAATTTCGTAGTTTTTCTTTTTGAAGACGCCGAGTTGAAGTTGTTCTACAATATTTGAAAATATTCAAATTTCAACCTTTTTTAAATTTTTTTCCAGAGCTCTATCAATTTTTAAATATAAGTATACTCTATAATATTATATACTTAGTTTCGATTAAGAATAATTGGTCGATAACCAGTTTTTGTTATGTTAATTAAGTTTAAAATTTAGGACCGTGCGATAGAGTGCGATTGACTAATGTGCGCAGATCAAAAAAAAAATACTGCACGCCACCTTTTTCCCGTCTTAAATTTTGAAATTAAATAACTTTTAAAATAACTGTCCAAAACTGGTTATCTCGACAGTAAAAAATGTCAGCAAATTATTCATAATTAAAAAAAGTAAACTAAATATGTACGTTACCATTTAAAACTTAAATGTTAATGTTAAACAAAACTTGATAGAACTTAAATGTTTTATGGTTTGATAGAGCTCTGAAAAATTTTTTAAAAAAATGGTAAATAGGTATTTCGTAATTTTACAGTACCCATTTTAAAATAACATAAATTAAATGCTTCTGGTATAACTGGGTGGTCTTATTAAGTCTTTGGTCCTGTACTGTTTGATTATACCAAAGGTCGATGTAAATTAATGGATAATTGCAGGTAATGGACGACCGCGGTTACAGTTTAAAAACGTCCGTTCAATGCCAAAACAATTATTACCGTGTATTTAAATAGCTATTCTAAGTTTTCCATAATGATAATTATTATATAATATAATTTGCCGGGTCATCGTCGTGTGGTTATTTTTAAGTATTACACATTTGTTGATACATCGTATTATAATATCTGTCGCTCATTTTAATAATAATAAATATTATTATACAGTGCGGCGTTTTTTTAATCTGTATAATAATATGCGATTTGCGAATATTTTTTTTTTTTTTTTTTGTTTCTTTTTTTTTTTTAGGCCAACAATTATTATTATTATTATGATTTAATAGGCCGCTTGCGCGTACAAATTACAAATAAAATATCCGCTTAAGTACACCGTGTGTTGCAAACATTTTATTTCTCTTGATCGTATTATCATTAATTGTAGTTGACGCATTATTTTTAGTAATTTTAATGTTATCCCGCGAGCCTAACCTAACCTGGATTGAATACATTCTCGGACACTCTTTGACCTCGGTCAATTAACGAAATAAAACAATTTCTGTTTTAAGACGTCTCTGTACTACATACATATTCGAAAAATAATTATAACTCGAACGCAATGCAAAAAAAGACCCCGGTGACCTTAAGCCAATGACATTTTCGAATTTTCAGTTGTCGGTTCGTTATTTTGAAATTATTATTATTAATCGTATTAATAATTAATAATATTTGGTCGTTTGAAAGTTAGAATTTTTATTGAAACAAAAGAGTAAGTATATATTTTACTAACCACCGACCTCCGCCGGCCCAGAATAAATCAAAATTTTAGATATTATTTCCCGGATACGCGATTGAGGTCAATGTTGGGTTTGAGATAGTAGTACACTGATGCATCACAATAGGTAGGGGCAGCTATTTTATGTATGTTAGCTTGTTGTACCCTGTAAATAATTATTATTTCTTTGCACCGATTACCTAATACCGAGTGGTAAAAACGTATACCTTAAAACAACAGCGGTGTAATAAAGTAGCAAGGTTTATTTTATTTGACTTTTTTTTTAAATTTAAAAATATACAAACAATAAGAAATTTAATCGCTTTCATACCTAATTATAATAAATATACACAGAATATTTATGAGAATAGTCGGTATATAATTATATAGTATAGAAGTAATAATAGTAGTACACAGTATTTGAATTATTTTTCGGTATTCCGTTCAACATTTAAAATACAAGTACAATATTATTTTCTTCGCGTATAAACAAATTTAATTTAATAATAATATGCATACAACAACCTTAGTCCGTACATAGACGTTATATTATGTGAAAAATTAATTAACCTAAAAAACTAAGTAAAAATTAAAAAAAAAAAAAAAACATCCGTTTTTTTTTCTTATTATTATTTATCGGCCTAGCCCATCGAGAATTCATACAATTTTTTTCAAACAACATAAATTATATTTTACAAATTATTTTTACGTGCTAGGAACAGGTAACCAATGTAATATTATTATAATATATTGCCTTAATAAATATTTATTTAAAATTATTTTTATGTATTCGTTCTACCTACTCTTATGTAATATTATATTAATATCAAACAATCATACTCGCCGCGACTGTACGTCACATCATTTAATATATAAATATCTATATTATATATAATTTAAACATATTATCAATGTTATATTGATGTTTTACCATTTTTATTTTATTTTTATTTTTTTACAATCTAACCGATAAATAACACATTTTATTGTCCGACAGACATTTATAATATAGTATTGACACATATCAAACAATAGACATCCATTAGGTACATTTATAAATACATGCCCACATAATCATATGTACTACGTGTATATAGCATATATATATATATTATTTTAGGTATCAACATTGACGTTCATATTATATCGCCATTACAAAGCCGTAAATAATAGTAATTGTAAATGTGTGTATATGTATATATACATATATAAATATTTAAAAAAGAAACTATAATTTTAGTCGGTTACACATTGTACACATTTATTATTCATAGTATTATAATGTATAAGATATATTATTTATGTCGAACGTATTTAGATAATATAAATATATTATATATATATTTGTTAAAAGAAAACTTTTTTTTTTTACAAAATATCGCTATTATTAACAATTTTTTTTGTGTTTTAACCGTTGCTATACAAATATATTTATATTTGTAAACAATAATAGATTTGTGTGGATAAAGAATGAGTCAGAAATAGGTTCCGAGTATAATAACACGTGTATGTGTGTTGTTTTAATAATACGCTTGGCTATAATATAATATCGGTAGTTAATATTGTTGTCGTTGTTATTATTATTAATATTATTGTTATTGTTATTGTCAAAAAAAAAAAAAAAAATAATACATAATAAGTCTAGAAAAAAAAATATGATAAATACTAGAACTGGATCGGATAACAATAACAATAATAATAATAATAATAATAACAACTAGAAAATGTTAAGTTTATATAACACGTTGGTGTATATTATTATATAATATATGTTTTAAGAAAAAATGATGATAACAAAATAATTTTTTAACACTACTGGTATTAGTCGTACAACGACGGTTATTCAGGATATTTTGTTCGTTTTTTTTTTTTTGTGTAATATTTTTATATTTATATACATTTATTTATGTGGGTCTGCGTGTTTCAGATATAGATATTGATAGTGTTTATTATAATCAGTCGGCTCTTTTTACAAACAATGTTTATTTTTTTTTTTTTTAATCAGTCCTCTGTTCGATGACCAACGGCAAAGGCTGCTGGTCGATAGTGTTGTTCATGGACGAGCCACCGGAGCAGTGACTGTTCTTAACCAACTCGTCGATGTCCTCCACGAAAACGCTATCCTGGTTCGAGTGGTGGTGATGGTGGTGGTTGTGGTTGTGGTGATGACCGTCGATGGACCTCTTGTAACCGCTCAGACTAACCTACGGGGACCAGACAAATCACATACGTTCGGTTAGTGTGACCGAAGTCAGAAATCGAAATCATAATATTACGGTGCACGGTATAACTAAGACGGATAATAGCATAGATAAGTATGCACTTGAGATCACAATGGGTAAAAGTAAACTGCGCAATCGTTAAAAAAACAGTACACACAACCTAACATTTTTGGAAACTGCGTAAAGGAGCGATGGGCCTAAAATAGCCTTGTTATACAGTGACCGTTCTACACATAATTCGCCTCATCCCCCACACACTGGGTTCTATTCCTTTCTAAACCACCGTTGGTCGTTAACGCCACGTTATCGACTACTTTTCTTCGGTCTGTACGTGTACCCAGTGACTTCGTCCCGTTTCTATACCCGATTAACTTAATCAAATCTCTTCTGCATTTATGTGATCCAAGTTCTAACCAAATATGTAACCGTCGTACTTGGTACATAACACCCAATTTGACTCCTAAAGCGCCATATTGGCAATATATATATATATATTATTTACCTCCACGTTGTTGTTGGACACCAGTGGCGAGTCCGGAGGTGTCGAGTTGGGTGACATGTCGGCTGGACTGGGCAGGTGTGACGAGGCCAACAGGGCGAACGCGTCCACGCCCGACGACGGTGAGATGTTGTGGCCGGCCGCGGCCATCATCTGCTGCCGGATGCCCTGGGCAACGGCCACAACGGCGGCGGCAGCGGAGTTGGGCGACACGGGCCCTTCGCCCGACGGCAGCGAGTTGTTACCGTAATGACCGCCTGATATTGGGTCGGGCAAACACTGCGAAACAAAAAAAAAAAAAATCATGTTATCAGCTATAACTCGTTTAGGGAAAAAACACAATGCTAAAGTCCTGGTTGCGCTCGACTTACGAGCAAACAAAAGAATTTTGAAAATAAAAAAAAATCCATTTGAAAGGTTCACCCATTTATTAATTGGGGGGGGGGGGGTAACTTCGTCGATTAAACTTAATTAATTATGAGCATGAATCATGTGCAATCGATCATTGTGTTTTAAATTTAAAACATAAATCATTATATTATTAATTACCAATACAATTCTTCCCATTTGAAGATAGCAATTTAATTCAAGTATAAATATATTTATGATTAAAATTTCAACTTCAGCTATAATAGAAATAATATAGTATTTATAAATATAGAAATCTTTTTTTAAGCTTTTATTTGTTAATTAATAACATGTATATGTTATTAATTAGAGAAGGACGTAACATTTGCCATAATCTTGGATTAATTAAGAAGCTCGGTATAAGCAATTAGGAAACTTTGTTGGTACTAATTTTTTTAAATTAGATATCGTCTATTCAACGTATTTCATTGTTTTTTCCATTAACCATTAAAATTATCTTATTTAACCGTAGAGGACATAAAACCTTAAAATGTTTGGTGGTCAGGGCACCTAAACAATAATATTACATGACGTACAACAAGGGTTTTTTTTTATTTAGTTTTTCTTCTGTTTTTAATTTTGTACTTTCGTCAATTCTAATATCAAACGCCTAAGTCAGACGGGGTTTAGAGTACGTCGACCATAAATTAAAGATTTAGCACCCAAAACTCAGTTCCACTTACCGTCCAAAAATAATAACCTAGTCGAACCGGCAACGCGCATAAAAAAATTACCTTGTCTACATTTTTAAAAAATTATTTTGTGTAATTTACTTTTTATTTAATTTTTCTTTGATGTATTATGTAATCTTTCGAGCCAATAGTATTTCACCTTAAGACCGTTTACCGGCATCGAAACATATAAATACTCGACTGGAACAACAAAAACACTTATGCTACATCATCATTATCCGAGTACAATATAATAATATAAACATTACACGCCCAAAAAAATATTTAAGAGGAAGACGAGCATCTAAATAAAAAAACATTTCTTGCTAGAGATTATAATATATTAAAATAAAATATATTATTTTTATTTTGTAATTGAAGGTTTGTTATTATGTAGACAACTCACAAGTCTAACCTTGGAAGAAAAATAATAGGTATACCGATTATTCAGAATTAAATAATAGGTTTACAGATAAATATATATAATATATATATATATATATATATAATAATATTTTTTATTAAAATTGAAATGTTTAATAGAGGACATTAAACGAAGGACAGCGATAATTAATAAAAAATAATAATATAATGTAATATTTTATTGAAACAATTTTTTGGAAACTAAAAAAAAAAATGAACGCTCCTCACGCCGACTTGAATGGGGAAATAAATGAAAGTACATAAAAGGAAAAGATAGTAAAAGTTTTATTTTAGAAAACTAATTCGGCGACCCGCCGCCATGTGTGTAATTTAAAACAAAACGTGAATTGTTTATGTAATTCAAAAATAAAATAATATTAAAAGTTCAAACAGCATCCGTTAAGCGTAAAAACGAATAACAATAAAAATACACGCAAACATTTTGACGGACTACTTTAATACCGAGCATGGGTTAATAATAGTAATGTGGAATCGGTGGAGCCGATCAGAGCACATGTGGAATGGCGGTAACTACAATTATAATTGAATGTAGCTAAAAGATTTTTCAAAAATCTATTATCAAAAAAACAAAAAAAATAATAACTGTACACAAAATGGCAGTCTCTTACTAGAAGACGACATTTTCATAAGCTGCCGACTATAGGCAATACGAGTTCCATACATTGAGTAAAGTGGTAATAAATAAGTGTCTTGGTTTTGGACGGGCAAATCGAATTTAGCAAAAACTGTTTGGATAATATCGATGAAAAGTTGGCGGATACGAAGTAAATAATTAATTTGTCTTTAAATTGTCGACGTTCGAATGTTTGACGATAAAAACTTGACGCGCACACGGTATTCTATTATTTAATACAATTATTATTGTACGTTGCTCCAAACGTCATATTATACCTACGTGCCGACAATGTCCTTGGTTCGATAATAATAACAGTAATTTTGCAAGTACTACAATTACATATGTATATTACGCTATTGGCAACGTTAATAATTATTATTTTATTTACCGCCCGTGACGAAACTCAATACACGCATATGGTCCAACCAGATCCCGAACCGTCACATCTAGCTATATATTATGCTTTATATGTTACCATCCCCGCTGGACCACACCAGCATAGTCAGGTCCTGGACAGAACCCTGATCAGATATGACGGTACCCAAGGTGAACCCCTCGTTATAAAAATCCTTAAAAATAAAATTCAGCGTTTAATGGCACGGTTCCCGTATCGTGTAAATTCACTTCGCACAGATTAAACGTTTAACATAGTTAAATACCATGTTCATGAGGTTTTGCGCTGTGATTGTTTTGGTTGACTCGAAGTTGGATCTAATAAAACTTGAAAGTTAACCCAACCAAACCCCGACACTCGGTGGTAATGATTACTACGCTTCCGTTGAGTTTTTTTTTAAATTTTTACAACAGAACCAAAACCTAGCAGGATTTTTAACACTATCGGTTATGTAAAATGGGCTGGTGATATTTTGCGTGACCTTCCCGTTAGTGAATAACTACAATGTGTTTGTTTCTCACCGGTAGTCTAGGGTATAAGTGTAACGCTTCTTCTTTGATGTTTTGCGCGTCTCTGAACACCACGGTTCTGATGACGTTTTGAATGTGATCTTCGGGCCAAAAGCCCAACAGTATTCGTTGAGGACGTCCCCGGCCTTTGGGCCTCAGGTCTGAAATAATAATAATTAACAAAAAGGTAAGAGCAAACTTGAGTTGGATATTTTACACGGTATTTGGATTTGTACGTAGAAATTATAATATCTAGTAAAACCCTTTGGAAATCGGCTTGTACACAGTAGAATCTTTATTGTGAAAAACGCGAGTTTAAATTTAAATCTTGTACTCATTCTGTAATACACTTAATAATTTGTTTTATTACCAAAATCCTTAGTAAAAAATAACGCGTACGAATTCGATAAATTTCACGGGATCCAATCGATTTTTCTTTATAAGTTTATTTTTATTTACTTTTTGGTAGAGATGCGCGCGATGGGTTCATATTAAACCGTTGGCAGTAAATAAAATGCAAGAGTAAACACAAAACACATTTTTAACGATCTCTGCCGGATATTTTTTTTGTTAAGACGCCAATTGTAAAAATAATATATTTTAAATGATTATTTAAAGGACTTTCACGCAAATTATTTTTTATAAAAAACGAATAAAAATAGATAATTTATTTGTTAGGTTCACGACCCGTGAACATGTAAGCAATTATAATTTTATTATGTGTAGTTTTACAAAATATGGACATTTACGAGAAAGCATATTTATTCATATTGTTCTGCATAGGCCGTTTAGAATATGTTTAACAAAAAACTATTGTCTGTCTAGTAGAGAGACAGTTCAGGGACTTGATAGACCTAAAGGTTGATCCTAGCTTCACAATTTTTTTCGGGATTTGGCGTATTTATTATAAATATTAAAGAAATTCGTATTTTTTAGGCTTTAATCCTATATTAATAAAAAGTAATTACAATGTCGATGCGTTTATACAATTATAGTTGTTAACTTACACCATGTCCACGCACTGAGTGACAGGGGAAGGAGAAGACAATATTAATTGAGGCTTTGAGTGCAAAAGTGGCCTAATCCATAAATTAAAATGAATTATTTAACACGATTAACCAACTTAATAAATTAAAAATAATTAAAAAAAATTGTATTTTATTAATTTACAAAATTTGCTAATTTAAAAAAATATAACAAATAATTAATTGTATTTAAAGTTATTTTTAATTTATGGGTTAGGCCACTTTCGCACTCACGGCCTCAACTATGATTCAAATAATAATAAGAATAATATAATACATAATTATACATAGTTAACGATGTCTGAAACGCGTAATTATAATATTGTGTTTTTCGAGGAAATATTTTTCAATATCAATTTGTCTCGATGCATGAATATCGAATACTAATATATTTATATTAATTTAATCGTTTTGCGATAAGCGAGAGCCCTCGGCCATTGTCATAACTACCGACGGGCAGACGGCAATGATAAAATAGTAATTATAAATCGACAATGCGGAAAATCGTACAACGCCATATATTGTTATGTAAGACTCGTCGTGAAGTCCCAGTTAAATTCGGTGTTCTTACCTGCACCTCCGTCGGCCGACGGTCCCAGTAGGTTGTGAACTCGGTTGGCGTACAACACGAACGTGGGATAAGGTATGTCGTACTTGCGGGCGGCTTGGGACAGAGATAGGCCTTCCTTGAGCACAGACAGTATAGCTTCGGCCATTGTCTCGGGTCGCCACGACTTGAGCGGACCGCGTTCTCTGAACCGCAGGTTGTGCACTAGACTCTGGTTGGTGTTCCAGCATTTTTGCCACATCGACTGTAGCTGATACTGATAACTGTCGGCTGTAAAACAAGTTTGGACAAAATATTTAGACAATTCAAAAAATACATCAATTACCTATCACACCGACGAACACCGTAGTTGTCCGGCTCGTAAATAACACTAGTATTTATCAGAAATTACACGACACTTAAGTTATCCGCAGCGAGTATAGACCTAGCAAAACTATCGTAGCCATCGTTCATTCAAAACCGCGGACCAAAGTTTGGCTTGACCCAACTCCATTAATCGTTTACTCCGGATGACTCCAGCGTACCTTACCTGGAGCAATCGCTCGTAAGACAAAGTTCGGTTAAGGTACTCGCGAAGGACCGGTCATCAATAAACGAATATAGTATCCAAAAATGTTTTGATCTGAGCGACGTCCTAATACAGTGTACGTCACATACTACTGCTGTAATTGGATCTGTTATTATAACAGGAAACGTCTTGTGAAAAAGTCATCTTCGATGGCCAAGATAAAATAAAAATAAATATATTCTTCTTTACCTTGTCACATACAAAAAATGTACGCCATATCATATCTATCATCTATGTCTTTAGTCATAACAATACTTTTATTTACCCACTTCTCTTGCTCGGTCACCTTTAAATCTGTTTACACAGATTTCTTCTACCTCGATAACTGAAAAATGAAAATTACAGACGCAGAAAAAAAATAGCACTGATAATCAGTGAGGCTAACTCAGGATGGGTCAAATACTTTATGGACACCAGTCGTATGTTTCACTTAAAATACGAGACTCTGTGCCACTGATAAATTATTTTAGTAATAATTATAATCAAAATAATCAAAATCCCCAGCGGGAAAATACCAAATCAACGTCATACGTTTTGTGCTCTTATAACTTATAAGTATACACGTCGACATTTTTTTTTTACGAATAAAACATATCTTAAAACAAACAAAATCTATGTAGTAATACATTGTACAGTCAAAGTCATATAGACTACTATATTAGGTAATAAAATGTTATTATTAGTTATTACGGTATTGCGGCATCCAGACTTATTACCGACTCGGTAGTACTTTTTAGTGTGTACCTACATTTAAAGTAAAACTAAATATATACTAACAATACTAAGTATCTATAATAACACTAGCGGCAAAACCGTCATACGCGGTATATCATGCGCCAGTGCGTGAGACGTAATGACCCATGTAGTTATAGATATATGTATATATAAATAATATATTATACACATGTGTGTTTGTACGTCCAATTCATTAGCATTTTGTATAATAAAACAGGGCATTTAACTATTGTACGGTAAAATTATGTACTATGTAAATTGTTTTATGTAAATCCATCACAAGTCGCCACCGCCGTATATTATAATAATAATAATAATAATAATAATAATATATACATCATTGTCGTTATAATAATAATATGCCTTTGCCGTTGATCAATGTATGTGTGTGTGTGTGCAAACACATTGTACACACACTATACACGAGTAATACCGTCCTCGACACCGTGTCTATAATGTGTGTATACGCATTATACAGGGTGGTTGCTCGACTAATAACGTATTATTCACAACATTATTATTATCCAGTGTATAAATAATATATTAGTTATAGTAACTCTGAGCTCAAAAATTAAAGCTTTACATAATCTAAAAATTGTCAGTACTAACACATTAAAACGATATTGCCCTATTGATTTTGTAAAAAAAAACATTAGCACGATTCACTCGGTGAAAAAGTTCTTAAATAGATGAAATTTGTATAGGTAGAGACTAAACTTATAATCAGGGCATTTGCAATTTTTTTCATTTATTAATGTTATATACAATTGTTGGTTTTACTGCGGCTCGATTTAGGCAACGTAAAATTTAACTGTACATTATTTAGTTTGCATTTTTCAATAAATTGGGATCTACGGTGATTTTTAGGAACATTATTTAAGTGCATTTTATACAATTTTCTTGTTTTAGGCCATAACACTTAAGAAATAAAATAATCTTGGGAGGTACTGCGGGTTTTGTTCATAAAATAACTAATGAAAACATAATTTAATAACATAAAGCTGTTACTAGTATACTTAAATATATATATATTTTTTTAATTTTAGTAATTTTTTTATGTTTAAAGCCATTTTAACAACTTCTTTTTTTTGAGGATTTTTTAATAATAATGAGGCCTTTTTGAGGATTTTTTAATAATATTAAGTTTCAATTATACAACCCGAAAAACACGATACGAAGATGTGTATGAATGGATAAAGATAACAGAAGAATTAAATGATTAAGAATTAACTATTAATTAAATGTAAAAAAAGCCTGTGTCAAGGTAGATTTAATGATAAATTATAGGTATACTTGGAGTTTGTTTTTAACAAATATTTTATAAAATAACAACAATGAAAATAGATATTCCTCATCTGGGGTCTGTCTTAAGTGAGGAAAACCCCTTTGAAAGAGGCCAAAAATATTTAAGAAGGTAATTATAAAAATATAAAGGTAACATTTTTCAATTATACTTCTTCTATTTAAATCGGACCGCGGTTTTTTTAGTATCAGTCAAGTGTTTAGTACCCTATTTTGGCGACTCACAAAAGTCGCTCCCTAACTTAAATCCCGTTTAATTATTATTTAAAGGTTTTACTATGACTACAAAATCGGTCGATGATATTTTCTTCCCTCGTTAAACCCCGACATTGGATTCGTTTTGTAAATAATCAGATATTATGCATAGATAAGTATTTATTTAAACTGTACAATGAGATATACATTATATGCAAAGCATAATTTTCATGTAATCAATCGCGCCTACGTTAGATACGATATATATCTATGTGTTTATTATAATATAATGAATGATCTATCGATTTCTCTCTTAGGTCTATTTCATATGTGAACAGTGAACACCATAGGCCGGGATATGATATTAATTGTACTGCCGCAGACCTACAACACAATATTATTAATATACCGTTCGATTTCCTATCATTACACATTACAAACTCATTAACTTTTCAACCTCGTTACGCAATAATAATAATGCAAATGAAAATAATAAAAAATAACGCCACACACACATAGAAAAGTGTACTGACAGCACACATGTACTTATGTCCTATGTATAAATATATACTATATAGTATGCAAATAAATAAAATCATGTAAAAAGGGGGAGACATAACGGACTGGCTGGCTGTATCGTTTCCCATGGGTTGTGAATTAAACAACAATATTTTAATATTTACATACGCACACAATCATAGATGGGTTTGTATTATTAAAGATACCTTACATTAGTAATGTAAGTTGTATGTTGGTGTAACGAGTATGTTGACCAGGACCACTCTAGCCATAACGATTTGTAAAATGTGAATTAACCGAAAAGAATAAACAAAAAAAGATTGAATAATCAAAAAGAAATTCATAGTCGCACCGAAGTTAAAACACAAGATAGCTTCTTCCAGAGTTTGGGAAATTTAAGATAATCAATAATACAACATTTCTATGTTTATTAATATGTATACATACTGTATAATATATTGTATTGTACAAATTCACTTTGATCATATTATAACACTTCAGCACAGGTTAGTGGTGCAAAAATCATTACATTGCTAATTGGAATAGTAACATGGAATATTGAAAAAACCTAACCTAGCCTGGCTCTTTACAAGTCAGGGAATTAGAACAAGCTTAATTACTGATTGGCCACGTTATGAATTATATTTTACAAATTTTGGCGAAGCCGAGACAAGTCAAATTCCACCTTTGCCTACAATTTTTAATACAAGACATTTTCGTAATTACCTAGACAAAAATCGATTGCCAATATTGGCATTGGAGTTCACGTTGTAGTATTAAAAACGACATACAGGTAAATTGGCTGCACCATCCAGATACAACATGATTCAAATACACGTCATAGTTTGAACATAATAATTTTACTAAAAAGTCAAATTAATATCACAATAATGACCGAATTGACACACGGTGGAAGTGCGGCAGTAGATCGTCATAAATTTAACATTAATAATTAATATTATTACAAAATCTAAAGAGAAAACCAAATAACAGCATAAGCAAAAACACGTATATAATTAACGAGCATTCAGTATAATTTTTTAGTAATATAGAAAAAAAAAACCATAAACTAACTCTACTTAGACATTACCAACGTAATGAGAAAACATAACATAAATAATTATGTCGCCAATAAAACAAAATATATATAAACGTTGTATATATAATACAAAAGATCAAATTACTCCACAGAGAAATATTTAATTGTATTACAAAAAAAAAAATGTTTAAAACGTGTGAAATAGTATCACAAACTCGGTAATATTACTTTTAATGTTAAGTGACGAGGAAACGCAATACTCGAGCGCATTTTCCTATCAGGTAAAACGAGAATTGAAAAAGTCAAACAAACGTTCACGGTCTGACGGTGTGAATATCGAGAGACTTATACAAATGGATATGGATGAACAAAATTTAAGATTACAATGGATAAATTTCGATTCATCCCAGACTAAAGTAGCAAGGTCGGTGTGTATAGTGTTGAGTTTTCCACGATCGTTGACAAAATTTCATCATTAGAACAAAGTTTTGTAAAGCTTATTTTATTCTCTATGCTGACTAATGTAATAAATTGTCTGTTAGTTGACCCGAGTGTCGTGGACCGTGGTACATATTATGGTATTATGGTTTAAACCTATCATTAATTAGGATCATAAATTTATACATATTTAATAAAAAAAAAGTCTGTATAAAAATGTATTAACTTGGACGCGATAACAATAAAAATTGCACATAATATTTTGTTGTTAGTGTTCCATAAAGAAAAAATACTAACAACGGCGAGTTATTTTTTAATTAAAAATATATTTTTAAGATATTAATATAAATATATATATAGATGAAAAAAAAATGAGACGATATAAATTATATTTCGGAAGAATAACGTTTTTGTTTTGTTTTAATTTTGATGGATGAAATTAACAAAAGTTTACACCAAAGAGGGTGTTTTAAATAGCCTTAACTCGATAAGAGGTCAACGGGGGTGTAGTAGGAAGAGAGAAGGAAGTAAACGACCTTTTAATTTTTTCAGAGTAAAAACGGTCTAACCGAATCCTTCAAATAAAACAACAACAAAAAAGACCTTCGTTTATAACATTATATTTTTACCCCTAAAAATAACGATTTACCGTCGATGACAAAAATTACACAGACTCGCAGCGTAGGAGGTAGGATAAAACAGCTAATAAGAAAAAAACCGAACAACCATTATTATCACTTGCCTAATTAACAATTATCTCCAAAAAAAAATATAATGGTAGTACAACAACACGTTTAAGCCAACCTGATGCAAATTTCAAATCGCTCGTTCCCCAATCTCTGGTTTTAGATAAAAAAATATCTGTTTTTAGATAATAAAAAATGTATGTACGCCCCCAAAGGCCACAGTAATTAAAAAATAATATTATTGATGTTTTAAAAATAATTATTATATGTTTGGATAATATTTAATTTCCCCAACAAAATCAAAATGTAAGCAAATCTGAAAATATTAAAATTTTTGTTTAAAAACTATAAAACACTAACTAAAAGGAACGAGATGCAGCTAAGATGGTACAATAAGAAAATAACTGCTTAAGACTCGATTGCGATGGCGCAGTACTACAAGTGAGATAAACGCACTTTATTGAAATATTGAATTAATGTAATTAACATCAATAAGATACATTACGATATTCTTAAGCAAAGTGTAGGAATATTGAAAATTAAAGACTAAATTGTTTGCTTCTAAACAATATAATATTATACATTTGATGTGTTTTTTTTTTTAATGCATTTCTGTGACATCTGTGCGCTATGCCATCAAATTATCGACTCGATGAATGAGTTTATTTATTTAAATACAAATATTATACATTCCTTGTTTTCGTTAACAATGCTACTGCAAAAAAAATCATTGAATTGATAAAAATATCAAATAATTAAAATATATAAAACGCAAAAAATCCGTTTAAACGTATTACATAACAATGACAGATAATGTACTTTCTTGTTAAAACAAAAAACAAAAAACTTGTATAAAAATTGAAAATCATTGGCCAGAGTAAACTGAACTGGTTCGAGAAGAGTTTGTGGACCATCCGGTACAAGTATGATAATATGATGAACACATACTTACGTGTGTCTGGGTATGAACGAAAAACCATTTAAACTATAATAAATTCGCATAATATTATACCAAACGGAGCGTGTCCATATCTGACTGCGAATGTATGTTAACCGGTATTAAACAATTACACTTAAAATAATAATAACAGATACGTCGAATAACAAAGACAAAAAGTTATTGTAAAATATCGAAGCAAATGGTATTTAGAGATAAAATGTGATAAAATTATAGTTTGTTGACTTACAGGTCATGGGTGAAGAGGTGGATGCCAGCCAAGCTTGAGAACTCTCAAACATTTTAGCCTGAAATCATAAAAATGACAATAAATTAGACATATTTTCTATAAGGGTTGAAAATTATATTTTGCAACAGAGATTTATATGCTAAGTCCAATGGTTACGAAACAGTGATTGCCATCTGGAATGGAGACTAATCTAAAACTCTATAATATATCGTGCCCTTTATCTTTTATAGGTTACCCCTAAAAATATTTTATAATTATCTACATTTGTTATTATAAGTATATCATACGACATTACCTACACATTACAACTAAAAAATAGAAGGATGTTATTTTTTTGAGAGTTGATATACAATTATTATAGTTCCCTTTTTTAGTTTTGTCCGGTGTTTTTTGTACAAGGAAGTATACTGTCAGAGAGGTAATGAAATTGCTGTCTTATAGTAACAAAACATGTATTATATTATAAGCGATCGCCGAAAAAGGTCCGGTGGGGCGTTTTATCATTATCATAATATTATATACATTGCGACAAAAAGACATAAATAAATATTTATACAAGCCAAATCGATTAATCGTGGACGACGTCCACGATGTGTCCTAATCCCCAACGCTAAAATTGTTTAGGAAAATATAAAAAACTGTATACAAGCAATTCGCATTAAAAGTGCCCGTGAAACTTTCCTCTTTCATAACAACTATAATAGATATTGTGAAGAGTTATATTATAAATGTATTTAATTATCTAAATTCGAAATTTATCTAAAACTTGTAAAAAAACTTGACGATAATATTTTACTTGGAATAAATCACCCACTAAAAGTGTACTTACAGATAATGTAATAAAATTGAAAACTTATTTCATGTTTGTGCCTAACTCTGAAAATGATAAAAAAGTGATGAAAAAATACTTTCTTCTATCAAGTACCTACTGGTTTCAAATAGATAAGGAAACGCTTAGGTGCATGCAGATCCAGAAGATTATGTGGGTACATTTTTTTCGGTTGATTATCATCACTTAAAAAATAAAATGCGTTTTTACGGCTAACAAAAGAATAATACAAAAATAAAAATTATTTTATTTCTATTGCAATTTTATTTAACAAAAGAAAAATAGACTCTGTACCTGACAATATTTTTAATAGTTCACCCTAGACTACTACTTCCCTAATCTCGTTCGCCCTTACAGGCGACAGGTATTATTATTTTTATTATTATACGGGTGTATTATACATACAGCGCCGAGTCAGTGACTCATCGTTTTTGATTTTATTTATTTGTATACTTTTAATAGCCGGTATAATGTTTAATCAATTTTATTTTTAGGGTGGGATTTTTTTTTATTTAATCATTTGTCTGGGGTCATGTGTCTTATTAAGTCACCGGAATATTCATAGGGTCACGATATTTATAATTTATATTTTAATATATTTGTATGAGGTCCTGGGTCGGGGACAACCGGTGACCTTTTTTACGTACTCACACACACACATTGAAAATACCAACAACGAAGGCACGCCACGGACAGTTAAATAATGAGACATACGGGAAAAACTTTAGGATAGGAGCAACGGTTTTCTTTGCCGATATTATGTTGTACATTCAGCAATACATTCCAAGATATATCCAATACAAGTATTGTCGAGGTGGTCAAAAATGTATTTTCTTTGAGCAATCGTAAGTTCACAAGACAATTCCAGTAGACGTCCAAAATAACTGTTTTAAACATTTTTTAAAATATATATGGTCTATACTCAATTCAACGGTCAAACGCTAAAGCCGATGGCGTTTTTGCTAAATACGCCTATGATTATTTTTTTTTAATGATAAATATAGGCCATTCGTCGCGGTAGTTTAACGTGTACACACGACAATAATAATTATTACACGACACAATATTTATACAATGTTGTTATTATTATTAATATAAAATAGTTCTATCGTATACATAATGCGTATGTGTACGCGATATAAAGCGCGAGGCTAAAAAACATCGGTATACCAGACCTTATAAGGCTTCCCCGTGTGCCTTTCTTCATAGTATTATTATTATTATTATTATTATTATTATTATTTCTAAGAGTTTCAATTATACACAAGACAACAAAGTGCAGTGTGTACGTACAGTGTACACAATATATTATGTGTTTATATAATAATATAATCTGCCCATGTATAGGAACCATCGGTGGAAAAATACTACCTAGTCAATATTATAATATAGTCAATACACCTTAATTATTATAATGTTATCTATCCTTACCTAACCTTACAATATGCAAACCGTCTACTGTTTAACTTGGCCGAGGGATCGAGAGATGTCGGTCACATGCACATCAGGATAGATTGAGTCAAGTCAAAATTGATCAACCGCCGTAAAAACGATCCTTTCCGGGTTTCGTATTAACTAAATTACGTTTATTTATTTGTATAAATCGATTTGCCTATCCAGAACGGTACGACCATAGTTTTCTCTCCGTTACAATATGATAGCCGTCGATTTGTTTTCCTAACTAACCGTACAGTGACGGCCATCGACGGGGTAGCTCTGCCGTGTCGTATAAAACGCATACAAACAGGGCCAGACGGGGAGGAGAGTCGTCGAATAAAAACAAATATATTTTTTATGTACATTTTAATGTTGTATGTCATGCGCATGTATACAGGTCGGGAAACCGCTTGCAACAGTATATTATAATAATAGTAATCGTAAAATATAATATTAAAATTAACGATAACGGCGCGTACACGACGAGATCGCGCGGGTTACATTTTTAAAAATATTATATTATGTGAACAATTTTTTTTTTTTTTTTAGTACTAACGGTGGAAAAAATAAAAAAACGGAGAGGATCGATGGAGAGACAAAAATAAGGGAGGGGGACAAGAGGGGAACGAACATGCACACACATTTTGTTTCACACAACCATTACATACGTACATATATAGTACATTATATATATATATATATATGTTCATGCACTGGGAATACAATAGTACGGTGTATTGGTTTATATTGTATAAATATAATAATATTATAGTGTTATGCTGAATAATACATTTTTATTATTATTATTATTGCGCGCGCGCGTACACACACACACACACACACAGACTTACACTATATAATATAAGGCGCATTCTCGTTATTATCATTGTACGCTGTTAGGTTTATACCAGAAGAGAGACCCCCTAGCAGCCATTATTATTATTATTATTATTACGGTTATGGGTTATTATTATTATTATTATTATTCCGACTGTACCCCAAAGCAACTCTACTGCAATATACATTAATAAAATAAGTCTCTGATGTCTGGGTATATATTATACATATATATATATATATATTTATACATTACATTAGGTAACCCTCTTTACTATATAATATATATATAGCTGTAAAGTAATAATAATAACAATAATATATAATAGAAAGACTCCGGATACTTCTGGTGAGGAGAGTAGAGGCTATAATAATAATATTTAACTATATATTCGTGTGTATAATATATAATCACGAGACTCTCGTAATACACCAAAGGCGGCGGCGGTGGGGACTGCATTAATGTAATTATTATATATAATATTATATATATATATAGAGAGAGAATGGTTGGTGTGTCTTTTTTTATTATTATTCTAGAAAAGGACGGAAGAAGAGTTCTCGGCGGAAAACCTAATAATATCCGACGACGGTGTTTGTGGAGAAAGAAATGATGTATAGTACGTAGGTATACACAAGATATATAATAATAATAATAATAATAATATATAATATAATAAAATATATACACACACACACACACACACGGTATTATAATAATACACCTAGCGATTATAATTTTTGTGGCGGTGTCGGTTTTTTATTTTATTTTTTTGGGGCCCACCTGGGAACTGGTTAGCGCTGACGGTCTAATGGATATGTTTACCCGTGGTATGTGTGTGTGTGCACAACAGGAATAAAATAAATATTAATATTATTATTTAAACACGGGTAGATACACGGCGATCCGGGGAGATAACACTTATCTCTTACACGTTACTCTACATAGACGAGCCTGTGAAAGGGTTTATTACATTAGTACACGAGGTAATGAATGATATGAAATTTCGTCTCCTGGCGTATAATTTTTTCGTGGTAGTAAAACGCTATCAAAATATCAGCGTCATCATCATTGTTGATTATATTTTTTTAATTACATTATCTAGAATTTACCATTTACTAACGTGACATAACCGGAAAAACTCGCGACAGAAAAGAATGGGATTAGTATTTAAACGTGAAAATGTTTCAAAAAAATGTATTTTGACCATAACCAGTTTAAAATATTTTAAAAACATGTTAAGTGTTTACTATATTTGAATAATATTAACAGTTTTTACTTTTTTTTGCAGTATGCGATAATGTAATATACTCGAACAATAGCCGCCGCCGTGCAGAATCGAGTATAATATTATAAAAGAATCTGTATTTTTCTCCAGTAGAAAACATAACGCACGCGCCATCGTGATCTCTACTCGGATATGCAATAATAACAATAATCCCTATACCATTAATATGTAGGTACATGCCTCTTAGACCTATTTTATATCATATTTTTGTTGTTTCGATACATTTTAATGTGAATAGCAATGGGTAAAAAATATATACATATAATTCGTTATTTTTCTTTTATTATACTAAATGATTACCTTGCTGTGATTATACCCCCTCGGCGACGTATATATATATATATATATAGTTATACGTACACATACAATAATAATATAAATTATACAGTGCACACACACACACACACTCTGGAATAGAACCACGTCCTATCTGTACATAACAATTACGATTTACAGTAACGGATGATAATATGTATTATTTTCGTGAATTTATATATATATATATATATAAATGCACGTTATACTAAGGGTTCTAGTCGATTGGAAACTATGAGTAATTAGTAATGTGTGTGCGTTATAGGTTTTATATTCGTGTCTAAAAATAATACTGTATTATATACATGTACATAAATATATAGGACGAAGGAGAACAACATCTGCTTTGGT